TCCATTTCATGAATATCCCTCTCTCGATTCGAACGCTTCGTTGAATATGTTTATGTGTGTGTGTGCTTGGAGCATATGGTGGGTATATGTATGGGTGAGTGGGGGGGGGGGTCTGTGACTTAAAGGCCTGACCATTGACCAAAAACCAAGGCCCACAACAAATGTACATAACAATATTATTTTGGTGGATTTTCGCAAAACGGCCAAGAGCATCGACGATGGGCATGCTTAAACTACAACACCGCCCACTGAAGCACCACCTCCCCAACCCAGCAGCCAGCCAACTACCCAACCACCCACTGGAGAACCCCTGCAACCATTTGAAGTCCTGGCTAAATTGCCATTCAGTGTTGTACACCGTCATTGGTGTTCGTTGTTCGTTGTCCGGCGTCACGTTGTTTGCTTTCACCTCAAGCCAAGTTTTGTGAATGTTTCCCCCGAAACGAAACCCCATACCATACAATCCCATGCCATCCAATCCAATCCTGTACCCCCGATCCATATATGTTCCCTTCAGCCGGAAAGCGTGTACGCCGGATAAACTTTTCGGCATGAGTTCTTATAGGCAAAAATGGTTTTTCAATACTCAAAGATTTATGAGTCTATGAATCTTGTACACATCCACAAGCATGTGAGTGAGTTTGTCGGGCCGGGTACAGTGAAAAAAATTTTAAAACTTATGAACAAATAAATAAACTAGTGATTAAAATAAATTAGAAAGATTCTTAAATTAATTTGAATATTGAAAAATTTTTTTAGAAACCAAAAATTTAATTTAATTTAAGTGTCAAATATAATTTTTTTAAAGTAAGATATAGTATAGAACTGGAGTTTAGATGGCATATCTCTGTAAAATGGGTACCTAAAATCTTTTTTAATGCCTTGTAAGCTAAATCTTGTGTGTTAAATATAGGTTTTCATTTTTTCTCTCTGTACGGCCCTGAGATACTGATAGACGCACCCCGTTTCCACCTCCCCAACCTGACCACTTTGCATAATCCCGGGGGAGGGGCTGGGGGATCCCGGCCAGAACCGAAAGCAGAACCACTGGAGCAGCAGAAGAGTCTCAGATGAGGCCAAAGGCAAACACCACAAATTAGTCGGCATATAACACGAACCGGTAAAATGGCTAAGAAGTGAACTGAAGTGAAGGGGCAGCAGAAGAAGGAGAACAGCAAATAGAAATCAAGTGAAATTCCTGGGCCACCCTGGCAAGCAAGCAAAGTTTTCCATTTCATTTTTCGGATTTTGCTCATCTATTCTTTTTTTTTTTTTGTATTTTTTTTGCGGATTCCCGGGCAAACTTGGGGCAGCTGCCACATGGAACATGAATCAACACAGAAAGTCCTCAAAAGTTCTCGGGGATGATTTAATTAGAATTCTCGAAGATGTCACCCAGGGCTATGCCCCCGGTTCGGTTTTGGTCCTGGTCTAAGCCGGCGTTTGGGCAACGTTTAATTATGAAATTTTCAAGGTGGCAAGTTGGTAAGTTTGTAGGTTTGTAGGTTGGCAAGGTGACAGGGAAAGGATGGGGCATCCCCATCCCCCATCCACCCAAAGTATTTTGTGGTAGATTAGCCGGGCGTTCAATGTGTTGATGCGGCGGCGGAGGCGTGGAATCCTGATTGGTGTCGGGTTTCGGGTGTCGGATGCTGGCAACGATGTGATAAGTTAATTGAAATTAAATTTTAATTTCATGGGATAAAGTTGCCTTCGATGAGATTGCTTTTTGTGGGGAGCCCTCGCCCCCAAAACCCCCAAAATCAATATGGAAGTGGTAGGGGTGCTACGTCCAAGGACCAATCAAAAAGAAATCCCCCGGGTCTATTAACAGAATCATTTGATTTCCCTTTTAATGGCCAACTCACATGTCACGCTGCCTCTAAGAAAACTCATTTATACATTATGTATACGCCATGTTGAACACACAAGATTCAATCTACGTCGCAGCGGAATCCTTGAGGTCTCAGCTCGAGGATGTTAATTGGAGTCCCTCCTCCCGCCGCACAGAAACACCTTGCGTTCGGTTTTCCAAGGAAGCCAAACACTCGAACAATCACAAATATACGCCTCGGGCTTCTCGGCTCTTCAGAGAATTCCAGTTCGACTACATCAGTTTTAATTATACAAATGCAAATGCAAACGAATCCATCCGAAGTTTCCAGTTAAGTAAACTGGAGGAGCTTACGCTTTTCAGCTGAAATCGATTCCCCAATCATAACTACAAGTGGGCATAATCAGCTCTTCTCCGTCCGCCGGGCAATAAATTTAACAATCGAACTTAAATCCGTCGGCAGTCCCGGTTAAGTGGCCAAGGGCACCCGGAGTCCTCCGCCCATTAACTATGCAAATAATGTGCGGGATATAGACAAAATCGCCACAAGATTAATGTTTATTGATTTTCCCGGCCAGTGATAATTTGTTACCACACCAAATTGGCCGACAATCGAGCGGCACTGAGTGAATGCGATTTTTCTGGCTTACTTTTCTATTTCTGGGCAAAGCCATTCTAAGAATTTGATAAGCCCCTTTCGGAATTTTCCCCCAATCACCGTCCCCCGAAAAAGTTTTTGAGGGTATTTGCATTATTAAGTACTCGCCCCCCTCGCTTTTCCGATTTCTTGGTGGTTGGTTGTTGGGAAATTCGGAGGAAATGGGAAATGGAAAATGGGTGATGGGTCGGTCATCCATTGAGCCGAAGGTGTCACATTGCCGGGATTTGCTTATCAGACATCAAAGGACACCTTGCGGTGCCATCTTTCCCGGATCGTTGCCATTGCAACCCGCAGACAAAAAGTGAGAAGGGGAAAACGGGGAAAACTCACTGCCAAGTTTCCCCATCCCATCCCCTGGATTTTTGGGCTTCAGCCTGGTAACTAACTTTCAGGTTTATATAAATATTTTCGCTGGCTTGTTTGTCTGGTTTCGTCTGTTTAGCATTTTGGAATATTAATTAAAACAAACTTTAGGGGAATGTGAGCATTATTAAAAACAAAGCTTAGGTGCGCGCTGCTTTCTTTGCAACTTTTTTGCCACGTCGAATAAGTTTTCGCATTTTTAAATGCGTACACAAAAAACAAACACTGCAGATGTGTTTGGATATGGAAAAATTTTTACTGAACAAAAAGGAGCATCGAGGCTAGAGTTTATTGTTTTTAAAAGTTTAAAAGCACTTTGGGTTCTCTCCAATTAGGAAGCCAATTAAAAGCAAAAACTTTACAGATAATCTTTCAAATAAAAATATGTACGTATTTCTCATGAGACAGAGAAAATGTCTGCACTGATTTTAAAGATTACTGACAAATATTTTTAATACATCAAACTTGTACCAAAAAGAAAGTCTTATGAATTATTCAGGCATTTCCCATGAAAAATATAACCATTTTTATAGCACTTATCGGCGCTGTCGAAACAAGAAATGCTGTTAAAGGGCATGTCACTTCTGGAACCCAAAAACCCCACAATAAAGATTAGAAACCCATAAAGCGAGGGTCTATATAATCGATTTTAAGGACATTAAACAAGTGTAAATGAGGGAGAAACCTTTATTTCGGCCCAAGTTTCTGGTTTAGAAACCAGGAGGCGAATTTCGTCAACCAGAATTGAAGAGAAAATTAATTTTTTTGAAATATTGATGAACGAAAGCGAAGCAGTGGGAAAGAAAGTGTATTAAGAAGGGTCCATAATTCGGGTGTTTCCTAGAAATCTCTTTCTTTCGGCCCAAAAAAAAGGAATTCCTTAAATGGAAGCCCGGGGTCTTGGGACGGCAGCATTACCTGGATTTGCTTATCACAACTTCAAAGGACACTGGCTTCCCCAGGAGGAAGCGGCGGTCCTCGAAGTAAACACACACAATTTGTCCACATTTCACCTTGCTATTCTCTCTTTATTTCACCGAAAATTAGCTGGAAGTGAAAACGAAACCGAAACATCAACAGAAACTGAAACTAAATGAATATCGAGCGGCAATCGGCAACAAAGCGGAGCAACAAAAGCCAACGCTAAACGCAAAGCAGAGGGCAGACCCAATCCCAAAAACCCAGCCAGACCGAAGTCAACCTACTTTTGGACGCAACAGACTACGACAGAGCCGAGCGAATGTACTATATGTAGCAAGTAAGTGCACAAAGAGAAAAAGGTTTCGGTATAAAGGGGTTACTATCTTAATATTTGGTCGCTTGTCGTAAAATCTTGTTATAATTTAGTAAAGGTATCACCGTTCTAAGGATATGAAATTATAATTTTTTTCCTGACATAAATTTAAATATGAAATTAAACATTTTACTCCCATATAATAGCAGATCATATAAAATACCAAAACCTACTTAAATATAGTGCCTGGAATGCCCTAAACTCAAATTCACATGGGTATTTATAATTCATTATTAGAAATAAACATAAGTAAGCAATTTTCAAAATATCATATTGAAAAAGACACACCATGATCATGTCAAATACTTAAAATACAGAAATCTGTAGGTTTTTAATTAAATATAGTGCCTTGAAGGCCCTAAACACACTTTCTCTTGGATATTTGGATTTATGATTGTTAGTAGTAATAAGAATTAAGCCATTTTCAAGATATCATATTGAGAAAGACACACCATCAATACAACAATCTTATTAATGATATTCTAAATATCTATCATCTTGGCAGTGACAATATATTTCATTATATTGAGGGATGTAACAAATATCTCTAGGATTATGAACTCTCTTATAATGTGCAGAGAAATCTTTCAGATTTCTGTAAAAATATAGTGTTGCATACTTTTAAAAACCCTAGTGATTCTTATAGCACCCTCGTTTAATACTTTTTTCTGCCTGTGCATATATTCATTCGGTATGCGCCCAGATGAGGAGCATGAAGTGGGGTTTTTTTTTGGGTGGGGGGGCGACGGGAGAACCGTGTGTATGGGGGACAATTGGGCGCCCTGCGGCGGATTATTGAATTTTCCAGCATTCTCCGCTGACACTTGGCGCCTTGCGCTACCGCTTACCTCCTGGTTTGTTGTTGCTCCTGCTGCTCCTGGTGCTCCTGCTGCTGTTGCTCCTCTCCTTGTTGCTGTTGGTTTAGTCCTGCGTCCTGCGTCCTGCGACGGGCGGCTGCTGTTTACCAATTCACTGGCGTTGACAAAAATTCCAATAGAATTTGGCATAATTTACATATCTCCGAATGGCTTAGGCCAAACGGGCCAAATGCATTAAGCACACTATATATTGGGTGTGTGTGTACCCGATTTTCCGTATATTCCGTATATTGCGTTCCTTTTCAAGCGATTTCCCGGGACCCAATTTCTGTGCCGCTAAGCGAAAAATCAAAAACGGCGCGCGTGTCGCGTACCGCTCGAGATATATCCAGTGATTTGATGGGCGACCCACGCACTTGCAACACGCGACACACGAGCACCGGGAATCGGGGACTTGGGGGTTATAAAGTGGGGTTTTTGGGGTGTACCGAGGGATAAAGGGACAGTGACAGCGACAGCGACAGGCGACGGGCGACGGGCGACAGCAACTAAGATGAATGTCAATAAAAATGATTTTGCTCTCCACTGCAGTTGGGGTTTTTTACCCCCCGAATTCTGTTCTTTTTTTTTGGTTCGGTCTGTCCCGAGTTACTGTGATTTAATTATAAATCGCAGACGAAAGTCCTGAAGACTGTAGCACCGAAGAGAGGAGTGATGTTTCTCGCCACGCGAAGAATCCGTACTGAAGATACAGATACGGACTGCGAATTGGCAAGTCCAAAAGTTCGCCACAATTCATCTCGCAGCAGGGCTGCTGCGCAAAATCCGGCGAAATCTGCGCCTGCGCCGCTCTCTCCTCGCTTTCTCTAGAGAGAAAGAGCTCTCTCCGCTCTTCTCCCTTATAAATATGTCTGTGTGCCACACGCTCGTTGGAATGCTATAAAAAAGGAAACGTTAGAATGAAATGAAAATGTAGCATAATTTATGACTGCATCGTCTTTTAAATAATTGCACGCACACACACCTACGAACCTACACTCTGCCCTGCCTTTTAAATATTTACATCCACTCACCTGACGACTCCCCCTCCCCGGAATCCCCAGAATCACCCCAACACCCCCTAATGGCCATGTAAATATTCCAATTTTTTTTAGAATTTTATATGACTTTTTAAAAAGTCTCCCAAATTGGTTAAAGGTCAATTGTATTTGGGCTTTTAAAAAATGGAAACGATACGAGGTGATTTACGGGAAAATTAGGCAAACAGATATTTGCACAACATGGGAAAATAATTGCAGAATGTCTGGCAAACCTGGATAAATTATAACATTTTAAAAATAAATTTATAATTTTGAATAAGAGATAAAGCACAAACTATTTTGATAAATTATATTTAATCAGCGACCGCAGCTGTATTCAAATACAGTCAAATACAAATACACTTTTAAAATATCTTTTATTCAAGCTTATATTTGTATAATTTGAAATGCTACCCCTCATCTTAACTACTGCAACGATGAACTACTAATATTTGGCAAATTTAATGATGGATTTACCTTAATCGTAAAGCCACTGGACAAGCAATTGTCCTTCACTTTTGGCCACTTGCTAAAGCCACTTGATGAGAGTAATTGTTCATAATTGGCCAGTTCAGGGATTGGCTCGCTACTATTGCTTCGATGATTAAGGCCGATTTGGAATCAGTTCGTGTGTCTAGAGAACGTGTCGTTGTTGTCGTAAGCATTTCGAATTTGGAGATGGACCGCTTGTCATGCACTTCTAGAGAATCGGAGTTGGTAAGAGAGATGGTGTGTCGTCCGCCAATCAGAGTTCGACGTTATTCAGATTCGAACCGGAGGAAGTGGGCAGATCGACGTCGCTGGGCGGCACAAAGGTGCCCATGGTGAGGACGCTCTCCTGCTTGGCGCACAGCTTGAGCATCTCGGTCTTGAGTTTGTCCAGAATGGCATAGTTGGGCTGGTTCACAGCCGCCTTGCTCTGCAGCACGGTGATCTCCTGCTCCTCCAGCTTCTTCTCCTTGAAGGTCTTTATGGAGTTGTTGCCATACAGGCGGAGTAAAGAACCCCACGTCTGGATGTGCGGATGCAGGATCTGCCTTTAGTTAGATTAAAAAGGTTATAGAAGGATTTACAGGCCGAGCTAATCATTGTTCACCTGGAGAATGGCTTGCGAAGCCAGTTGCTTGCCCTCCCGCTTGTTTTTGCACACCACTTTGGCCGTGTGCTTGCCCACAGTCATGGTGAACTCGTTCTTGTTGTTGGCCGTGCGATTGATCTCCTGGTTGATCTGCACATCGCTGCCATAGTTGCGCTGCAAGCAGGTGAGCAGAATGGCATTGGGAGAGGGCTCCGTCGTCTTGTTGCAAAACTCGGTGACGCGAGGGTCTTCAATGCGGATGTCATCGAAAACCTACAAGAAAAATACACAAATATTATAAGCAATTCAGAAATCAATTGATGTAATTAGTTATCTTGCTTACAGACAGATCGCTCGTTGTCTTCTTGGCGGTGCCGCTCTTTTGGTCCTTGTTGTTGCCCGTTATCTTGTCCTTGACATCGGGAATGAGTATCTCCAGCGTCTCGCGCGCCGCATCGGACTTGGCCTGCTTCTTGCTGGTGCCATAGCCCGTTCCGTATTTGAGATTGTTCACCGATACGGTGGCCGAGTAGGGAGTGGCTGCATTTTGCAGCTCCTTGAACTCGTAGGTGGGCTGCGTCTTCAGCGCGTGCTGCACATACTCGTGCAGGATGCACACGAAGCTCTTGCCGTTCGGGTTCATGATCCACTCCTTGCGACCTCGCGTATTCGCTGATCCCTCGCCGGCGGCCGCCAGAATGGGGAACTTGATGAGCTTGGTGCCGTCGGGCAGCGTGGGCCGCTGGATGTTCTTGATGTGCTTGCGGTTCTTGGTGAACTTGCGTCGGGCATTCCAGCTGCGGAAGCGCAGCACCCGGATAACCTTGAATTTGAACAGCTTTTGGCAGTAGGAGTTCAGTTGCTCTGGAGTTATGGACTCCTTTTGGGTGTTCTCGTTTACGGTGACTATTTTAGCAGCTGGCATTAGGGCGGTCAATCCCTCTTGCTGGGCCTCGTTGTTCTCCTTGCCCTCCACATCCATTGGTTCTGCGGGTGGATCTGCTCCTGTTATGGGACAAACAGCCACTGCTGCTGGAGGAGACTGCTCCGATGACTCCTCTTCCAGAGCCCGCCGGTAGTTGAGGCAGGGAACTGCTCCCAAGGGCACGGCATGCTTGCGGGCACTTCCGGTGCCCAGAAAGTAGGGCCTCGAGGCGCAGCAGACGCGGGTCTTGCGGTGTAGGAAGAGCGGCATGCCGCTGTTGTGGGTCACCTGCACCCAGCCCTCGGGCAGCACCTCAAAGTGGTTCAGGCGCTTCTCTAAAAAGGGGGGAAAATCCATCTGGTCAACCTTTTGATACTTGGCTACGTAAATATCACTCACCCTCTAAAACAGTCTTGAATCGCTGCTCGTACTTGGGCTGCTTGGACTCGCGCAGCTCGTCCGGCAGCTTCTCGTCGAGCAGATTCTCGATCTCCTCGTCGTCGAATTCCGAGGAATCGTATTCCTCGCCGTCGCCATCCGCCGCCTCCTCCTCCTCGTCGCCTCCCTCGCCGTACCTGCCGCCCTGCTGCTCGCTGGCGTCGTCTGGTTGCCATGTAAGGAGATACAATCACTGTTTAGATAAGCTGTCTGTTTGTCTGGGAAATGCGAAACCCGCTATACAACTGATTAAAAAGTAGGGTGCTAATTTCCCTACTTTGCAAAAGTTATGCCTTTTTAACTAGGATTTAATCTCCTTTAGAACTATACCTGTTTTAGCTGGGCAAGCCAGTCGGATAATAGGTATCATGCGCATGGAGATGCCCACAAAATCAGCCACCACCTGCCTTACAAGAAATTCCCGGGAAAACTGAGGCTGGTGTATCATGGTTTTACCTGCCGGCTGGCCTCTTATTTATCAGCCTCCTGTATTTGCACAATGATAGCACTTCGAGATCTCGAGATAAGAACTAGGCGTGCACTGGGAAACCAAAGTGGAGCATTGTAAACCTAGTACTTTACAGTTCTAGACAGTATGGTATAGAATATTTGTTATGTATTATTTTCTAGGAAGATATTTTTCAAAATCTAGGACTATTTATTCCATTTGATCCTAAAAACTGTAGGTTCCATTGCAACCCCAATACTGTAAGTTCTAGACGGTATAGTATAGTAGTTTTTTGAAATTTGTTATGTATGAGGAAAACTTTGATAACTTGTTTATTTTAAGGGATTTATTTTAGCAAAAAAAACTGTATGATCTTGATATTTTAAATAAAAATCTCCCTTCAGTTTTGGAAAGATTAAAGATTATTTCTATTGTAAACCCAATATTACAAGTTCTAGCCGGGATCGTATAGTAGTACATTAAATTTAGTTATGTATTATTTTCTAGGAAAACCTTGATATCCCCAAAACTGTAGGATCAAGATATTCCAAACAAGATTTTCCCTGGTAAGTTTTTTGAAAAACCCAAAGATTGTTTACCGTGTAGGACCATCTGAGGGTCGTCCCCCACTCACCTGAGTCATCATCCTCGTCGCTGCCGGAGCCGACTTCGTCGAGCACTTGGAACTGGCGGAGCTGCTGGTCCATGGGCTCGTTCTGGAGCTCGTTGTCCCGCGTCTGCCGCATCTCCTCGATGGCGCTCAGCGAGAAGCCGGCCACCTTGAGCTCCTGCTGCTCCTCCTCCAGCCGGGGTCGCTTGCGATCCTGTCCAGAATCGGCCGGGTCTGCCATCGGATCGGCTAGGTGGGTCTAAATCGAGGGGGTTTAACTCGGACTGATCGGAACCCGGATCTAGATCTATATATTGTTATGCTGCCTCGGGGCCAAACTCGCCAATAACCAATACTGAGAGCATCCAACGCCTTGTAATTGATTTCTCATTGGAAGTGCCACATTGGTTAAGCCAGAAGCCCCGCGGAAAAAGGGAAAATCTGCACTTTCGCGGTCGGGAAATGGAAGTGGAAAACGTTGCTGCCTCTTGCTGCGTCTTTCGCGATGGATTCTGCCGGTTCGGTGGGACAAAATGCCAAAGCAAAAGCTGCGCAAATCGAGATCTTAGAAGATAAGTTATTCAAACAAACACCACATGCAGCTGTGCGAAAAGGGACGCCGAACAAATAATCACTTTTCTAATTGTATTTAACGGTGGTTTTGGGGTTTACCTTCCGGAGCAGTGCGGTTAGTCTTAGATTCTATACTTATTGCAGCGTTTTATACACATTTTCTGTGCTTTTTGCTGAGAATTCCCAAAAATGAATTAGAAGTGGGTGGGTTGTTTTTTTTTGCCCAAAATTTATTGGCAAACGTAAGTCGGCAAACGTAAGAAGACGTAAGGGCAAACGTAAGCGTCGATACATATCGATGTTTTCATCGATATCGACGTTAAGCGACTAATCGGCGGTTTTTTTGTAAATATTAAAAATTAAGTATTATTAATTATTATATTATTTAAATGGAATATTGCTTTATAAACTAAACACTTAACAGCAATACATAAAATACATTTGTAATTCCAATTGTGAGAACATTTATAAAATTATTAAAAAGTAGTTTAGAACACAGCCATTTCTTGCAGATCCGTTTCTGCCTTAATATTAATTAAGTAAAGTATTTTCTTAAAATCTAGTAATTATTCATCTAGTAATGCTTCCAACAGCAATATTATTCGTCTCAGGCAGAAAGATTTCCATTGTGATCTCATTAATAGGATGCTATTTCTGGACTTTTCAGGTTCCACCCTCTAGCACTGTTTCCACATCGAGTTCGAGGCCCTTTTCCGCCGCCTCCTGGGTGCTGGCCACGTGGGCGTGGCCCTTGGAGCGGAAGTGGGCCAACAGATTCGAACGGCGGACGAAGGAGACTTTGCAGGACTCGCAGCTGTAAACGATATTTATGTAAGTAATAAAGTAATCCTTGTAGATATCAAATATCTTACTGAAACGCCCGCACTCCCGTGTGACTGAGCATGTGCGTCCGGAGTTTGCCGCTCATGGAGAAGCTTTTGTCGCATTCCTTGCACTTGAAGGGCTTGGCATGCGTGTGGCGACTAAAAAACAGAAGTGAGTAGTTAGGAAGGAACTGTAATATATCCCTTAGCAAAGACATTACATGCGCTCGTGCTGAAGGCGTCCGGTGGCGTTGTTGAAGGCCGCCTCGCAGTAGCGGCACTGAAACGGAGAGGTGCCCGCGTGGAGCTCCTGGTGGCGCCGCAGCAGGGTGGCCGTGTAGAATCTCTGGGGACACTGCTCGCAGGCGAAGCTCTTGACGCCCGAGTGCCGCAGCAGGTGCAGCTTGAAGTTGCTGGGGCAGGAGAAGTGCCGGCCACACTGCTCGCAGATGCACTCCCTCCTCCGGCGCTCCCGCTTCAGGGCCACCACCTCCTCCTCGGTGAGTCTGTCCCACTGGGTGCGCGGCTTGTGGCGCTGCAGCTCCTGGCTGTTGTCCGCAAACTTCACCGAGGGGCAGGCGCTTCTCCGGGGAAGCTTCTCAGGCGCCGCTCTCTTTTTCTGGATGGTTTCCTGGGGCTGTTCCTCCTCGTCCGGTTGCATTTCTATGTCTCCGACTTCCGAGACCTCTTCAACAATCTCCTCCACATAAGAATCATTCAAATCCATGACCACCACATTGCTGGGATTGCTTTGCAGCGTTTTCTGGGTGAGAATCACTCGTTCTCGGAAGGAAATTGCATCCTGCAGATCCTGTTCGCAGGGGGCGCACATAAAAGCGGGGCCCGGTCCCTTTAATAACTATTTAATACAATTTATTACGATTTTATATAGATAGTAAGGAATCCCACTTACAAACAATCCTGTTAGAACCTCAATTTGATGTAGTGTTATTGAATCCGGTTCCTGGAAGAGATTCTTGGGCGTCGAGCAGAAAATGAATTTCCCGCAGGTGCGGCAGTTGCGAGACGACATTTCTTAGATCAATTTACTGGCATTTTCTTGTCCGCTTATTGTTAAATTTAATTTATTATTGTAAGAAACAGCTGCTAGTGGCTGGAGCGCAAGTGCGAGACAATGCAAGCGTCGATAGGCAGAACATCGATGTCTGCCAATATCGATGTTTCTCCAGAGGAATCCCCCTAATACATAGAAAATCAGCTGATTAGTGTAAACAAATCCTAGAAATGCGCCTGAACGAAAAGACCAAAATCCTGGGCCGCAGGACCATCCTGGTGCCCTACGAAGCCCGCCACGTGCCGAAGTACCACGACTGGATGAGCAACGCGGAACTGCGCCAGCTGACCGCCTCCGAGGAGCTGACTTTGGACGAGGAGTATGCGATGCAGCGGAGTTGGCGGCAGGACGACGACAAGCTCACCTTCATCATCCTGGATGCGGAGCTCTATGCCCGCGACCGGGACGAAATATCCGCCATGGTGGGCGACACCAATCTCTTCCTGCACCAAGATCCGGATACCGATCAGCGGGTGGCCGAGGCGGAGATCATGATTGCGGAACCGGAGGCGAGGGGCAAGGGATTCGGCCGGGAGGCCATGCTCCTCATGCTCAAGTACGCCCAGTTGCAGTCCCACCTGAAGCTAGACAAATTCGAAGTCAAGATCGACATGGATAATACTACATCCCTGCATTTATTCGAGAGTTTCAGGTTTGTGGAGACTGCTCGCGTGGAGGTCTTCCACGAGGTCACCCTGGAGCGACCCATCACTGCGGATTGGACCAGCTGGCTGGACCAACAGGTGGAGCCACGAATTGAAAGCTATTAGGGGAATAATTTCTAGACTTGTTCAACTGCATTTGACAATAAAATATTCACATTTCAGTACCTTTACGAAAATCCGGCTCGAAGGACCAAAATATGTTTTTGTGACTAAGTGAAAAGTAAATAATCGTTATTTGAGATTTTTATTTTGTTTTAAACGTCAAAAATAAAACTCTTTCCACTTTCCACAAATCCGGAAAGCAAATTATCTGTTATTTGTTGATGTCTATAAAGTGCATAAAAACCAGTTAAATTGTTGATTAAAACTTTTAAAAAACTTGTAGGGGTTTTAAAATAAAAATCTCAAATAACTGTTATTTACGGTCCCTGGTAAAACCTCCACTTTTTTACACACTACAATTTATATTGCTCCACCCAATAACCACAAACCTTGATAATCATGTTCTGATGATCTGTTTATTACACTTATGTTACAACTACTTGCATTTTACATCAAATGTATGTATTTGTATTTATATTTATGGGTGCATCGATGTTTCCTTTTGTTTCGCCCTGCGGCATGGATGATTGTAATGCTGTGTATGCTTCTGTCGTTATTTTCGTGGCAGGAAATGGGCAATAAACGCATGCCGCTTGTCAATTATCTCCGGTGTTCCGTGTGTATGTATGTATATTTAAGTATAGTACATAAAACTAGATGCTTAGTGCTTTACAGCTGCATACTTAGACTGCTAGATTGTTTCAATTTTTTATAAAAATCATTATTAAATAATCAAAGGCAAACATAATCGTAATCAGAGTTAAAAATGAAAAGCCGAATGGATAGCTGCTTAACGTAGAAGATGTGGGGTTCCGCTAATGAATACGGATTAGCCGGAGGCCCCGTCGATGGGCATGGCGTGGAGCACCTCGTCGAGCAGCTGGAGGGCGCGATGCAGATGCACCTCGATCCAGCAGGGCGTCTCCTTGATGGACTGCCGGGGATAGTCGGGTCCCCAGCCCTTGACGAAGCTCAGCCGCAGGATGCACAGCCGTCGGAGGTCGTCCACGCCGATTCCAGCCGCCGCTGTCATGCCTACGAAACACAGGGATTTAGGAAAATGTTTTCTTTTTCAACAGGAGCTACTCACTTCTGCCGCCGCCGCCCATCTGCTGATTGGCCACTCCGGCCACGGCTGCTGCCTGAGCTGCGGCCGCCGCCTGAGCATTGGTGGCCAGCGAGTGCATCTGCTGGTGGCACTGGCGCAGGTCGAAAACCTGTGGGAAACCAAACATGTCATTATAATATATATATCAGGCCTCGGAAAATAAAACACACTGTAAATAACTTGTGTTATTAACATGTTAAATGTAAAAAATGTAAAAATTGTAGCCTACAATCACTATGGACGGCAGTCCATGTAGTGACGAAGCGCACCAGGAGAGTGTGCGAAGGCGACTACTATATATACACGAAGAAATGAAAATCTACTGTGATGGTCCGATCATAATGAATGATACACCTATCGAAAGGTATTGCGAAAACTAACAGGATTGCATACCAAGACTTTAAGAAAATCAATTGGCTTGGGAGAGAGAGCGGTGAAAGTAAAAAAGTGAAAATTTCGAAATTTGGAGCTGTTGGGGCCGGTGGGGATAAATGCCCCCTCGCAATGTTTTAGTAGTTTTTCTATTGAAAATTCCCGTCGAATGAGGGGTCATATGATAAAATCCGATGCCCCGTTCAAAAGTTATAGCCAAAATAAGATTTTCTTCTTCTTCCCAAAATGAAATAATTTGTCCCTTTGTTTGTGGGTATGCATCAAATCGTGGTTTTAGGGTCCTGAACTAAATTTTACTGTGCTTAGCAGCAGGATATGAACAACGTTTGTTCTACAACTTTTGGAAAAACCCGCTAGTTTGGCGGGAAATCATTGAAAAAAGCTAGATTTTGACGGCTTATAGTTTCTAAACGACCAAAGTTACAGACTCGTGCTATACCTCGTTAAAAAGGTAATTTAAAATGCTAATCGCGTTGCCTTGGGTAAAATTGGCTTAATGCAATAGTTTAAAATTTATGGCTAAAAGTTGTTTTTATAAATCACTTTTTAGCTATTTTCTCAAAAACGGCTCTAACGATTTTCTTTACAACTTTAAACTGTATAGCCCTTGAGATTCCTTAAATTTTGGTATATAACACATTACTGTAAAAAGTCACGTTTAAAAGTTATTTTTATACGAAAATAGCCACTTTTGCCAGCTCGAACAACTAACGCTCCCTGAGTATTGAATTTTGTGTGAGGGTATACGAACTGTATTTTGGGGTAATGGAATCAGTAAATTTGCACTTAAGAGTTCCATATAGGAATCTTTTGTTCTACGACTTTTGGAAAAAGCCGCTACTTTAGCGGGAAAAAAAGCTAAAAATAGCTAAATTTCGTTAGATTTTAAGTTCTACACTACTAAAGGTACAGAAATGTGCTATACCTCGTTTTAAAGGTATTTTGAAATACTTAAACGCCTTTTTAACTTAATTTGTTTAAATACAATGGCTTACAAATTATGATTGACCAATTTAAATTTAAATGTATATACTAGCTCCCATGAGAGCAAATGTAAACAAACAAAAACTTCTGATATCAAATAAAAACACCTCTTAACGAGGTAAAAAACTAGTGACGATCGCACCTTCAACATACAAAAGTTCTGATATCAACATTTGTGACGAAAAATTATTACACTCGTCATTAAATAGACTTTCTAATATTTTCTCATTCGGCACGCTGCAATAGAAAACGCCTGTGAAGGGAAAAAGGCTGGAATAGTTTGCTAGGGCGGGCCGAATGAGAAAATATTAGAAAGTCTATTTAATGACGAGTGTAATAATTTTTCGTCACAAATGTTGATATCAGAACTTTTGTATGTTGAAGGTGCGATCGTCACTAGTTTTTTACCTCGTTAAGAGGTGTTTTTATTTGATTCTCAGATACATAAAAAAATCACACATGTCCTTTGTGTTATTTACACGACGTGTTTTCACACAGCGTGTTTTTAACACAATTAGTTTTTGTCATTTAAGTGACCGTTACCTACCGTTACCAATATAATGTGTCTATTTTATACAAAATGTATATTTTTTTGGTTATGGATAATTTTTCCAAATATCTGTTGAATTAAAACCCACCTTGATGCACGCCGCCGGGTAAATCTTGTGCACCGCATCGCCAGGTGTGCGTCCCGCCTCGCGATCCAGATAATAGCTTTGTACGAACACCGAGTTGTCGCTGAGGCAGCGCAGCCAGACGTCTCCCTCGCCGCGCAGATCCAACTGCACGCCCTTGCCGATGTGTAGCCTTTAGGGAGAAACCTTAAATTAATCACCGCTCCTCGAGTAACAAGGGGTATCTCACCTAGCGCGTTCCGATTGCTCTGTGCGATGAACATTACTGAGAGCACCCAGGCAGAAGCGATTGCCGCCCGAGGGATCCACATAGCCGTCGATAATGACGTTCGGTTTCGCCGACGGCACCTTGAAGGTCTCGCCCACCTGCGTGTCCAGCTCAAAGTAGGCGATGGAGCACCAGTATTCCGGCGGCGGCTGACGGGAGAGGAGGCGTGGCTGTTGCTGCTGCTGTTGCTGCTGCGGCGGCGTCTGTTGCGGCGATCCCAGGTCACCAGGCAGCGTAGAGTTCCCTGGAAAAGAATAAATAATTTTATAAAATCACTCTTTCGGTTATAAGGCTCCTAAGACTTACAGAAACCACCGGGTAAAGAGCGCGGATCGGGTGGCTGCATGGACTGCGTGTAGGTGAGGGTGTTCGGTCCTGTCCAGGTGCCAGCTGCACCGCCTCCTCCGCCTGCCTGAGCCCCAGCGGGACCCGGCATTGGCTTGCACCTGGCTCGGTGGCTGCTGTGCCTGCTGGGCGGTGGGCTGAGCTGTGCCAAAGACGACGCCGCCGCCGCCTCCTCCGACGGCAGCTGCTCCCGCGGATCCCGGCTGCTGCGGCACATAACCATTCTGCTGGGCATGGACGGGCGGAGGAACCGAGGAGCCGGGACCACCGGCACCTTGCATCTGACTGCCTGGCGGAGGTTGTCCATAGTACTGGCCTCCGGATGCCGCTCCTCCGCTAGCATTGACCGCTCCATTGGGCACTCCACCTGCCTGCTGTTGCTGTTGTTGCTGCTGCTGCTGTTGCTGCTGCTGTTGCATCGCTAAGGCGGAGGCGGGATCGGTGGGCGAATTGGCCTGGGCATGATGACCCACCTCCATTTCCCTGGGGATTCTGAGCCTGTTGCGGAGGAGGTGGGGGCGCCATCACGGGGCCGGGATTCATGGGGCCAGGCATGCCGGGCATTCCATGAGGTACAGCTGAAAAGGCAAGGGAAAGTTTAGATTTAAATGGGGAAATTAAAAATAATTTCAAATAAAATCATATAAAATTAATCAAATCAAAATCCTTACAAAGCGGATGAGCAGCTGCCTGGGATTGGGGGCTGCTGCTGCTGAGGGGCTTGCGGGGGTGGCTGCTGCTGCTGTTGTTGCTGCTGCGGTGGCTGACCCAGCCGCGGTGGCGGTGGCACCATCCAGGAGCCACGCGACCCAGCAACACCATCCTGCGGCTCAATTTTTGGTATTGTGCGCCCGCTGGGAAACATTGCACTCATGGGATTGGCCTCGCCAACTGAGTAAGGTCAACAAAAGAGTCGAAAAAGGAAACAAAGGTAAACAAAGGTGTTAAATAAGAAAAGAAAATTAAATAATCAAATCAAATAATAGACTAAAGAAAATACAAATTTATCATAGTATGCCATGAAATTTCTGATTTGCTTAAATAATCTCTATGTGAAATAAATTGAATGCTTTTCTAATTCATTTGGAGTTGAATGAATGTATGAATAATTTTCATGATTTTTTTTAAATTTTTTTGCCATTTTTTTTTGTGTTTTTTTTTGAGAACAAAAAGTGGAAAATTGTTAACAACTAATGTTAACTGCTTAGAAAATCACACAATTATGGCCCTTTCTTCTTTAAAAGAAATTGTCGTTTTAATTATTCTATTCAATTCTATAAAACTCAAAATTCAAATTCATTCAATTCTATTAAACTTAAAATTCTAATTAATTCATTCATTTAAAACAAAAAATTCAAAATAATTCATTCAGGGCTCTATTAGAAACCAGGATTACCATATTCAGAGGGTCCCTGTGGATATCCGTAGCCGCCGGGACCCACCATTTGCGTGGGATGGTGCTGAATGGTGCCGATGTCGTTGCCATCGATGTCCATGCTGCCCACCAGCGGACCCGCCGAGTACTCGTCCTTCACCAGGCGACTGGGACCCGACTGCAGGCTCAAACCGGAGAGATCGATGCCCGGCGAGACGACGCGCTCGTAGTGGTAGGGATTCACGCACACCGAGTCGCACTTGAGATCGAAGGCGAAGGCGCAGTACTTGACGTGCTTGAGCTCGTTCTTGTGCAGGTCGGGCCAGCGCCAAATCCTGGCGTAGATCACGTGCGGAAAGCCCTTGCGACCAGCAACCTGATGATGGGAAAGGGATCAGTTTGGGTATAAAACAAATGATTTTCCCCAATAGTAGTAGCACCACGGGTTACCCAGAAACGGACACTCATCTCCGATAAGACGGGCTGAGTCACACGGGGACTCCTCTCACCTGCAGACGCCCGTCGAGGGTGCGCTGGATGGTCACGCACTTGCTGGGATGCGCTCCGTTCGTGGTGATGGCCGTGATCAGGGAGTCCAGTTCGTCGCGCTTCTCCTTGAGCTTCTTCACCAGCGACTCGATGGCCCGCTTGGCGAAGCCCTCGCTCTCGCCGCCCTGCCGGTGGCACATCAGCGAGTGGACGATGCTCAGGCAGGCGTCCGCCGATGTGGGGGCGTTCGACGGCGGCGGCGGCATTTGCACCATGTCCCGGACAATTACTGTGGGTGGATTAATTAATTAGTTGGAATTTGAATTTTTGGGAGTGGATTAGACCTTCTGTGTACCATTCAGTGGTGTTATATTTTTAGGAATTTTGAAATATCATGGAGAAACCATAAGAAATTGTACATTTTTCAAGTAGAACTTAAAAAATATAGACAGTTTATTTCTCGATATTTAATTTGTGGTTTTCCTTCAAAAAATCGATTTTATCGAATCTATGTTGCCAAAATATCGAAATTATCGATAAGTTTTAAGATCTAATAGCAAGGTCTTATAAAGAGATCCTTATAAGATAATTAATGGGATTCTTATAGGCGCTGTATTGTGAAAATATCGAAAAAATCGATCAGTTTTAAGCTCTGATAAGAAGATCTTATAAAGAGGTCCCTATGAGATCAATAATTGGATTCTTATAGGCGCAGTATTGTCACAAAAATAGATAATTTTCGAGCTCTAATAGCAAGATCCTATAAAGAAATCTCTTTAAGATCGATGATAGGATTCTTATATCGACTGAATGGTGCTCAGGGGCTATCGTTATCGTTATCGACTTACTGTCCTGCGGGGCTACGGCGCCGTACATGTGGGCGGGCGGACCCGCCCCCGGGCCGCCGCCCATGCCAAAGTCCTGGGAGAGTCCTCCCAGGGTGCGAGCATGGGCATCCACGGCGGCGTTGTTGCTGAATCCGGATCCGGAATTAGTCCGGGATTAGTCCGCGGTGGGTGGTGGGTGGCGGTGGGTGTTGTTGGGTGCCGGAGGGAGATGGAAGCGGGATGCGGACGAAAACACAAGACGGAGGAGGAACCGAAGGAGAACCAAACAAAGGCGGCACGCGAATGCGAGCACAAAACAAACGGCGCTTGGCTGGCTATGTGTGCGTGGGCTTGGGGGGTTGTGTTGTTGTGTTGCACACACACACACGCACGCCCAGCAACTTGAACTCCCACAAAGTTGGCGTAATTTCCCTGCGAAAACTCCACTCCACCTCCTCCTTCCTCGCGCACACACACACACTCTCGATTCCTGTTTAAATCCTTTCTAGGTACTTGTTTTCACTGTTTTTTCGGAAACTTTCATGGCGTGCACTATAAACGCTGGCAGAGGAACTCGAAAGCACAATTTTCCGCCCGACCAAATCCAGTTTTCCACTTTTCCACCCAATTTGCCTTTTTTCTCCTTTATTTTGTTGCGGCTGTAGTGTTGAAAAATGTATAAAAATATTTCGATACTTGATAAGAATAAATATTTATCGGGATATTTGTTCCCCCGATAACGTTTTCAAAACGTAGTGTCATTTCACGTAGTACGTAAGGGTCGCAACGTAATGTACGGCTTGCGCCTCGGCTAACCCTGCGTACATTTTAGTGAGACCATCAACCTTACGTTTGCTTACGTTCCGACTCTTACGTCTGCCGTTAAATCCCGCACCCGCAATGGTCATACTGTTAGACCATTTAGTCTAATAAGAGTTTATATTTTTTGGAAAAAGGAAGGAAGAAAAAGCAGATACTGATCAAAACGCAGAGGCATCCGGGTAAGTGAAAATGAATTTTCCTTTTCCACCCACACTCATTTCGCGGGCCGTTCCATGCGTAAAACGAACTTTTTGCAAGGGCTAAAAATCAATCGCAATCGCCACGCGTTTTTTCTATATGTAAGATGTAAGAGTGTGTGCGTGACGAAATTGAGGAAAGTTATCTTTCCGATTGGAAGTTGTGGAAAATCAATGGGTTAATAGCTTGTGCAACAGGTTGAGTTCTCATTTTCCTGTTGAAATTTACAGGTTTCACTTGGCAGTAGTAAAAGTTCATTCATTCAAATTTTGTGTGACAGGTTGTTTCTAGAAGTGTGTACATGTGTGTGTGTGTGTGTGTGTCGAGGGGCCCTGAAATAGAAAATCCCCTCCCCCATTTCCCCTTTTCTAAAAAAAATGTCCACTTGGCAACAGTGACGAATTTCCCTTTCATCGGGAAATTAATTTCCTTCCGTTACTTTCAAAACTCTGCTTAAAAACATCTTGCGGCGCAGTTTTCTATGCTCAGAACATCTTATCATAAAACTGCGTCTTTGAATCTGTAATCTCATCGGAATTTCGTTTTGAGGAGGGTAAATAAATATGTATGTATGTTCGAGTGTTTTTTGGCATTGACATTGATTGTGAAATATTCAGGAAGTTTCCTCCCAAAAAGAGACCTTGAATAAATCTAGGAACATTTTAACAGCTTCCTATGGTCAATACAAAAATATTTAGTCTTTCAATTAGCACCCTTAAAGCAGATTGCCTTTAAACACTCAAGTTAGGTGATTTTACTCCTTAATAGTAGCTTAATAGCCGAAATTTGGAATGCATTTACACTAATTTCGGATTTAATTTTCCATCCTTAAATCCTTTTTAGTTTCCAAAATAAAAACAAGTGACGCTCGGGAAAGTTTATCTTACATGGAACTGAAATGATTTTATTAATCTTCTATAGTTTTATTATAAACTATTTAAATGTAGTTCACAAATCCATTTTTGGCGGGCATATTCAAGTTCGATAACGTTAGTTACGTTAAACAACAATCGATAATCTTACACTTACTTTGCTTACGTTTTGGTGATGACAAAAACATCGATTGTGGCAAAAAACATCGATGTTTCTACAAAATCGATGCATTGTTTTCTTCGATGTCCACCTCTACAACAAAGCGTTCAGTTTCTCACTCGTTTCATTCGTCATTCGTAAAAAAACAACAAAGCCAAGAAGTACCGTTCAGCGAGCGCGAGTGTCGACTAGAAAACTAGAAATAGAAACTGAAAGGACAAAGTGATTTTCAACGCTCTTCGAATGTACAAATACAATTACAAAGCTTTGCTGAAGCACAATTAAGCTGGAAAAGCTGGAAAAGGATACGGAAAATGCACAGCTGATGGAGAAAAGTCCCAAGCACTTTTAGCCTGGTGTGTGTGGGAAAAATCGATCCGCGAACGGGAAAACCGAAAATGCCAGCCTGATAAACACAGAGTTCCAATTGTGATACAAACGCAGTACAAATTAGTTAACAACTAGCTTAAATGGTTTTATAGCGAACTATAAAAACGAAGCTGCCAGCCAATTTATTCACTTATTTTCGAGTGCAATACAAGCCAAAATTCTTAACTAAACAAAATCTCAACATTCCTGCGCAACACAAAAACATCAAAATGGCTGTTAAAACGTAAGCGAAATGTTCTAAATCCATTAAAAAGTCGATGAAATGCAAAAAGAAATTCTGTTTTTCGTCATCCATCAGATGATTTTACTTTGTTTGTGAAAAAAAGAAAATAATATATATTGAGGCATACATACAAAATTCGTTCATTTACGTGTTTGTTCCACTCCCAGTTCGTTTCACAGCTGTTTGGCTGGTGTTTGTGTGAGTGAGAGGGGGAGAGAGAGTGGGTTTTGGGGTCCGCTATTCATAGGTCGTTGCTTAGAGAGCGAGCGAGACAGATGTCAAGGGGGGTGGGTGGGGGGAACTATGCTGCCTGGCCTGCAGTAGTATGCGTGTATGTGGGGCTGTGCTTTTTATGCAAGCTGTACAACAAACATGTATGTATTGGTGCCTTTGTTTGGCTACTTGTTTCTACACCCCTTTTTATCGCCTATTCCTATTGCCTCCCCCTATTTGCATTTCTGTATTATTTCCAATTTGCGTCAATTGTTTTACTTTACACTGCCTTCCCTCCACCCTTTTGTTGTTCTTCTCCCCCTCTTCGCACAACAATCAAAGTGTTCCACTTCCAAAGTTCCCACAAAGACTTTGTGTGTGTGTGTTGTGTTCCCATTCGGATTTTTGCCTCATATACACACGCACACCACGGCAGCAGCTTGAAATTGCGTCAGCCCAAAAATAAAATATGTGCGACGAACAAAAACTACTTGTTTCTGTTTCAAAAAACACTTTTGCTCGAGAAGCAACTTGTTTTCTGAAACAGCACACAATTAACAACTGTTATTGCATTCCGCCTTGTACACCGTTTCTCCTTCGGTCGATTTCACCTTCAGCGCTTTTAGTTTGCTTTCTGGGTCATATTTGTTGATTTCAATTTGTTGCGCAGTCGCAAACTCGCACAGAATTGCTTAATTTGTTGATTTTCATATTTTCCATAGCCTCCAAAATAAAAAAATACATCGCATAAAACGACCCCCACGCACGCATACTAATGCCATACGTGGTTGGGTGTTTGCGTGTGGGTGTTGCTGCTGTACCGTTGTTTTATTTATTCCTCTTCACACTTGTTTTCATGTAAAAAGGTCTCTTCTTCTATTCTTTGCCCACCTTCTTTGGGGAATGATTGAGAGAGAGAGAGAGGAGAAACAGTGGGAGAGGGGAGAATTTACCCTTAACCCTTAGGTGGCCAAAACTCCAGCTATTTTTAAAAATATAAATAAATCAATAAACAAATTTTTCTGTTTACACTCTTTTTTGAAACCAAGTTTAATTTTTATAATTTCAAAAATGATTCAAAAAAATATTTCAAAAAAATCTCAAATGATGAAATAGTCTCGAATCCATCTGTCATCTAATCCTCTTCCACTTGCGGTTTTTAAGGCGCCTTTTAGCAGAAGTCGTCTGCTTTCTACCTGTTTTCTTGGGTTACAGCCCGCCATGAAATTCGTGTGTCTGCGAAAACGACAGACGACAGCCCAAAGTGAAATTCAATGCCGAAACTCACTTGAACGACAGCTGACCATCCCAAAAAGCGATATGTTCCCATTCCCGGGAAAAAAGCACTCAACTGAACCGATTTCTATCCCCTATTTTAAGCTCGTGCCAGGCGAGTTTTCAAGTCCCACCCTTTTCTAATTCGATTTTATGAAAGGTGACGAAATAATTCCATTATTCCCGACTGCAGCTGCCCTCTTTTCAGTTTTGCACTGCAGCTGTTTATTTTTTTCTGTGGCGGCATTTCTATGGGTTGTTTGACAATGGCGATAAGATCGAATCGCTTTATCGAACCTCGGTACTTACGTCATGGAATGTTACGAAATGTCCGCAACTCCTCTGATAACCGAATCCCCAGGTCTATAAGTCATCATCGGGATTGCAATGTACCAGGTACTTATCTAAATGTCAGTCGGGGAACCTTGGATATAATAACGTAATAACGCGTTTGTGTAGGATACAACTGTAATTGAGCCGATGCGATAAGACCAGCAATTACGCTGATAAATACAAAAGCTCTATGTATTAACAATACAAGGGAATTCTCTGCAATTACGCGTAAAGAAATCCCTTTGGGGGAGGAACTTCTGATTGTTCTTACTAAGCAATTATGCGGTCTTAAGGGTATTACCTAAATTTCTTATGAAATTAAAAAAATCAAGTCAAATACCAAAACCGTGATTTCGGATCATATGGCCAACCAGGTTTTTAAAAGAATGAATCACTAGACCATTATTATAAACCGTACTACTACCCCCAAAATCAGCAAATGGCCAGTGTTACGTCCATTTCCCTTTGTTATTTCGGGACTTTGAACTACGACTGAGTTGCCTGCGATTAGCACTCGCTTATCATTCCGTTTGGGCACGCTCCTCAGACGTTCCAGTGACTTTTGGTCACGTTCACTTTACGTCAGGGAAATTCTTATACTGCATTTCCGTTGATAATGAAAAGTTGCAGGGGGCTCGAGTGCACTGCAGTTTGGTAATTTGGACGAGTCACACGATCGGTAGATAATGGGCGAATGCAAATCGCAGGTCCCATTGACAGATAGGCGAGACGAGCGATCATAAAATATATATTAGAGCTACCTAGAAAATGAAATAACACTGAAAACAGGCTCGGCAAAGGTCGATCGCCTGATAGCGCTACATATTTTGAAATCCCCGAGTACAATGCCCGCTGCTGATCTTCCCCCTCCGTTTCTATTGTTGTTTCCGTTTAAGGTCTATTTCTTTTCTCTAACGAAAACACGGAGTTTCCTTTGTTTGCTGGGGACATTGGGAGATAAATTTCCTCGTATCTTATATAGCACATGCCACTGCAGCTGCTGCAAGATCATTCTTCTCATTGCCCCGCCACTTGTGGTGGGTCACTATTCAAATTCCCAAATATGAACTGTCAGCGGGGTGGATTCGATTCGAATGCTTTTGGGGTTGCTGCTCAGCAGAACCACCCTTAAGCCAACTGGCTGGGCAATTTCCTTCTTCCTTCCGTTAATTATAGCCCACGGCAAAGTCAACGTTTTTTGCACCTCTTTCACACATTCGAAAAAGTCGAACAGTTCAGGTTTCTTAGGGGTTGACAACGGTGGTTCAGGTTGTTTTAGACAGGAAACTATAAGAGCGGGAAATGTAAGGGAAAGAAAGTTCTCTTGGCGCTTAAGTATTGAAATGTTTGGTATCTCAACTTTTAAGATACAGTTACGAAAAATGTAGCAAAACAAACGAAATTCAAGATGCATTCTCCGAAGATTCTTCGCCTTCTTCCATTACTGGAAGCCTGTCTCCAGTCACGTTTCCATTTCTTCCATAAAAAGCTGGTCTTCACTCGATCTCTCTGGCCCTCTCACTCCCTCCCAGTCTCAATCTACTGCGATCTCACTCTCTCTTTGGCTGTCTGTCATTTGTTGACCTTCATCGATGACGATGATAAATGTACAATCCATTCGTTCGCTCGGAAAAAAAACTAAGTAAACGGAAGGAAAAGCAAAGCGTACGAATTAAAAACAATTGGTCATATGTTTGCGTTGGGAAATATTTTTGCTTTTAGTGGTCTTTTTTTTTTTGTTTACCATCCGCACTTTCGTTTTGGAAACGCACCTGTAACTTAACTTTCAATTGCAGTCGAGGGATTTCAAAAATACCTAGATAAAGATAAAGACAAAGAGAAGCTCCGAAAATATTTCACACCTGTCTGTAACGGCCACGCCCTCCTCCGCCGCCGCCCCTTGCGTCTGTTACGAAAATAGGCAAAAAGTGAAATTTTTTGTACGCTTCTGTTGGTATTTTTAACAACAACATTAAAAATATGGCTACACAGATACAGATACTTTATGTATCTTTCGGATGTGTGTGCGTACGTGCTTTTTGCGTCAGCAGAGCGCGCGCCAAAAAGAAAAACAACTCGTCAAATGGGGAAAAAATACAAAAAACACCAAGAAATAACTCAGCTGAGAAATCCGAGGTACATAACACTATTTTAAAGGCAACTGCAGTCGAGAAAAAAAAACCTTGGCTAAGATCAAAGGTGCGATAACTTTTGGAGCTTTAATTATGACCACCTTTGTTCTCGTTCTGTATTTCCTGTACAGTGAAACCACAAACAAATAGTGTTTTTCTGGTCTCGAAACAGAAAAACAATCATCGGATGTTGGCTTTATCAAGTAATCTTTCAAAACTGATACCATACAATACCGAAAAACCTTATCGCCAGTTGATATTTTTTAAAAGATACTAGCTATAGTTTCTTTTATTACTATACTTTCAATTGTATTTTTTACTGTGTACACTTTCGACTTGTTATGTTGTTCATTGTTATGCTTTTCTTCATTGTTTTTATGGTCAGCAGGGCGTAAAAGTTGAACTTTAACCTCTCTGCTTACCGTTATCAGTTTTAGTGCTCGAGCAGAGCTTTTTTCTGATTTCATTTCAAAGCTCTTTAAGCTGCGATCTCCATATTTCTTTCATGCTTACTCAGCAGCTTTGAAGTCCGAGGTGTTTTTTCTGTGGATTTCCCCCCCGTCCCTTGAAACGGGTTTTTTTCGGTGGGTGGGCGACCTTGAATTGCGGGCCCAAAGCTAGTTTCGCTCGTTTATTTGGTCTCGGTCTTTATAAATAGAACCGAACCGATCAACAGAAGAAACCCAAGAAAACGGAAGTCTTTTGCTGCCAATGCACAAATATTTGAAATGACGTTGCCCACATATCTTTAGTTCCACTCCCTATGTGTCACATAACCCGCATATCTGATTCACGGCTATATTGGGGTATTGGAAGATGATTCAGGGCGCGGTCAAAAATGTTTCTCTGACCCCATTATGATTATAAGTCGGAGTCATCGAATTCGGGGAGTCCAAATCACTCTATTTTCAATTTTACGTTGCAAATTGTATTATTACTCACTCTTAAAGGAATTTTAACTAGTTTTCAGAACTGGAAGATACAGTAATTTGTATTTATTATTATACAACTCTACTCATTAAAGTGGAATTTTTAGTGAAGATATATTTATTTTGGATTTCTCTGCTCGTACTTGCTTTTAGCTGCTGTTTGTTTTGCTAATAAGCAGCCTTGTTTATCTGGTTTGCCATGAAGCAGGTTAAACGCTTCAAATTGCCCTCACTTGTGGTTATTTTCGTATGCAGATTGAGGACGATCATCGGAATCGGAATGAGAAATAAACGAAACCTTTGGCGCCAGTTGCGTTTTCTACAATTCGATTCCCTCCTTGTTATACTGCCTCTCTAAAAATAGCTTTACAGATCCCTCATCACTCCGAGATATTCGGAATCTTAACCACATCTGGAGGCAATTTCATAGTTCCCCGAGTGTTTGGTTTAGCTTGGTTTATGTCATCTATCATACAATTGTTTACTCTATGTGAAGTTTTTGTTTTGGTTTCGGCAAGAGGAGAGAAAGCATTAAATGGGTTTTCCTGGGTTCGTAATTAAACTAGCACACCAAATATATAAAAATGTTTGCTCAAGTGTTTATATGTAGATTTGTTTTTCCTTTGTTGGGCTTTTAACTCAACTTCTAATCGCGGGCTTTTGGGAACAACTTTTGTCTGGCGGAAGTGTGAAGTGATATGGAAGTGCTTGGCAATAGGCTTGTTTACCCCTTTAAAAGATTGTTTGTAAGTAGAGTAAATTCGATATGGAAGGGAATTAACTATTAAATTGCTTTTCAATTTATTGTATAATTATTTATAAAATATTGTGGCATTTAAAGCAGCAAGGTCGGTAAACATTTTCTGTTTGACCGCCCGAGTCGGAATAATTAAGATCAACATTTGTTTGTTGTCAGATTCTATTCATGCTTCGGTTTCTTAGTGTCTCGATCTATTTACGTGGTTCGCCTTGAGGCGAATAAATGGAATCCCAGGTCCCCCTCCTTCCCATTAATTCAACCTTGTAACCGCGCGATTTGAATAAAAATGTGTCACTGACTGAGGTCGGTGCTCAAAATAAAATGTATACCAATGCCATCGTGTTTATTGCTTTATTCAGCGAGTGCAATAAGCATTTTGTTCCACTGTGCAGGTGTTTTTTTAGCCCAAACCAAAAAGTTCGTTAAACGCATTGAACACGATATATTTCGAAAGAAACACAGAAAAAGGGGGGAAAGTGCATTGCACTCGAACACAATCAATTAATTTGCATGCCATCCAACCATTGACTTTATTTTGAAACACTGTAATAATATTTTGATTTCTCTGTGCCCCAAAAACACAACCAACTTTTGCAGCTCGTAAGTTTTATTTGAATTTAGACAAAACACACAAACCAAAAAAAGCTATCATAAGCTGAAAAAGAAAATTAGCCAAGCGCAAGAGTTTATTATCGTGAAAAGCACTGAGCGAACACTTAATAAACCATCATTTTTAGCGCTTTGCACAGGAACTCGATTGGTATTGAGTTTCTGAACATATTTTCCATTTCATTAGCGCGACAATTGTGAGATCAGCGTACGCCAGACAAACCAAAAAGTCGACTTGTAGCTCATAAACCTAGAAAATAGCTATCGTCGAATTGTCCTTTGGTACACTGCCCGCAATTCAGTCGTCGTTTCGATTGATAACCATTGTAGAGGGTGTCTTTTGTTTGTTTCCCGTTTGCCAATCGTTGAAAGAATTGCATTAAGGTCACCGAACTGCTGGTTCATTACCAAAAAGCCAGCCAGAGTTTCCTCGAATAGCGAAATCTCTGAGTTCTGCGACCGGTGTGTGCAGCACAAGTTAGCAAACAGATTAGTTTTATTTTCGGTGGCGTTTCGATAGGAAGCACCAGTTTTCGGGCTCCCTGAAGCGCAAGATTTTGAAAAACAACCACGGTTCTCAAGCGAAAGATTGAGAGTTGCTTCATACAAGACTCGTTGATATCGGCCCGATTGGGAAGTCTGAGATCCGTGCGATAGCTGAAAATAAAAGCAAACAAAAAATCTTGACGAGGACTGCGAGAACGAAAGGACGAATCCCGTTCCTTCCCACTTCTCCTCCTTGCGATTTGCGATAACCTCCTGAGCCTAGACTTTCTCTTTGCATTTCTCCGACACTTTTTGGTCTAACCCACCGAAAGGAGTTTAATCTGAAACCTTAACATCACCTCAACAAAAACAGGTACTAGGCCAGCCCTCACAATGTCTGTCCCTGTACGCTACTCCTCCGCTGCCGCCGAATACGCCGCCGAAGTTGATTGCACCCTGCAACAGCAGGAACAAGAGCAACAGCAACTGCAACAGCAACACCTGCAACAGCAATACGAGTACGAGCAATACCAGCAGTACCAGTACCAACGGGAGCAGGATATCGCATACTATTGCCAGTTGCAGGCGGCGCGGCAGCAGGAGCAGTTGATGCAGCAGAGGACATCGATGTCGTCGTCGGTTATGCCAGGCCTCAGCTTGCCCCAGGACTTGGACTTGGATCTACCCACCCATCGCAACAACAACATGGACGCCCGCAGCATCAACGACATTCTGGTCGACGACGAGCAGCCCTCGACTTCGGCCCAGGCTGCCGCCGCAGCTGCTGTTGCTTCGTCTCTAAACGCTGGTGGATCTGGATCTGGACTGGGTGTGGGCAAGCTGGCCAACAACGGCATTAACCGCAATGCAGAGATGCCAACTGATTGGATGAGGATTGCGGACGAGGGCCGGTATGGGACACCGGGTGCTGCTGGCTTGGAATATCAGAAGTACGAACAACAACAATTGGAGGATGAAGAAGGAGCGGGCTGTTGGAGGAGTCGCCGCTAGCAACAACAATGGCGAGCCATCCTCGACCTCGAAGAAGCTGGAGGATCAGCTGCACGCCCTCACCTCGGATGAGTTGTACGAGACCCTCAAGGAGTACGACGCCCTGCAGGACAAGTTCCACACGGTGCTGCTGCTGCCCAAGGAGTCGAGGGTGAGTGTCTAGTTAGTTTATAACAGGGTTCGGAAAATAGCATACTCTGTAAAGAACTTGTATTATTAACATGTTGTGTAACTTAAAAAGTTATAATGAATTTTTTTTTTTTTTGACATATGACTACCTGCAATAGAAAGAAGATTTAAAGTTTGCGATAGCTTTAAACTGAAAGACTAGTTCGTATAGAAACGGACAGACGGCAAGACGCACGACGCACATGGTTAGATAGACTCGGCTATTGGTGCTGATAGATATATTACTTTATGTGGTCGAACGTTTCACTGTGTTATTAACATCTGACTGAAATTATAATACCCTCAAAAAGGGAAAAAAAATTTTTTTGTGTAAAAATTTGTTACTATGTTGAACATAAATAACGCACACAGTTTATTTGTGTTATTTACATGACGTTTTAATTCGTTAGTGTCCATAAAATTTTTGACATTTTAAAACGTCAGTGTGTAAAATAATATTGTTGAACAAAAACACAATTTACGGCTTTCTGTAGTGGAAAAAATTCACATATGCTTTGAAACGGTTTAAAATAACAATTAAGATACCTGGCTCAATATTGATTCTTCATTTTCCCTTCGATTCGTTAATGTGCATAAAATGTAATGTAATAATAAAACACAAGTGACACACAGCGTTAACATTTAACCTTTCTAACTAATCCGAAATCTTTTCCTTAGCGCGAGGTGACTGCCGGCGGACGAGATGGTTCTGCCTACGTGCTGCGCTGCCTGAAGATGTGGTATGAGCTGCCCTCCGATGTCCTCTTCTCGGCCATGAGCCTGGTGGATCGCTTCCTGGACCGGATGGCCGTGAAGCCCAAGCACATGGCCTGCATGAGCGTGGCCTCGTTCCATTTGGCCATCAAGCAGCTGGACTTGAAGCCCATACCCGCCGAGGATCTGGTTACAATATCTCAGGTGGGTTATGGATAGTTCTCTCTTGATCTTGCAGTTTGCTAACTTCTATCTAATTCAATTCCAGTGTGGTTGTACCGCTGGCGATCTGGAACGCATGGCCGGCGTGATCGCCAACAAGCTGGGCGTCCAGATGGGACATGCACCGATCACCTCCGTGAGCTACCTGCGCATCTACTACGCCCTCTTCCGCAACTTGGCCAAGGAGATTGGCGGCGACTTCTTCAAGTTCTACCAGCAGCTGATCAAGCTGGAGGAGCTGGAGAACCGCCTGGAGATCCTGATGTGCGACGTGAAGACCACGGTGATCACGCCCTCGACGCTGGCGCTGGTGCTCATCTGCCTGCACTTGGACTTCCACATCAAGGAGTCGTACACCCGCGGCAGTCCCGAGCTGAAGCACGTCTTTGAGTACATTCTCTTCCTGCAGCAGTACATGAGGGTGAGTTTTGGATGGCGAACATCTTGTAATTCGTAAGGTACTTATCATAATAACTTTACAGATCCCCGATCGCGTTTTCACCTGCGGCTTCAGCATCGTCTCGGGCATCCTGTCCCACTACAACGGGCAGAACAAGGCGCCCTACAAGCAGCGGCTTGTCTGGAAGCTGTCCAGTCGCACGCTGCGCGTCCTGCGCCCGATCAACCGCTTCTCCTCCGACCTGCCCACCATTGAGGAAGGCATCTCCAATGCCCTCGACGATGGCCTGCGATCGAGGTGAGTTTTGCAACTAAAAATGTAGAAAATATATCAAAAAATCGAAATGTCGATGATCTTTTTTTAAAAAAATATCATAGCGATATTTTTTTGGTCCAAAATATCGAACTTCGATATTATTTGTTAATGATATTTTGGTCCTTTCTAATGGTTATTAAATGTTTATTTATAATATTAAAAAATTAAATTTTTCAAAATCATCAATAATCATCGATTATGAATTTTTTTAAAATCCAAAGATCATCGATTCGATATTTAAAAAAAAATCGACCTATTCGAATATATAGGAAAAAGAAGAATTTTGAGGGATATTTTACAAAATTTCGATTGTAATGGAAACTTTGAAACCTAAAAACATTCGGACCTGGATCTCCACCGGTTCCTCTTTATTTTTAGTGATATTTCTGGCATAGCCAAACACGCGCATATATAATCTCGAATGTAAGCAAATGTGTCGATGACGATCTGAACTTTTTGGCGTAAACAAGTTTCTAGAATATTAGCGATTCCATTATCAGCCGCAGAGCAGCAACAACACAATTGTCATGAGACTGGCTGGCTCGCCCACCGATCGCCCCGCCTCCTCCGCAAACTCTTCAAACCGTCCGTTCTCTATATGCGTGTTTATGTAGCTATTTGTTTTTTATTTTCGCTGCTGCCCTTGTTTTTGCCTTTTTTTTTGGGCAACAATCTTATCGTTTCCAAATACCCGCTAGACGCAACAACAAAATACACGCACGTAGACCGCAGCGAGGGTCGCCAAAAGAGTCTTTGATTATGCAAAGCACATATATGTGTATATCTGCGGGGTATATATACCTTTCTAGCTATATCTTTTGGCCAGCTGTTGTGCGTCCTTGAATTCTCACATTGAACTTAGATGTGCATGTTCAATGTCATTGAATTTCTATTTTTCGCCCTGTTGTTTGTTTGCTTCTCTCTGCTGCTCTAGCTTTCTTTCCCCTAATTGCTATCTTATCGGCTGATATTGTTCTCGAGGCTCTTCGAAAAGTTAGTCATAAACTTTTGGGAGAGTTCAATGCACTGTTCCCCGAACTTTGTGTTCCAGTTGCACCTGAGCAAAGGCTTGCTGAATTATCAGCTGATGTTTTTCGGGGGCCTTGATTGCAACTGGGGCCTTCAACTTGAACTCGTTCGCTAATTGATTGCCCGATTGTAAAGCCATTATCAAGGTCTTCACCTTGAAAACAGGGAAATTAGAGGGGAGTTATTGATATCTAACAATACTTTGACGGATGAGCTTATACAGTTTTGGAATAAAAAGCTGTTTAAACCTTTAATAACAGGATTAGATATTTTCGAGGAATTAATTTTGGGTAAAATTATTCCTACCCACCTGACAAATCAACTGGTTTATCAACTTTCACTTTATATTTCAACACAGAAAAAAAATTAAATTCTAACATATTTCATATCAGTAAAAAAACGATATGATTGGTCTCAAATTTATGATTCAAACATATCAACTTGATATTTAAGCCTATTATACAAAATACCAAATTTAGTATTTTTTAAACAAATAATTTAAAATAAGATCAACATAATCTTTATTCATATCAAAATGATGTGGATACTTAATCTTAAAAAAATCTTTTGCCAATTTTATTTTTTATGCAGCTTATTAATATTTTATATTTCCGATTTTTCTCCTTTCCAGAACCGAGAGTATTAGCTCCGAGGAGGAGGAGGACTGGCCCACTTCACCCATAATTCCAATTTTCGAACAATGTTAGTATCCAGCCGCCAGCCAGCAGCAGTAGAGCAGCAGGGACAACAGCTGGACAACTGGAGCAGCGGACAAAAGAGAAGGGAACCATCAACCAGACGCTCGAGCGGAACACACGGAGCCCAAGCCTTCCTCGAGGAGATCAGGCACCAGACATATCCCCATCGGAAGCAGCAGAGCGAGGAGCAGCAGGAGGAGGAGGGATGTGTGTCCGTGAGAGCGTGCCGCGTGCAAGTGTAGTAGTGCTGGTTGAGGTAGAGTGTGTATATTTTGCTAAGGTGCATCATAATTCTTTTGGCATATACACAAGTGTGTATTTGGTAGCGCTGGTTCTAACATTTAAGAAAAACACTATGATATACGGAAATGTGGGCGACAGGGAAATGCAGCCACGCCCCCTCCCCCTTTTGAGAAAATTGTCCGAGAGTAGCGCCCCCCATAATTTTTTCAATTTATTTGCGGCAGACAAAAAAATACGTGAAAAAAAAACAAAAGCAAAAAAAAATATAAAAAAATTCAAAACGAATGCTGCGGACCATCATACAAAAGATTGATGCCGTTCCGGATCATTATTCGAGATCAGTGAGATAGAGAGAATACGATTTGAGAATTGCGAAGAACCCACGCCGAACATCCCGATCATCATCTGGAATGGGACAGCAGTTTTTTGTTGGTTGCGCTTGAGAAACCGTCGAAAAAAAAATTCAAAAAATCACAAAGAAAACCCCTTAAAACAGACCCCTAAATTAGTTGTAAACACTATGTTCTCTATATGTTTGTCCCCGCTCTTATCAGTTAAATGTAAAAGCCCCGAATCAATGGACCCAAAAAAACAACCACAAAAAATCATAAAATCTAAAAAAAAGTACAAAACGTTCTTTATGTATAGACCGACCGACCTATAAAAGATAAACTTAACACTAAAAAATCAATAAAAACAAGGTCAGATCAGAATAATCAGTAATTTTAGCCGCGCTCAAAAAAATATATAAAACGGAAACCCCATAGAAAAACTAAAGTATATAACTTGCCGCCTGTATTGACTAAGAACTCTTAACAATAATTATTAATTAAACAAAGATACGATGAATCCACGATATGTAGTGTGTGTCTAGTAGATTTTTCTCTGTATAACAAAAACAAACCAACAAACAAAAACGAACTCAATTTCCGCCCTAAAAAATCAAACGAAAGCACGTCAAATGCAATCTTTCATTATCATACGCAGCTAAGTAAATTTGTTATTATTACACAATTGTTTATCACTTGAACCAATCAATCGATCAAGCAATCAATCAATCAGCTTCGAAGGCATTGAGATTCAGTTCGAGTACCACGGTGATCCCCATTTTAAATATTATACCTTTACATATAATGCGCAATCTAATTCTTCTTCTTTTTTGTTACATAATATTATTTAAATTATTAAAGAAATTGTAAATCGAAATCCATTCTTATGTTGTACCATATATACCATACGAAACTACCAATTAAACCCTAGTTTAAAGCAAACCAGCGTTGAGACAAGGCCAAAATTCAAATTCAGATTGAAGCGCGGCGACATTGAGCAGAAATTATGATGCAACATTTAGCAAGATGTACCGAAAGATAAAAGATAAAGAGGGTTTTAGTAGAGAGCATAGGCAAGAAGAACTAACGCAGAGCATAAAAAACAATTGAAATTTCGCAAATTCAGAAACGTTTCTTCATATTTTTTTAAAGCCACTCCTGGCAGCGGAATGTGCAAACTCTTGTCTGTAAATTTGAATAAAATGCGTTTGCCCCGCCACAAGGGGCATTCAGTTTTCATGAATATTTACAACAAACTCGCCTGTTTTATTTCACTTTTGATGCAGTTCGCAGCGGCGTCTTCGGCGAAATGTGAGTACACCATTTCCATTATCCCCAGAGAATCCCCGCGATCAAATGTGTAAATAAACCCGGCGACTTTGCTGTAAATATTCAAGGATTCTCTATTTTAACCATTGTGCAATAGATTTTATAACACCTTTCCACAGCCTGAAGATCTGTATAAAAAGAAAAGCCGAAAAACGACAACATTGTTAACACAGTCGAGAATTAACTATATTTAAGCGACCGAAGAGATCATGTGTTCAGTGGTGAAAAAAACACGTTTTAGCTTAGTCCAACTTTTTAAATAAGAGCCAATTGACAAATAAGCGATTAAGAGAAAGGTGAAAGCGGTGAAATGGAAAGTATAGAACTAAGTTTTTCTACTGCCAACGGGCTGAGATTTCATAATTTTAACAACTAGCAAATTTTACATTGTATTTAGCGCGGAGTTAGTTAAATATTTGCAAGGATTAACATTAAAAACATCAAGAAAATCTCAATTATTGTAAAGTATATATTTAGTTTTAGTCCCTATTCGATCACTCATTTCCCATCGTCAGTTTTGAGCTTATAATTCGGTTGAGGTTTAGTTACTTAGGATTACGATTAGTTACGACGCGAAATGAATTCATATTGTACATTACGAACCACTCATTTTAATTTATTCTAAATTACCACCTGTAATTAATTAGATTCTACTTTAGGCCTCCACCCAGAATCGTTCTTTAAGCAAATGGATCATTGTGTAAAGAAAATATGGAACAAGTTGCTTGAAAGCAGCTGAAGCTCGTGATTTAAATCATTGTACACACATTACAACAAATAAATGGAAAAAAGTATTATTAAATGGTAAATGGAATACGTTGTTTTGTTATTTTTAGTGGGGAATGGGGAGTGTTTTGAGTAGCTTTTACTCATTTTAAAAATTTGTTACGAATTTTTTTTAATTTGTTGCTGAGATATTCCCCAACAAATCAGGGGTTATTTTTTAGATGCATTTTTGAAATACTTTCAGACCACGTATAGGCGTACATATTTCAAAAGATGGTTCTTTCCTGAACATTTATGTTTAATTTTTATTAAGGCCCCAATTAGCGGGAAAATCAAAAAATTCAAATAGGCCCCATGTTCCAAATTCCACCGTTTCACAATCGCCGTTAAGCTGAAAATAGGAATTTTAGCGTGACCGTTTGGTATATTCTTTTGGTGTTCAATTGATCGATGAATACAATATTCGTAAAGATAGTTTTTAAGACTTATGTCGCTATGCCCTTTGATCCTGCACCAATTTCCCTATAACTTATTGGACCCATTGAAGTGCAAATCCATTTCATTTAAAAAAGAAACCCGAAACACCAAGAACAAAAATCACCTGAACGCGTAAAAATACTGACAAAAGTACTGAAATACTGGAAATGCGGTCACATTTGGTGTATCTACATTCCCCGTTTGTATGCACATGTATTTTTTATAGAAGAAAAAGTTGTTTTGATTAAGTTTAAGTTTAATTAATTTAATTAAATTAAATAGCTAATTCTTTAAATAGCGGTTGTGTGAAATTAAATTAATCGATAGTGCTGAGATCGGTATATTTTCGGTATATACTATCGGTATGCGAGTCATCGATAGCCCAGCGGCCAGCCCGAGTTCCATCTCCAAACCTAACCTTCCTTTTCCAATAATTTTTGTGCTGTGTACACGTGTTTTACAATGGCACCCGTCGAGAAAGCTAAAAAGGTGGCCAAGTCGGCCAAAAAGGGCAAGAAGCACCCCGTCAACTCCTACCTGAAGGGCGGCATCCTGCGTTACTCGAAGGCGCAGGTAAATATGGCCGGGAACAGTGGTGAAATGGCCTCTGGGCCGAGAGACGCCTTATTGGCCTACACACGGCGTGGTCTACATATAGTGCTCCGATTCTCTGGGATTAACTTCAATCGGATATATGTTTGGTGGTATTCCAGTCAATGGGGATATGTTTCGCATTATCCTGTGAATTTGTGCTTTTTTACTTGTTAGATCTTTATTATTTCGGCCTTCAAAATGCTTGTAAACTAAAGCTCTTGAACAAATTTAGATTTTTGTTAAAAAACGTGTGAATAATAATGTTTATTGAGTGCCTAATAGGATAAACTATGCTTACTTTACCTATAATGTTTACTTATCACTTGAATAAGCTGATATATCTTTAATATCCTGAGTTATCACAGTGCAACAAGTGCCGAATCTATAGATACATCCATCTCTTTTTGAAATCCACTAAACTTTACCTCTAAAAAAACCAATAAATGCTATTTTACCCAAAGAAACAACTGAGAAATCTATGAGTAGACCACGTAAACAAACCAATAAACCTCCTTTGAATGGTATCTGGATTACCCAGCCCCGAATCGCACTAGTAATCCCTGCTAATCCATAATTAAACCCCCTTTACCCTTTACAGATGTACAAGCGTCGTGCTCTGTACCGCCTGAAGGACAAGAAGAGCCCCAGTGGTGCAGAAGGTGAAGGTGCCCATCAAGAAGGTGAAGAAGATCGGAGGCCCCAAGAACGGCGGCGAGCGTACCGTCTTCCTGAAGAAGTCCAAGGCCACCTACCCGACCAAGACCTTCGTGAAGAAGCGCCCCTCGAAGGCCAACTTCAGCGAGCACAAGCGCAACACGCGCCGCAACCTGACGCCCGGAACCGTGCTCATCCTGCTGGCCGGTCGCCACCAGGGCAAGCGCGTCGTCCTGCTGAAGACGCTGTCCTCGGGCCTCCTGCTGGTCACCGGACCCTTCGCCCTCAACTCGTGCCCCCTGCGTCGCGTGTCCCAGCGCTACGTGATCGGCACCTCCTCGAAGGTGGATCTGGGAGCCTTCCAGGTGCCCGAGCACCTGAACGACGCCTACTTCCGTCGCCTGAAGGCCAAGAAGGACAAGAAGAGCGGCGAGGCCGACATCTTCGCGGCCAAGAAGGAGCGCTTCGTGCCCAACGAGCAGCGCAAGAAGGACCAGAAGGAGGTCGACTCCGCCCTGCTGAAGGTGATCAAGGCCCATCCCGAGGGCAAGTTCTTCGCCAAGTACTTGCAGAACATGTTCGCCCTGCACTCCTCCCAATACCCCCACCGCATGCGATTCTAAGCGGTTCTGGGTCTTCGGTTTAAGGATTTTCTAAAGCAAAAACACTGTACGCGGTTAGACTAACAGGATTTGTAAAATAAACCTTACAAAACGGAGAGCTATCGTCTGTTTTTTTATTCAATTTCAAAGCAGGCTATCAAAATAATAATTTTTTAAAGTATTCGAGTAAGTTTTTGAACCTTTATGCGATTCCACTACGATTACAACACACTTTTTTCAAATTTTTCATTTTATTTCAATCTAACTAGGTACAAATTAAGAAATCCTATAACTACCAACTAGTTTAACAAACTTTTTTTATTCAATTTTAAAGCGGGCTATCGAAATAATCTTGTATCAAAGCATTTAAGTGAGTTTTTGAACATTTCTTTGTCATTGCTATACGATTTCAAAACCCTATTTTCGAATTTTTTATTTTATTTCAATCTAACTAGAGCTATCATATATTTCTTTACACAATTTTAAAGCAGGCTATCGAAATAATCATTTCCTAAAGTATTTGAGGAAGTTTTTATGCAATTACAATGCGTTTTTCAAAGAATATTTTCAAAATTTTCATTTTATTTCAATCTAACTAGCTACAAATTAAGAAATTTTTTTAACTACCAACTAGTTCTTCAATCTTTCTTAAAAAGCGATACTAATTTTTAATTTGTTTGTTATTTTTTCTTTCAATTGACAGGATTTCAAGACACTATTTCCAAAATTTTCATTTTATTTCAATCTAACCAGCTACAAATTAAGAAATTCTATAACTACCAACTATCTTAAGTGCAGATGTTATTCTCCTTCTCCTTGGGCACGTCGATGGGATCCGGGAGCTCCGGCTGCAGGTTCAGGGCGGCCAGCAGCTTCCGCCTGCCGTGGACGTACCACAGCATTTCTCGGTAGGATCGCGGGAGCACCTCGTCCAGCACCTTGTCCGCCCTGTAGGTCAGGTAGAAGACATTCGTGGTCTGCACCTTGCCGCTCTTGGCGTCCCAAATCTGGGCCACCGTCATCAGCTGGACGTAGTTCTGGGCGGCGTAGACCACGTAGGCGGTGAGCTGGAGGAACCGGTTCACGTGCACCGGGTGCATGAAGCTGATGTCCGAGATGCACTTGAGGATGGGCCGGTCGCCCAGGTAGATGCTGGCCATGATGAAGCTGATCTCGACGGCCTGGCGCATCAGGTAGCCGCCGAAGATGGTGTTCTGGGCATTCCGGTTCTCCGGGAACGGGGCGATCATCGTCGTCTGCAGCGAGTCCTCCATCCAGCGGCACTTCGGCGGCAGGACGCGCTTGTTGAGATCCATGCTGTTCGTGGGCGTGGTCCGCTTGAGAATCTCGTACATGATGGTCTGCTCGTACTCCCTGGGCGGCGAATTGAGCACCGATTCCATGGCGGAGGATTTGCGCTGCTGCTGCCGCTTCTCCGCCTGCTCCCAGATGAGCTGCTCGGTGGCGTCGCCAATCTCCAGGGGATTTATGGGCGCCGCTCCCGTGTTGGTGGCGTTTCTGGCCACCATCACAAAGATGGCCTTGGTCACGTCGATGTATTCCGAGCTTCCAGGTGCCAACTGCTTCACATAGATGGTGATCTCCATGGAACTGCGACCGGCCCACGAGATGTGGCCACTGATCTCGATGTCCTGGTCCACCTGCAGCCGCTCCAGGTTGGTGAACTCCACCTTGTCCACCAGCAGGGTGACGAAGGTGTAGGGCAGAGGCACTCCTTTCGGCAGCTTGGGCAGCTTGACATGGCGATGGCAGATCCACACCGCAAACATGTCCAGTTCCTCCATAATGCGACCCAATCTCACCCTGCCCAGGTGATTCACGTAGCTCTCGCGGATCAGCTCGCTGGAACTCAGGGGCAGAATGGCAGTGGTGTGGGAATCCAGCATGGTTCTGGACGGGAGTTCCTCTCTCTTCGGCTGATGCTGCAGCAGGTGATCCCGGGGCTTGGGAATGGCATGGTAGCCCACATCCACGCCGGATTGCTCGCGGATGATGCGGGCCACTGTGGAGAAAGAAGGGTTAAATGGGTTCTTACTGGATTCCGGATTATGCTATATACCTTCAACCATCGTTCCCGAGCGATGATCCGACTTCACCTTGGGTCCGTTGTCCAGCGTGTAGCTCCTGGAGGCCAAGATAGAGCAGTTGTTGGCCAACAGATGCCTTCGCCGGGCTGTTGACGAGGGGAACCTACTCACCAGCACCTTTCCAAATCCCCGGGCAATCCCACAAAGCATCGTTTGAGGTTTTCCGGTTGCTGGACCTTGGAAAAAAGAAATCCTAAAACAATAGGATTCTTTATTGCTATTTCCGGGTTTTAGTTCCCAGTTCCTAATACGTAATACAGCTCAGTTCGATCGGATTTGCATCGAGTGCTGTCACTTGGACTGTAAAATAGAGAGTGATTCTAGAACCCAAGAAAGAGCGTTGGCAAATCTTCCGCTAAATTGCGATTACATGGCTCTCAGCCCACTGAGAACCCGCGCATGACGATCACCTGTCCACTTGGTGAGAGATTCTTTACCTGCACTCGAAGAAAAAGAGTGAGATCATCAAAGGTTTAAATAATTCAAAATCATTTTAAAACATTTTTGGTACTTTAAAATACTACTTTAGTATTGTTAAATTTATATTTATTTTTACTATTTAAAATGTTTTTGAAAATTTTTAATTGATTTTTAAAGCATCTGAATTTTTTCTGTGCCTTCATCTTTATCTACAATCTAATCTAAAGAGGTGTAAGGATGATGTTATAAAAAAACCCAGACAAAAGATATAAATAAATTAAGTTATATATCTTTTTACAATATAAAATGTTTTTAAAAATTTCTAATTGATTTTATAAGCATCTGAATTTTCTCTGTGCACTCTTCTATACGTACAATCTAATCTAAAGAGGTGTAAAGTAAAGATGATGTTATGGAAAAATGCCAGACAAATGGAAAAGATATGAAAAATTTTACAACTAAGTGATTAGACGAAATATTTGGTTTAAAATACTATGTTTTCAATGTATCAATCCAACCCACAATCTTATCTGCATAGTGGGAGTACTGCGTGTCCAGGAATCATTGGCAATGGTCATGATCTGCACGCATTTAGCATTCAAAATAAAAAACCTGGGCCTTACTAGACGCTTTTCGGTTTTGATAAGGAACGAAATAAACTTTAGGTACTAACACATCTGGGTCACCTTTCTTGACCAGCATTACAATCCAAAATTTGTGCTTTAAGAAATAACACTGTGCTACAAAAATGATGCTTTTTAAATTTACAACAAAGTTTTAAAAACTAACACATCTGGGTCACCTTTCTTGACCAGCATTACAATCCGAAATTTGTGCTTTAAGAAATAACACTGTGCTACAAAAATGATGCTTTTAATTTACACAAGTTTTAAAACACAATGTGTGTGCCCATTTTTATTTCTTCCTTTAAAAAAAATCATCAAATTATTCCAAGTATGAGGTCTAAAACATAAAGAGTGTATTTTTTAAAAAACGTTAACATTAAAAAAATCATGAATCCGTTTGCCTGTGACACCTCCTGAAAGTTGGCCAATTCTAGCATTTTTTGAACATTAAGGTTCTGTGTTAAGAATCCTTGCGTCGGGAAAACGCAGTTTAACTTGGGAATTCTTAACGAATTCAAAAATATAGCATCCATCGAGGTAAATTTTTGATGTTGCTTAGTGTACATTTTTTGAAACTAATATATAAAATACACCAGTCTCTTTATAGATGAGCTATGACAAATTTTAAATTTATATTACAACCTGTAAATTTATCCAAAAAATGTTCAAGACTTGTCAACCTTGCTGGCTAAAAACTTGCGGCGACCATGGATGTACCACATGGTTTCGTGGTAGGATCTTGGGAGGACTTCAGTAACCGCATCCGGAGCCGAGAAGGTGTAGTGGAAGGCGTTGGCGGTCACCTGTTTGCCAGTGTAAGGATCCAGGACATCGGCCACGGTCATGATCTGCACGTAGTTGAGGTTCGTGTACACCACATAGGCGGTCATCTTGATAAAGCTATTCACAGTCACTGGCTTCTCGAAACTAATGTCCGAGATGTGCTTCAGTTTGGGGCGATCCTTGCAGTAGAGGAAAGCTGCCGCCCAGCTAATCTCCAGGGCACTGCGCATGAGGAATCCCCCGAAGACGGTATTATGATGATTCCGGTGCTCCGGAAACGAGGCAATCGTGGTCGTCTGAACAGATTCCTTCATCCAGCGGCAGTTGGGGGGCAGGAGACGCTTGAGAGGACCCGCGTGCTCGATGGGAGAGGTCCGCTTGTAGACCTCGTATATCAGCGATTGTTCCTGAGCGTTCGGTTCTACTTTAAAGACGGACTGGGCGCTCAGGATCTGCCGCCGCTTCTTTCTATCTGCCCCACCGGCCAGGATCTCCTGCTCCTCCTCGTTGGCCGGCTGTATGGGATTCACTGGAGCTGCTCCCGTATTCGTGGCATTTCTGGCCGCCATGAGAAAAAGAGCACGCGTGATCTTCTGGTACTTCTCATCGACCTTCTGCTCCAGCCACACCACCACCTCCATGGAACTGGTTCCCACCCAGGAGACGTGGCCGGAGAGGCGGATGTCCTGGGTGCCCGAGGCCGAGACATCGGTGAAGTCGATGCGGTCCACCAGAATGGTCACAAAGGTGTAGGGCAGCGGCACTCCCTCGGGAAGATTGGGTAGTTCCAGATGCCTATGACAGCACCAAGCTGGAAGGGATTATATATTATTAAACAAGAAGCCCTTTTGTCAAAGCAAAGGATTACCGGCGAAATAGTCCATGTCCTCGAGAAGCCTTCCCAGCCGCACGAAGCCTCTAAAATTGATATACTTGTCCTGCAGCACGGGATCCTTGCTCAGAGGAATGATGGCCGAGGTGAAGGAATCCTGCATAGATCGGGCCGGCAGCTCCTCCATCTTGGGTTGGTACTTCAGGAGCTCCTCCCTGGATTTTGGCTCCTGGATGTAGCCGGGCTGTAGGCCATAGCTCCTCATCATCTCCTCCTTGACTGGAAGAAGGGAATGCTCATGGTGTGCTTAATAGAATTTATAGTACCTACTCTCCACCATGGTGCAGTATTGACCCGGAGAATAGTAACGCCTATTAGATTATAGAGAATTAAAGGCTTTTAAAAAATGTAATTATTGTATTACTTTTTTAAACACTCACCTGGACTTTTTACTGGCCAGCTGAAGGAGGTTCCTGGCCGTATGAAAGCCCCTGCACTTACGGACTCCAAGCAATAAAGATAGCATTTAGAATTTTATAATTTCTAGAGCCGAAATCATCGAAACAGTTTTTAGTTCTAGTTCCACATTAGAAAAGGAAATTAAACTATACAATTTTGGTTATTTAAACAAAGATTAAGACCTGATATCAACAACATAATATGACACACCCTTCAAATCTCGAAAAAAAAAAAAAATTTTAAAAAATTTAATTAAACTATAGACCTGTGTTATATAAACATCGAATTTGAGGATATATTAACAACATATAATACAATTTCAGTAAACCTATATAAACAAGTAAACATGACAACCCTTTAATAAACATAAAGTTAGGATCCAATTTTAATACCATTTGCAAGGTTAGTAAACTGACAGTACACATTTATTGCTTTTTATAAACACAGAACTGGTAAATAGCATTTATCCCGAAGGAGAGCCTCGCTTAATATCAAGGGGAAAAATTCAGTAGCGGCACCTATTTCAAACCCATGCTGGCCTCGAACTTCCGGCGACCCTGGATGTACCACATGGTCTCGTGGTAGGACCGCGGAAGGACCTCAGTAACCGTGTCCGGAGCCGAGAAGGTGTAGTAGAACGTGTTGGTGGTCACCTGGCTGCCCGTGTGCGTGTCCAGCACATCGGCCACCGTCATTATCTGCACGTAGTTGAGCTTCGTGTACACCACATAGGCGGTCATCTTGATGAAGCTGTCCACGCTCACGGGCTTCTCGAAACTGATGTCCGAGATGTGCTCCAGTTTGGGTCGCGTTTTGCAGTACAGGAAGGCGGCTGCCCAGCTAATCTCCAGGGCACTGCGCATGAGGAAGCCCCCGAAGACGCGGTTGTGGTGGTTCCGGTGCTCCGGAAACGAGGGAATGGTGCTCATCTGGAAGGAGTCCTCCATCCAGCGGCAGTTGGGCGGCAGGATGCGCTTGTTCAGCTCCAAGGTGGTGCTGGGAGTGGTCCTCTTGTACAGCTCGTACATGAGCGTCTGCTCCGGATCGTTGGGCTCCACTTTGAAGACGGACTGGGCGCAGAGGATCTGCCGCTGCTTCTTTCGGTCTGCTCCGCCCGCCAGAATCTCCTTCTCCTCTTCGTTGGCCGGCTGGATGGGATTAACGGGAGCGGCTCCCGTGTTCGTGGCATTCCTGGCCGCCATGAGGAACAGAGCCCGGGTGAGCTTCTGGTACCTCCCATCCACCATTTGCTCCAGCCACACCACCACCTCGATGGAACTGGTTCCCACCCAGGAGACGTGACCGGAGAGGCGGATGTCCTGGGTGCCCGAGGCCAGGACATTGGTAAAGTCTATGCGGTCCACCAGGATGGTGACAAAGGTGTAGGGCAGATGAACTCCCTCCGGCAGATTGGGCAGCTTCAGGTGCTTGTGACAGCACCAAGCTGTAAATATAGGATTATAATTGGTTATGGTTTTATGGCAATGACTACTCCTCCTACCGGCAAACATGTCCATGTCCTCCAGCAGTCTTCCGAATCTCACGCTGCCCAGATAGGTCACATACTTGTCCTGCAAAGTGCGATCCGTGCTCAAGGGAATGATGGCCGAGGTGAAGGAATCCTGCATGGCTCTCGGGGGAAGATCCTGCCACTTGGGCTGGTACTTGAGCAGCTGCTCCCGGGATTTGGGCAGCGGATTGTAGCCGGGCTCCAGGCCCAATCGAGTCATCATCTGCTGCTTGACTGGGGAGGATCAGGGTTAAGGATAGATTCTATTCCGTTGGAGTAGAGATGCACTTACTCTCCGCCATGGTCCCGGATTCATTGGCCACCGCCGACTGCTTGATGTGAGTGGGCGGTGAGTAGTGACGCCTGTTGGAGGTGGGAAAGCATTTAATCTTTATAGGAACTTCAAATCCTGATAATGGATACTCACTTGGTCACCGCAAAGGAAGCTGGCGCCTGTTTGGTGGCCATCTCCACCAGGTTCCTGCTGCGGATGAGCCCCCAGCACTTTTGTGCTCCCCACAAAGAACGCAGCATCTTGGTTTTTACTTAATTTTAAACTTTTCTAACAACTTTTTCAATTTGTGTGTAACCTGTCTGCGATTTGACCCCAAATAAAACCAACTGGTCGAGGAATCAGCTGATTGGCACAGTGGGGCTACTCACTAGTTTTCTCAAGCAAATTTAAAGAATTAAAAAAAAGTTTCTTATAAAAAAATAGCTTTAAAATTAAGATATCTTAAGAATTTTAAAAAGGTTTTTAATTACCTTGAAATATTACATTTTCTACGTTAGTTATTGTATAATTCAGTACCTATTACATATAAAATAGGCAAAAAAGTTTAGATATTTATTATTATTTAAACTTGATTCATTTTGTCAGAAAGCCTTCAGTCTTACTTTATCCCCAATATTATAAGGCTTTGCCCCACTGTGCAACTAAAGCGAGAAATGCCTATGACGTCATCACATTTGTTGTTAATTTTAAATCGGGAAGTGGAGTCCCCTAGATAATAACCTTGAGAATTAACACACTTTAAATCTATGATTCATAAATTATACACAACTTATTAATGATTATAAAATACCACTAATTAAAATGTTTTGGACAACCTACTTTGCATACTTAAAATCTTAATTAAAATTGCTTAATATAATTATTATAGATATACCTAAAAAAAGTTAACTGAGCTCTCCTTTCATTTTTAAAATCTTTATTTGGGTTAATAATTATTTTTACAAATTAAAAATTACCTTCGATCCAAAAGTAATTACCTCAGATATTTCATCAAAAAAACTTCATTCGTATAAATTAAGTGGAGTTGAGAAACGGCAACCCTCCGCTTAGAGATTTAATTCCTTGAGCGCAAAGTTCAAAACCACCGGCAACATACCGGCATCTTCCAGATCCAGGATCTGCTGCCGGAGGTTCTCCACTGGATGGGAATGTATCATCTGCAAGAAGATTTTGATTAACTAACTACACATTTAAGTGCAAACCTCAAACCCACCTTTTTGATCTTTTGCCGCTGCTCGGAGCTCTGGCAAAAGCTGAGCAGGGCGGCGGCCATGTGGGGTCGGTGGACCACGACGCAGTGCTCGGCGAACTGCAGCAGATTGAGGGCATGGACCACCGGACAACCCTGCAGGCGCAGGAGCGTCTTGTGTAGCAGCTCCTCCTGCTCGAAGGAGCGCGACTTAACGGCGTTCTTCAGGGGATTGCAGAGCACATAGTCCCAGGCCTTGGCCAGTCCGTCCAGGTGGAGAAGATGCGGTCGGCAGCTGAGCACGTCCAGCAGGGCGTTCAGCTCGCGCACCATGTGAAACATGACCATGCGCTTGAGGATGCCGTTCCAGATTTGCGGCAGGTGGATATCGAATCCCAGGCAAATGTTGGTCATCACCTCCAGCGACAGGGGATTCTGCGCATTGCGCTGCCAGATCATCTTCAGGATGTCGATCTTGTTGCAGTGATCGTCGGAGAACTTCTCCAGATTCGACTTGTACCCCAAAGCCTTTAGCTCGTGGACGCACTTGATGCTGATAAATTGCCGCTGGTTGATGGTGTTCGTAAAGGAGTTGCTGCCGTCGTTCAGCTTGGAGTAGCACTCGTACATCTGCAGCTGCGTGGAGGTGTTCACGGAGCTGAAGTGGATTAAATAAGTTACTTTGAATCACTTGCTATTATATCAACTATTCTTACCCGCCCTTGAAGATCAGGCCCACTAGGAACTTGACCGCCTCCGCCTTTGGCCAACTGGAGAGTATGTAGAAAGCTCTGTTCACATTCTCGCTGGCATCCTGGCTGCTCGTTCCATCCGCGCCATTCGCCTGCTCCGGCCAGTTCTGCTCCTCCATGAACGTATCCTCCAGCATGGTGCCGTCGGGCGTGGGCTCCATGGTCAGCGAGAGCCACTTCTGCAGCAGACGGTACTGAATGGTGGTCAGGCAGAGGTCGTGCAGCTTGACGATCTCGCCAACCAGCGCATTGATGTCCACCTTGCTCGATTTGAGTATCAGTTCGTGGTGATACAGGGCGTGAATCAGCTCGGTGGGATTCTCAACCTGTCGCAGTAGCTTCTCATCAGACAGCCCGTAAACGTAAAGCAGATGCTGCGTTTTCTGGATGGGATACCGCCGCTTGACCTTCGCTATCTGTTCACGCGTCTTGGGATCAGTGATTAGATTGCCCTTCTCCTTGACGAATTTCCAGCACTCGTAGGAGGCCTCCACCTGGTCGGCTCCGTCGCGGGCATAATTGGACACAAAGTAGAGTATGAGGAATGCCTTGTTGGGGTTGTTCACCTTCTCTACCAGCCGAAGAATCGACTGGAGGAAGGCATTGTTCGTGGGCAGCAGACTCCACGACTCCGATTCATTCTTCGACTTGTACTCCGATATCGAATTCTTCACTGCCGACATGCAAAAGTAGTCGCAGTTTTGGGAACTATCCTTGGCTCCCTTCAGGGCCGTGTACATCTGAATCAGGGGGAACCAGCTCTGGCAGTTGTCCACACTCAGTTCGCTATCTAAAGTAGATTAAGAGAAATTGTTAAAAATAAATATCAGGGTTCGGAATATAACACACATGTTAAAAACATGTAAAATTGTATTTTACATGTGTGTCAAAAACAAAAGTGTTAAAATGTGAAAAATAATTGTTAGCACACACAGCTCACTTGTGTTTTTTACACAATGTGTTATTTGCACGACGTGTTGTTTACACACTGTGTTTTTAACACAAGTTCAACATATATTTCTGACGTTTTAATGTCAAAAACTCATTGTGTTAAAAGCACGTTGTGTATAAAATACGTCGTGTTTATAACACGTCGTGTAAATAACACAAATAAACTGTGTGTGTTATTTATGTTTCTAACATGAGTAAGCTAAAATTTTTTTTTTTGATCCTAACACTTTGACATTTAACATGTTAATATCACAAGTTTTTTACAGAGTGTGTTGTTTTCCAAACCCTTATAAATATTATACATTTCATACTATCTTTACCTAGGATATCCTTGAGAGGCTGCTCAACGATGGGCTTAAAGGGCAGACGGTACCGGGATATCTTCGGCATGACGCCGTTTTCCCTCTGCGATTTGAGCCACATGTCCGTCTCCACCTGACCCGGCCGATTGCGCCGCCTGGTAATCATCTTGTGCCGCAGGAAGTGCAAGATGTTTGTCCAGATCTCCATCTCCTTGGGTGCCGCATCAAAGTACATTAGTATGTTGATTACACACATGTACAACTCGTAGAAATAAATGTTGATCTGAATGATAGGTTAATGATTAAAAACCAGAAACACAAGGAAGTAACCCAGTGAACTTACTTCCTCGATAAAGTGCTTCAACTTGGAGATGAACAGCTCTACGTTTTTAATTTTATCGATGTACGGCTGACACATGTCGCGCATTTCCTGGGCGCTGCTCAGCATCACCAGCTCCTCGTCGCCGAAGGTGTCTCGCTTGACCTCGAAGCGCAGCTCCTGGGCACTCAGAATGCTCAGAATCTGGGTGATGAGAATCTTCTGGTAGTCGAAGCCAAAGTCCTTGCTCATGCGCTCCAGCAATTGCACATCCAGCTGCTTGTTGTGAAACTCCTTGAGCAAATCCTCCACGTTGTCCATGTCCGCGTTGAACTTGCCCTTGATCCTGGGATCTTGCTGGCAGAACTCCAGATAATAGTAGAGTTTCAAGCGCCTGCAAAAAAGTAGCAAATTATAAGTGGGATGTATTAAGCCACTTTATAGATTACTTACTTTGCCCGTATCATTTGCACATTATCCAAATCCTCCATGTGATCGTGATACATGGCCGATAGCGTCAGGAAGTTGATCTTTTGCAGGTCCGTCTTCACCTCCGTGGAGAGCTTTTCCAGCAGAGCCAGTGCCTCGCTGTCCACCACCAGCATGGTGAAGAGCTCTATAAAATTGGCATCCTTGCTGCCCATCGCATTGCGGAAAATGCGGCGCAGCTGCAGCGTAATGAAGCCCTCGTTGATGATCCGCTTCTTGCGGCAGTTTTGCTTCTGGTAGTCGAGCAGATACTGCGACATCACGTACCAAACGTCGTGCTCCTTGGCCTTGGTCAGGTGTTCCAGCGACAGGAAGAAGTCCGCCCGAGCGCTGTCCAGATCCGCCTTGGTGTTCTCCGCCAGTCCGTGGCTCAACTGGCGCAGCAACGAGTTGCTCGGCTCCGATTCAATCACCATGAGCAGCAGGGTGCGAGCCAGAAACTTGACTATTGCCATGTGACCGCCGATTGTCTTCTGTGAAAATTATTAATAATTAAAACAAAAAACAAATAGAATTTTAGTAATTAATGTGATTTTTTTAGATTTTTCTGTCAATTCGTTCTGGGTGGAATTTGCTACTGACCGTTTTTAAGAGGTCGAACTTTATATTAGTTTAGACAATTAATAATTACCTTCTGTTGCAGCTGCTGGACAGGCTGCACCTCCACCTCATCGAACATCGACACCGAATATCTCTTCTTTGGCATTGTGGGCACCTGCAGGGACTTCACGTCAAAGGATCCGTTGAGAGGAATGGTAAAGTTCATCGTGGACTCTCCCATGACCACGGTAATTCCATCGAGGGCCCGGCAAATGTGCTCGTTGACGGTCTGTTCCTTGCCATCGTAGTAAGTCTGGATGGCGTTCAGTGGATAGTGGATCACAGCCACGCGAATGTACTTAATGAGCTCCACCAGATCCCGACGACGACTCTCCTCGTGCAGCAAGGCGGATGTGAGCAGCTCGTAGGCTAGGAAAAAGCAAAGCGGATCGCTCTCGTTGATCAACTGCAGGGAGGAGGCACTTTCTGGATAGTAAAATAAGGGGAAAAAGATCAAGTCAAGGCAGTAATTTGATAGTAATGGTAATAAGACAGTTACCTTGACTCTGCCCCTTGGCATTCTCGATTTGCTGGACCAGCAGCTCAATCGCCAGGTTGATAAAATCGCCCGCATTGGCGGCCACACAGTCGACGAAGCTAATCAGGTGGAAGGCCAAAGCACAACTGAGCGGCAGACAGCCGATCCGCTGGCAAATGCGCGTCAGGCCAAACACCTTGGACAGACCGAGCGCCGTGCAGAGTTCGCCCATTTCGCTGGCTATAAAGGCGGACACATTCAACGTGGCCTGAGCCCGTTCGATGATCCTCTCGATGGCCTCGTCCAGCAGGCTGTGGCGCCTTTGCAGCGGTATCAGTTCGCTGCTGCAGCTCAGCTGGATGCCGAACTTCAGCAGGCGGAGGCGGTGCTTCATCACCAGGTAGCGTCGCTCGTAAACGGAATCCACGTACGGCAGGAAGAGCTTAAAGAGCTCTAGAACATTCGTGTGCTCCTGAATCTTAGCCTCGTCCTCAAAGGAAACAGAAGAGCTGTTCTCCAGGAGGTTGGCGATGATCTCCACCACTTGCTGTCCGTTCTTCGAGTTTTTATCCGCTATCAGCGACTTGAAGAACTCGTAGGCCAGATCAATCTGGCCTCGCCGGCCCATCTGGTAGCAGCAGTTGAAGTTGGCGCTGACCGAGATGTCCGGCGCCGCCTTGGTGAGTGCCCCAATGTCCTCCAGCATGTCTGGGAGGTTCAACTTCACGATCCGCAACATAAACAGCTCCAGATTGATGTCCGAACTGTTGGCCGGCCAGCCATACTTCACTTTCATGATCTTGATGACCTGTATCTCGTACTCGGCGTTGATTTTTATGGCCAGCGGATGGGTGGAGGAGCGCAGCCTGATCAGGGGAGCCAGGGTATCTGGCCAGGGAACAGGGGCGTTCTGCAGCACCGACAAGGCGCACTCCAGGCGGCTGTCCTCGTTGTGCAGCAGCTCAATGCAGGCCATCGCCCGTTCCAGCCAAGTGCTGGAGGACTGGCGACTGGCCACCAGCTGGGATATGTACTGCTTGATCACCTCCAGGGGCTGGCGACCCTTCTCCTGGAAAATGGGGTACATGAAGTTCGTCACCAGCCGCTGCAGCTTGTCCAGTTGCACGTGCTGCAGAATGCTCAAGGCCGTGGCGTCGATCGAGTCCTGCATGTAGTTGTCCAGGGTGAAGCCCATGTTATAGTTCGTCTTCAGCACGGACAGATCCTGGAGAGCGTTGACCAGGTCGCGCAGCTTTCCCACGTTGCGCTCCTGCTGCCGTCGCACATCGCTGAAGGGATTTAAAATATTTATTATACAATTTTCAAGAGAGAACAAGAAAGGAAGGTTGTATACCCTTGCAGATCAATTATATTAATTTACAAATCGCAAAAATTTTAAATTTCCTATTATTTCTCATTAATTTTTCGATCGTTTCTATGGCAGCTATATAATATAGTATTTCGGTTTTGATAAAATTCAAATCGGAATTATTTAAAATGAGTCATATCCTAGAGAAGAAAAGAACACAATAAAAACCAACGAAGCAATAATTTATTTCCTATTATATTTCCATTTAATTTCCGATTGTTCCTATGGCATCTATATGCTATAGTTGTCCGATTTTGATCAAATTTAATTCGAAATTCATAATTAGAGAAAAAATGGCATTTCCAAAAGTAGGAGGTTATAAGTTAAAAAACACCCAAGATAACATTTTTTAAATTTTGTTCCCTATTATTTCTATGGGAGCTAGATGATATAGTTGTCCGATCCGGCTGCAAAAAAGAGAAGAGTTTTGGGAAAGTTTCATCCCGATAGCTTTAAAATTGAGAGACTAGTTTGCGGAGAAACATACGGACAAACGGACGGACGGACATACGGACATGGCTCGATTGCAAACTTCTAACTGAAATCGTAATACCCTATGAAAATATATAAAAAAAATAGTTTACTTACGAGTAAGTGAACTGGATTTCCTCGAATATATCCAGTATCTTGGTGCAAAACTCCAATCCAATATCCGGCCAGTGGGGACTGTACTGCAGATTTCGCGTCATCTCGACGCTCCAGTCGGTGATGAAGGGCATTATGCTGGGATGCGTGTTGCTGACCATTGGAATGAACTGGCGCAGCCACTGGACCACATTAAACGGCTTCGTGTTGCCCGGAATGAAGCCCAGAAGCTTGCGCAGCTCATCCTCGTTCAGCAATGGTAAAATGCTGCTCGAGTGCCGTCGCCAGATGAGGCAGGCCGTCGGCATATCCGTATTAAACAAGGACTTGACCATCCGGACCAGGTTGTTGTCGTAAATGAACTTCTGCCAGTCCGTGTTGCACTCGTAGGGATCTATGATGGCGAGTGTCTTAAGTCTGTGCAATTGCTCGTCGATTTCCAGCACATCCTCCTCGTCGTCCTCGAAACTCAGGCGCTTCTTCACCTCGCACAGATAGCGCTCGAGGATTTGCCTCGAACTCAGGTTGATCATGCGATGCGATTTGATGAAGGCCTTGCTCTCCACCTGCGATAGCAACTGCAGCAGGTTCTGGAACTTCTTGTCCAGCTCGGAGGGTTCTTTATGCGAATTTGAGTTGCAGAGCTCGACGAGAATGCGTTTGGCCTTGGCTTCGTAGATGGGCTGCAGGCAGAGTTCGAACTGCTTGCCGAATTCCTGTTAAGGAAAGGTGGGATTAGGGAATATCTGAGGAATAGGAATCATTAAATTATGTACCTCCGCCTCTTCCAGGCGCCCCTTGGCAATCAGCTTTTTAAAACGATCACCGGGATCGGTCTCGGAAACGAGCATCATCTCCACCACCGAGGGAATGCTGCTGTGGTTGAGCTCCTTGGCGGCCAAATAATACAGATTCACAGCACACTTTGGCTGACGGACAAGCCAGGCGTGATCGGGAACCTCCACCTCATTCTTAACATTGAGAGCTGCAATGATTAAGGTAGTTAGTAGTTCCGAAAATAATCATTATTTTTGATTTTTTGATCCTAAAAATCAGTCACTTATAATAGTCGGAAAACCAAATGGAATACACCTTGGTTTTTGATTTTTAATTGATATTGCTCAGAAATAATCATTATTTTTTAGTTTTATAAATATGTGTCATGAATAATCATAAATTGTAAGCAAAAAAATATCACTCAAAGTGCGATTTCAGCCGTTGTAAGCTAAGTTTTGCAAAGATTTAAATGTGTTCTCGTAGGTGGAATATCTACTAGATATTATAACATATAATCTTCCTACTTGGGTACTCCACTATCTTGATGAAGCGTCCCTCATCCGTGGGCTTTGTGAGCACCAGGAGCTCGATGTTCTCCTCGCTGCACTCCATCACCAGCAGATCCTCGATGAGCAGGCTCTTCCGTTGGCTCGTTTGGGCCAAATGCACAGTGCGAGTGTAGGGACAAATGTCCAGCAAGTGGCCCGAGTTGGTGAGAGCAATTCTGGGATAAAGCAAATTAGCTTTAGATATCATAGACCCATCAAATCCACTCACATGTAGTGCTCCAGATTGAAGATCTGCTTGAGGCTGCCAAAGTGGGCGGGCAGATTGATGCGGCTCGCATCGCTGGCGCCGCTCTTGAAGTTCATGGAGCTCTGATCCCCCGAGATGACCAGCCCGGGATGCGTGTCCAGTTCTTCCTGGTTGTTCTGGGTAGTCATATTGCCCGCTACTAGCTGTCGGAGGAGCACGGCACAGTCCACATTGCCGGAAGAGCGCCCTTTGGACAGCCGCTGAATGGTGACATCATCCAGGATGGCCTTTTCGCAGGCAATGGTGTCGTTTTCATTGAGCGTCACGTTGTTTAGGGCCTCTAAACTAGACTCATTGATGTGGCTCAGACTGGAAGGGATTACTTTAATGGCTAAATAGGATATATAACTAGTGTAACCCACCTGTAGATGCTGCCATTCTTGCAGGTAAAATAAAATCTCCCCTCCAGCTGGTGGATGCTGCGGAAGGTGCCGCCCGTGAGGCTCACGTCCTCCAGATTCACGGCCACGCTGAAGAGGAGCAGCCCCTTGATGAACACCCCATGAACCTCGCCATCGGAGAGTCCGCAGACAATCAGATTGCCGCTGGCGGAGATCGCAATGGCCTCGATGGCCGCGCCGAAGCCCAGGAAGCTGCACTTGGCCACCAGTTCGTCCTCCAGCAGGAGCAGGCTCTTGTCGATGCCAATGACCATCTTGCCGCACTGCACGGAGGCCAAAACATCCGGATATTTGTTTACCTTCGAAGGAAACAGGGGAAAACTTGCAATCTAACTGTAGATTCGCCTCCAAAATGACTCACTTCCTCCTCGCTGCTTATCTGGAAGATGCCGCGCGACGAAAACACATTCGAGATGGTCTCGTCCTCCAGCGCCGAGGCCTCAAAGTTGCTCCACATCGTTCTGTAATCCCGGCTAGCAGAATTTCCCAAATTGACCAGTTTAAACAATACGCCGCCAAAAAATAAACAAGCGTCACCTGGTTTATCGCCGATAACTCTGGCTGCCTATCGATAGGCGACCTGTTTTGGGGAAATACAGAAATTAAACGTCCTTACACCTAATTATTTAAAGTTAATTAGATTTAATTACCTTTCTAATTTATTCCGTCACCACAAAAACCCTTTATTTCGTTTATTTCCACATTTATTTAATTTCGGCGTGCTCGCCCGCTCTGGTCACTCTAGCACGGCCGCGGAATTCCGGCATTTCGCCTCACGTCGACAAACGGCCACACCATCGACTTGATGAAAATTATTTATATTTCGCTGCTTGCACGCAAAAATTGGTCAAAATAAACACGGGTTAATGTGCTGCGGCTGAGTAACGGTACAGTGGTCAGTCCGCCGGACCGCCAGACGCGCGTAACGGTAAGCCGTGCGAGCGCCGCGCCGAGAACCCCGCTAATTAAAAGTGGATGCTGCTGCAGCAGCGGCCATCGGAATCGGAATCAACAAACGCCAGCATTGAACGCCAGCTAAACGCGATAATCGCCAACCGCCGGTTGTTTTGCCACCCAATTAAGGGTTAAAGCCAAACCCCCAGTTAAACCCCGTAAACAAACAACGGTTAATCGCCCTGCCAGTGCAATTAAAACGGGAAACGCAGCGGAGGACATAAAATCGCTGGAAAGAAGAAGAGCGCTGGCCAGAAAGCGCCTTTCAAAGGGGTTTTGCGGTTTAAAATCGGTGGCAAACTAAAGTGCAGAGTGCTAAATAGACGTAGTGCTAGAAATTCCCAGTTGAGATCCCCCGAAAAAGCGAGAAGCGGCAGGTGCTTGGCGCTTTTGAAGCGAGACAACACGACGCTGGGTTGCCAGCGTAGAGTTGCCAACGTAGAAGACGGAACAGGGTTGCCGTTCGTTGCGCAGGAAAGTGTTTACCTGTGAATTTGTAGGAAGAAACTTGATTTTCCCACTGATCCTGGCCAGGAGATGACTTGGTGAGTAGTGGAATTGGTCAGGAGCATCCCATTTACTCATTTCCCGCCCCCTGCCTCCCCAGGAACTCAAACTTGAGGCGGTCACAGGCCGGATAACCGAACCCACCGATCGCAATTGGTCATCCCAAGTCTCTAGAGGATTAGCGACTCCACGCACTCGCACCAACTACTTCCCCCCGCGTCGAGATCTCCTCGAGATTGGCGACGCCGCTCACATCCGATTTCTTGCCCCACACCCGTCGAAGAAAAGCTGCCACCATTCGGAAGAAGAACACCTCGAATATGACCCACAATCTCGGTATGGCGCCATATAGATTGCCGGGTCCAGCGGGCGGGCTGTGTCCGCCCGACTTCAAGCCGCCGCCCCCGACGGACATCATCTCGGCGCCGAGCAATCCGAAGAAGCGGCGGAAAACCTCGAATGCCGCCAACTCGGCTGCCGCGGTGGCTGCTGCGGCGGCTGCTGCGGCCGCTGCTGCGAACTCCATGCAGCAGCAGCAGCAGGCGCCTCCGACGCCGCAGGACCTGCTGCCGCCGCCGCCGATGGGCGGCTTTGGAGACACCATAATTGCCTCGAATCCGTTCGACGACAGCCCCCAGGTTTCGGCCATGTCCAGCTCGGCGGCCGCGGCGATGGCGGCCATGGGACAGATGGGCGGTGGGCCACCAGGAGGTGGTCACTTCGGTGGTGGACCGGGCGGCCATCCGCACTGGGATCCGCCACCGCCTCACATGCATCCCCACATGCACCCGCATCCGCATCATCCGGGCGGCCCCATGGGTGTCCATGGTCCGCATCCCCACATGGGCGGTCCGCCGCCGATGCGCGGGATGAGCCCCATGCATCCCCACCCACAGATGGGACCGGGAGTGGGTCTGCCGCCCCACATGAACCACGGCAGGCCAGGAGGACCCGGCGGACCCGGAGGACCCGTGCCCATGGGCAGCCCCATGGGCGGAATGGCCGGCATGGGCGGCATGAGCCCCATGGGCGGCATGGGCGGCCCCAGCATATCGCCCCACCACATGGGCATGGGCGGCCTCTCGCCCATGGGCGGCGGACCCAACGGACCCAATCCCCGGGCCATGCAGGGCTCTCCGATGGGCGCTCCCGGGCAGAACTCGCCGATGAACTCGCTGCCCATGGGCTCGCCGATGGGCAATCCGATTGGCAGCCCACTGGGACCGCCAGGAGGACCTGGAAATAATCCCGGCAATCCCCAACAGCAACAGCAACCTCCGCAGCCACCGATGAACAACGGGCAGATGGGTCCGCCGCCTCTGCACAGTCCGCTGGGCAATGGACCCACCGGCCACGGCAGCCACATGCCCGGAGGACCTATTCCAGGACCAGGACCTGGTCCCGGTGGCATCTCCCCCGCGCAGGGCAACAATCCCGGCCAGGGGAAACAACAATGGAAGCAATAACGCCAGCAACAACAATCAAAATCCTCACCTTTCGCCGGCCGCCGGACGCCTGGGAGTCGCGAACGGCCCCGCGGTGGCCTCCTCCTCCTCCTCGGTACCCTCGCCCGCCACGCCCACGCTCACGCCCACTTCGACAGCCACGTCAGTGCCTACATCCTCGCCAGCGCCGCCCGCCATGTCACCGCACCACTCGCTGAATAGCGCCGGTCCGAGTCCCAGTCCGCTGCAGTCGCCCGCCGGGCCAAATGGTCCGAATAACCCAAACAACAGCAGCAATAACAACAACAACGGACCCATGATGGGCCAGATGAACCCCAATGCAGTTCCTATGCAGCACCAGCAGCCGCAGCAGCAGCAGCACATGGGCATGAACCAGATGCTGCCGCCGCAGCAGCCCTCGCATCTTGGCGCCCCGCATCCGAACATGATGAATCACCCCCACGGGCATCCCCATCCGCATCACCACCCGGGAGGACCACCTCCCCACATGATGGGCGGTCCGGGGATGCACGGAGGACCTGGGGGAATGCCGCCGCACATGGGCGGTGGACCCAATCCGCACATGATGGGCGGACCGCATGGCAATGCGGGTCCCCACATGGGCCACGGCCACATGGGCGGAGTGCCGGGACCAGGACCCGGACCAGGCGGCATGAACGGACCCCCGCACCCGCACATGTCCCCGCACCACGGTCACCCGCATCATCATCCAATGGGAGGACCTGGACCAAATATGTTTGGAGGCGGCGGCGGAGGAGGAGGCCCCATGGGACCTGGTGGACCCATGGGCAACATGGGACCCATGGGCGGTGGACCGATGGGCGGACCCATGGGCCCCAAACCGATGACCATGGGCGGCGGCAAGATGTATCCTCCGGGGCAGCCGATGGTCTTCAATCCGCAGAATCCCAATGCGCCGCCCATCTATCCGTGTGGAATGTGCCACAAGGAGGTGAACGACAACGACGAGGCCGTGTTCTGTGAATCCGGTTGTAACTTCTTCTTTCACAGGTGGGTTTATAGTATGCATTATTTTGAATTTTTCGTTTTATATGAATGAATTAATTAGGGATGTCGAAATATCTAAAAATATCGTATCGATGATATTTTTTATTGAAACAAAAAATTAAAATGATATTTGATATATCAGAAAAGAAATAACTATATATCAGATATTTTTAATTTTTTGCTTTATTATTATTTTAATATTTATTAGTTTTTAATATCATTATATTTGATATTTTGATATTTTTTGCTTTATTATTATTTTATTATTTATTAGTTTTTAATATTGATACTTGATATTTTGATTATTTTTAATATCCCTAGAATTAATTTGAATTTTGAGTTAATAGAATGGAATTGAATGGCATGAATTCCAAAATATTTCCAAACGACAATTTCTTTTGGAAGGCCATAATTTTATAATTAAATCGGCCTGAATTTTATTTTTACTAAGCAGTTAACATTGTTAAAAATTTTCCCCTTTTTTTTCCCAAAAAAAAAAAAAAAAAAAATCTGGCAATTCAAAAAAATTTATTCACTTCATTTGTTCTAAATTCGAAATAAAGCAAAAAACATTCAATTTGTTTCACTATAATTTAATTAAACAAATTATAAATTTCAAGGCTCTAGTTTATACTACTTGTTAGTAGAAGTTTATGCTAATTCCTTTCTCCTATTTTTGCAGAACCTGCGTGGGCCTCACAGAGGCCGCCTTCCAAATGCTCAACAAGGAGGTGTTTGCCGAGTGGTGCTGCGACAAGTGCGTGTCTTCCAAGCATATTCCCATGGTCAAGTTCAAGTGTTGAAGGGGAATAGGAATTGGAATCGGAATAGGAATCGGAACAGAATCACCAGCTAGCACTCACTCACTGTATAAAATATTCAAGCATTAACTCTATCTAATTGTAAGACTTAAGCTGCTCAATAGTCAAGACCCAGATCCTGCGACCCACCCGGAAATAGGAACCCCCGAACCGAACCACTAAAGTGCCGGAGCAGTGTTGTGACTTTCAGCTCCGGGCTATCCTGACATCCTGATCCCGAAAACACACAAATAAGCAAGGCAAACCTTAACGAAAAGTGTAAACGAAATATGTTAATTGTAATATAATTGTAATATGTATGTATGTCTGCATGTGGAGCAATCAAACAGGACAAGAAACAATCTAGTTTGTATTATAATGAGAAATTGGATGAGCAGAACAGGCGGAATCCACTCGAATACCGCGTTCGCCTGGCAAGAAGCCCACAACAGACAACCAACCACTCGTAACTATATAAACACATATATCTAATGACATATTCAAACACATTGGAGGACGAGTATAGAAATTGTAACGAAATGAAATTATCATTGTGAAATTGCTGCAAACTGCGTGTGAGTGTGTTATATTTGTTATTACGAACCTATATTATTTTTTATACTTGCGTGCGTTTTACATTTTAAATAATTGATACCGAAAGGAGCGGCGATTATCGTCGGCAACATTTTACACGAACATTTTCAACATAGAGGAATCGATTGCGAACAAAAGCACAAGAAATTATAAATTCATATGCGAGAGAAGAGATAAATTTGTAATTTAAGACGAATGTTGAAAGCGCAGCGAAAATAAACGATTCAAAAAGAAATTTGTAAAAATAGGAAAAACAAAAAGTACTCTAGGCTACAGCAACTTTAAGTTATTTATAATTAAATAAAATACGATATAAAATAAAGTAAGAACAAAGTATATAGTTTTTTTGGGGTATGGGTACTAAATCACCTTTGAAATAAAAGCCATAAAATCGGGTTGCATTGCATATACATACAGGTATTTAATATTCTTTTGTTTCCATACTTAAGCTAAATGCACAGGCTAAACGGGGCATAATAAACATATACAATTCATCTCGCAGGATGCATTGTTGGGGCCACATACGTTTTTTGGAAATGGGCAGGGTTCTAAGATTATTACAGAGACAGTCACTTAAAGGTACAAATTATATTTTTGATTAAGTGTAGCGTTCTGTTTCGTAGTTGGGCTTTAGATTATGTTGACGGCACGCAGGAACCAAACGAGATTCCTGCATGGCTCGCTGTCTTATCCGATGGCCGCCGTAATGAGCTCCGCCACTTCCTGATCAGTGCTTCGCACGGTCAAATTCAGCGTAACGCCCTCGGAAAGTGCCAGCTTGGCCCGGACCAGCACCTCGGCGCCGCCCCTGAAAGTTCCTGGAATAAGGAAAGTATTTAGTACATATTAAAATCTCAAAATCGCAGGATACTCACCAGAACAGAGCAGCGTATGCAGGTGCGTGCCCTCGGGCACCTTTTCAGAGAGATTTGCTGCGCCCAGTCCCAGTATTTTCACAATGGTATTGACCGCATCCTGCAGGGTGGTCACCGCTGAGAGAACAAACGTGTCCTCCGCTTGCAGCCATTCTGTAGGATTAAATAATTAATAATGATAACACGAAGTTCATCTATTTTCTCCTTCACACCTTCGCTATCGGCCGCATCCCAGGCCACTTGGAAATTGTTCTTCTTGGTCCGCTGTATCTGATCGGCCACCGTGATCTCCAGATCCTCCAGCATGTACTCGTCGTCGTAGCCCTCATCCGAGTCCGGCTCGCCGGTGTTGGGATCGCAGTCCTTGACCACGAAGCGCAGGGTAGCGCCAAAGGTGGCTGTAAATCGGAGATAAATTATAAGTAAAAGTAACAAATGAGTAACAACTAGTATAACCTATGGAACTGGCTGCCTCGCCGGGGAACTCCACGATGACGAAGGTGGTCTGCAGATCGTTGTAGGGCAAGCTTGGGGCATGGGATAACCGCCCTAGTGGTGAATCCCTCGGGCAGCGTGAGCTCCACGCGCACATTCTCCAAAAACTGATCGGACAGCGTGTTCAGGCAGTCGAACTGGAAGACCACGTGCTGGCCAAAGATGTGCTTGATGCACTGCACCGTGTACTCGGTCTCGCTTTCGGTCAGCTGGATGGGCGCGGTGCTGCGATGGATGGGACCCAGGACTTGGATGCCCGGCAGCTGGGCCAAACGGGCGGCGCTCTCCTCCTCGCGCGTGATCTTCGGCGGCCGTGGGGCACTGCTGTTGGTGACCAGCATCACATCGCTTGGGATCACCGGCTTTACAACGGCCGCCTTGGGCACAATGGAAAGGTCAAATCGCGTCTCCAGGTCGCCACTCAAATGATCCACCAGGGATTTCTCCAGCAGCGCCAGCGAGCAGTTCTCCCGCTCGATGATGTAGTTCTTGTACAGCTCCGGCCGCTCCGAATTCAGGATGCTCAGGTAGTAGGTGGCCCTGTCGCGCACCTCGTCGTCCGGATCCATTTGGCAGCGGCCCAGCAGGACGAGTATGTTGCCCAGAAGAGCCGGACAAGAGGCCCCAAACTGGGCCATCGCCGTCACAGCAGCCGCCCGCACAATGGGGCTCTCGAGGATCACGCGGTTGTAGATGAAGCGTATGTACTTGGAGGGCGTGGCCGCAAAGGGACCCTCCTTGCCCAGCAGATGGAGAATCCTGACGGCCAACGAAACATGCTCGCAGTCCTCGATGAACTCGCACAAATGCGACAGCCCCGACTCCTTGGCATCCGCATTCTCCTCAATGATCGTGATAATAGTATCAACTATGGAGGTCTTGTACTCCAGGCCGCCCTCCTCGCGCAGCATGCCGCTCAAGAAGTTCATCAGCACCGTGTGCTTGCGCGGATACTTGGTGCACAGGGCGCAGATGGCCTGCACCACCACCACCTTGAATTCGTCCGAGATTTCGGCCACAAAAGTGGATATCTGCTTCATTAGGCGCTCTACAGAAGACTCTGCCCCTGTTTTCAGCAGCGTGGTGATGGCCAGCGTGGCCACCGAGCGATTGGAGTCCGTGATGAGGCCCTCGAGGTCCAGATTGCAGGTGGTCACCGCCGCCGGATGCGTCATGGCCACCTTGTTGAGCGTGCGCACGGCGGCAAAGCGCAGCGTGGCCTTCGGCGAGCTGCAGAACAGCTGGAGGATGGAGAAGGCCGGCGAGAGCATCCTCGGATTGGTGTTCTTCAGGTTGACAATGGCATGGGCCGCCTCATAGATGACCATTTCGCTCTTGTGGCGCAGACAGGACTCGATAAAAGTGAACAAGGGCGAGTCGGAGAGCTCCTCGGAGGGGATGTCCTCCTCCTCGATGAGTTTGCAGGCAATGCGGATCTGAAAAGGGGTTTTAATTAGGTATATATTCTTATAAATTTATATAGTTTTCTTATCTTACCAGCATGCAAACGGCATAGGGACTCTTTAAAGAGCCCCTGGTCAGCTTGTTGACCAGTTTGGACACCGCCAGCCTGTCCGACTTGCGGATGTGGTAGAGCAAACCCAAAGCATGGTATTGAACCATGATATTGTCGCTATTCAGGGCCTCCTGGGCCTCGTTGGCCCAACGCTTGACCACATCCCCTGCTGTGCTGGCCAATCTTAAAGAGCTTACCAAGGCAGCACAAGAAACCGCTGCATTCTTGTCCACGATGCACTGCTTCATGTAGCGCTCCACCGCCTGCAGCATCGTGTTATCCGTGATGCTGCACAGGGCGCGGATGGCGGCGGCCCGGTAGAGATCCTCCTTGCCCAGTCATGTCCTTGGTCAGCGAGCTGGTCACAATGATCACATCCTCGGCAATCGAGCTCAGCTCCTTGATTCCCAGGTAAACCATGCGGCGCAACACCACATCCTTCGATTGAAACAGCTTCGTCATCGCGAAGAAGCAGTCGGTGGCCTCGCGGGCGACCAGCTGCTCGCCCTGGTTGATCAGGTAGAGGATCTTGGTCAGGATGTGGATGCACTTCCTCGCGTTCACCGGCGTCTCGTTGAAGGTGCGCGTCTCCTGCAGCACCGACGTCTTCTCCAGGTTCTGGTACGCATTGCTCGGTCCTGCTGGTTGTTTTTTTTGTGCGGCAGAGAGGGAAAAATAATTCATTTTCTCAATTTAAAGGCGAAAACTCGATTTTTCTTTTCTGTTAGTCGGTGTAGGTGTGTGTGTGAGGGAGTATTTGTGTCAGTGCCAGCGGAGCACCTCCCACTGACTTGGGTTTTCTTCCAGCCGGTGGGTTAGTAGCCTCTAAGCTCTGCTCTCCCTACTTACCGTCCTCCTCCTCGTCTTTGTCGCGGCGGAACGAACCCATTATCTCGGTTAAATCGTGCTTAAAAACAGGCGAAAAGGTTTTTTGGCTGCGTTTACACGTCACTCAGCGGTGTCCAGATCCAGAGTTGCCGTCTTTGAGCTGGAATGTCTCTAAAATAATAGCTATAAAATAGCTAGAAAAACAGGTGTGACCAGTGCGTAAGGGCTACTTTAAGGACAAACGTAAGACAGCAACGTAAGCAAACGTAACAGTTCTACTGTTGCGAAACTGTTCAATTTATAAAATAGTTAAATAGATTTTAAAAAAATTGTTTTTTACCTTAGTCAACAGCTATTTACATTTTTTAACCTGATTTTTAGCTATTAAAAACGGAACTAGCGGCATCGGTGGTTCTATTATCGGTTCGATAACTTCCAATCGATTATTCATCGTTTTAAGAAGGCGGTAAGTTTGAATTTCCGGAATCTGCCTTGTTTTCGACCCCATCAAAGGGAATTTCAGGAAATTAACTTACATTTTTACTTGTATTCTAATAATAGAAATTCAAAACTTAGTTATTATGTCTGTATAATATCTGTACTTTAAAATGTAACAGAAAATGTCAGCAACTAAGCAGTCGCGCCTGTAGGTATTAAAAGGTATGCATTAGGGTGTGAGGATGCAGTTGTTTAAGTGAAAATCTGCAAAGTCTGCAAATGGGTAAATTTAATAAATAGGGGGATTCCCTAAACTGCTGAATTGCTGAATTGTTGAATTTTGGTCAGCTGTTAATCAGCTGTTCCAAAAAAGCCAAATTTCAAAAATTCAATTCTGTCAGCTTCGGGGCTGTTGATTAATTTTTTTCTTTTTAACAAGTCGTGTGCAACTCTTTAACATTGTAATATCACCAGTACGCCTTATTTATTTTAAAAGAAACTTAGAAAGCATATTTGTGGTTCTTATTACATTGGAAAAACTTTTAGACAGTTACTAGCAATAATAAATCACATTTTACATGCTTTAAGTTCCGTGAAATTTTTCAACAAATAACAGCTGTTTGAAAATTCAACAGGAACCATTTTGGGTCGTTCCCTTAATTGCTGAAATTTTTTGTTGAATTTTCAACAATTCAGCAATTCAACAGTTTAGGGAATCCCCCTAATATTTATCAGTTATTCTTAAAATTAATAGCTTATTAAGGTGACCATTTTTTATCTAGGTCAACCGATAGACCGTAAAAGAGCAGAGATAATCGATTTGCGATCCTGATTCCCGGATAGACGCCATTTTATTTGTCATCCCTAGCTTAATTTCGCCATTTTCACTAAAGTTTCTTAATTTCGTTTCGTTTTTAATTGAAGTTATTTAATTTATGCGTGCACAGGCAGCGCCAATTAGCGAAAACAAGAAAGCCATTATATTGAAATGTCAATTTCTGGCGCGCGGCAAGTGCCGTTAATTGCATTTTACATACCGCGGGGAAAAGGAATTCCGGCGCGGCGCACAAAACAACAGCTTCATTGCGTGTTTAAAAGGCGAGGATCTCCGCAAAAAACGCCAAAAAAAACCACAAAACGCAAAAAACCAAAGAGATCGAGACACCTACAGCATGAATTTATGGCCAAGCGATAAGCGCCGGCCAAAAGGAAAATGCGCTGCCCAAAATTGGACAAGGAACGTGTGCGTCGTCGTTTTGGAGGTTTTTGGAGGAGCAGGCAGAATTTAGTAGCTGTCAAAGGCATCAGCTGTAGCCCCTGGAAACCTGGAAACACCTACAAAGCCGAGGAACCCCGCACCCCGAGTCCAGAACCCCGAAAGCCAGGTATGTCCAGAGTTACAGCCAACTTGGGGCCAAAGTCGGAGCAAAAGTTGAGGCGGCGGCGCACGCAAGGAATATGCCACAGGTGAGTCTCCGTTTGAGGTGCCAGCGCACAGTGGAGCCTCGCTTAGTGCAATGTTTATACCATCTATTTTAAGAGGTCTTTTAAAGTTCTTATATGCACCATTATTATGCCTTAAATGTTGTGCTATGCTGATCTAAATTCAGAAATTAATAGATCTTATTTCCTAAAATCATCTAAAATTTGTATGTCTAGTTTACAAACTGAAAAAAAGAAGATGAAACATGACTTCCTCAATAACTTCAAGATGGGCAAGAATAGGATTGAAATAAAAGTATTGTTATCATGCAATGTATTTATTATAAGATGATATTACATTATATTATGATATCATATCAGTCTTTTACTTATTATCATGTCTTAAAAAATTCCAATTGTCTTCAAGATGGATGAATAATAATGTAATACGTAGAACTTACTTATCAAGATCTTCCCTTTATAACGAAATCTTTATAAATCGGTTTGTGAGATGCCTATAAAAATCTACCTTAAGAAGTCATTTCTGAATTCTTATATGTACCATTATCTTGCCTGAAATGTTGTCCTATTCTGATTTCAATTCAGTAATTAATAGATCTTACTTGTTGAAATCATTCAAAATTTGATGTTCGAGTTTTGGAAGCTGTAAAAATCAAGGTGAAACATGATTTCTCCTAATATCAAGACTTTAAGATTAACTTGAAGATAGGAAAGTTTAGGGTTAATATAAAAGTATCCTTAAACTGCAATTTTGTTATAATTATATCGGTTTTTGACTTGTATACTCATGTATTTAAAGATCCTCCTTTATAATGAAATCTGTATATATTGGAAAACTCATTTTAATTATGCCTTGTAGAGGCTATTATAATGTCACTCTGTTTCAACGCAGTGAATTTTACGTTTCCGCATAAAGTATATAGATTCTTGATTTGACCAATAGCCGAATCTATTTAGACATTTCCGTATGTCCGTCGTCGTTTCTATGCGAACTAGTCTCTCAGTTTTAAAGCAATCAAGGTGTAACTTTCCCGAAAGTTTTCTTTACTATGCAGGTAGCTACATTATGAGGATCGGACCACTATATCTTAAGGCTCCCAAAGGAATATTCATACAAATAAAAGTATCATTCATAATGCAACTTTGTAGGTATTAGGCTTATTTTGAGTCTTTGACTACCTAAAAACAAAATTTAAACAAATATAAACGCTGAATCTGGAATCCCTGGAACTGCACCGAGTGAGCATTCTGTTTATCTGCAAGGGTATATAAGCTTCGGCTGGCCGAAGGTAGCTTCCTTTCTTGTTTTTTTTTGAAACCAACTTAGCCAGCCTCCACTGTAATCCCCAGTTACCTTTGCGTGCGAATGGTGAAGAATGCGGGCGGGGATCGGATGCCCGGGGATTATTGGTGTTTCTCTCGGGGAGTAGAGATCCCGATCCGCCGGTGGCCTGTGACTCTAAAAGGCTGATGCTGTCAGTTGCTCTTGGCCGGGCTCATTGGCAGCTTTATTGCCAGGCGGCGGTGTGTGTGGGCCAACCTGCATACCATACCGATCACAAGTATGAATATGAATCTCCAGCCACTTGCCTTCGTTAGTCGGTGGACCCTCTGCCTGGTGCGAAAGATGCAAAACGGGTGCCAGTCGGGATTCCAGGTCGGAATCCAGGTCCCTTGCCATCCACCGTTGTGCTAACAAGATGGCAACACATGAAATTAGACTGCGCCGATGCACGTCCAGCGATAGAAGAAGAACGAACTGATCGTGCCCAGAAAAACGGGCAACGGCAGGAGCAGCAGACTAATTAACATATTCAAATATTTGTCGCATTGTTTCGCCAGTTTCCCAGCTCAGCTCGGCTCGGCTCAGTTCCATCTGGCAGTTGCTGCTCCGTCGCCTGTCGGGTTTATTGAAAAACCATTTTACGGTTTCATGCTCGAAAGTCATTGCCAGGCAACCACGCCCCACGCCCCTGGATGCCAGGTGCATCTTCCTGGGCTCGCAGACCCCTTGGCGCTATTTTTATCGCATTTTAAAAGGCTATTTGTAGTGGTTCCACCAGGAAGTGGCATAAATTCGCAGCGCATAATGGCTGTGAATAAATTATTTTGCCGCAGCTTCCTCTCTCGCTCGCCTGAATGATTGGCTGATAAGGGAACCATCCTCTAAATGCAATGGGAGGAAACCCAGACCCAAACTCGCAGCCGAAACCCCAAACAGATGCTGCAAACAATGCACTGGTTACGTAATCACTTACCGCGATTCTTGTCCTGCAACGTGAGAGAGGCCAGCCGGCGGCCTTCCTTGTGCACTCGAGCAATTTTCACGCACGCCCCCAACCGGCTAGCCTTCTATTCTATTCTAGCCCATTGCTATTCCTCTGCCCCTCGAGAAGATGCGGCCTGGCCAAAGCCAAGCCCAAAAAAAAAAAAGGAAAACTGTAGGAAGGCATTGAATACGCAGCAATCGCATGCGGAAAGCAAAAGTCCCACAGTCCGTTAGGCGGAAGCGAAGGCCAAGAGCCGAAAGGCAACTGGGAGATTTGACTTTAATTAAATTTATGGGGGTAATGCAGAGGTATCTTAACCCTGCGATTATTGCAGAAGGCTTTAAAGGAGGGACACAAAGATTCGTTTTGGGATGGGAAATAAAACAAAGATTTTTTTAAAACTATTTAAATCATCATTTCTACCTTATTTCATATCAATAAAAAGCCGACATTAATCATGTCAAATTTATGATTCAAACATATCAACTTGATATTTTATCATTTAAAAAAAGTTATAAAAATACAATGTTGTATTTATTAACAAATATTGTAAAATAAGATAGATGTAATCTTTATTCATATCAAAATGATCTTAAAAAGTATTAAATTAACCTGCACATATCAATCTGATCTTTTGTCAATTTTTTTCTGTGTAAAATTTGTATCTATTAGCATCATTAAAATTCATCAACGAATTGTAAATATTTATTAATAATTCGCTATTGTGATTTTCATACAGTTTATTTTTATTAGGGCTTTATTATTCTTAAAGGGTAAACTTCATTGATTTTATTAGGACCAATATGTGTAACTAGTTCCTTCTCCCATGCCTTAGGAATTTTCAAGGCGCTTTCTCTCCATATTCTACTTACCTATTAACCCAGTCACAGGATTTCGGCTAACTACTAACACCCATAGTTTAACGACTATAACGTGAAAAATATGAGCATTTTGGCCGTGGGGAAAAGACCGTAAAGTAAATCATAAATATTTGCATAAAAATGTTGGTTTGCCTGAGAAAATCCAGCCGATAAACCAATGTTATGGGGTCGTTAAAATTTGCGATGTAAACATGTGCTAATCATCTTTATGTAAGTCAGTTGGACACATTTACCCGCGGGCAGTCAAAGTTCAGCGCTCGAGGGGGAAACGAAGTGACCCCGGTGGTAATTGCAATTGTCCAAGATTCCAGAGATATATATTGCAATTATTAATTGTTTTTCCTTTTTTTTCCGCTCTTTTCAGACTCTTCAACGGTACTGAACCATTTCACTGATTTCAAATGGCTTACAAACCGCCACAAACGACTGTCTGCTTTGAGTTGGGATCTCTTTTTTCCTGGTCAATGTCCTTAGCCATTTCGGTTTTCGGTTTTCTTTGGCAGCGGCCTTACCTTGCATGCGCAGTGCGCACGACGCGTCAGTGCCTCTAGTTCCTCCAGTGCCTCCAGAACTCCGCCAGCACCTCCATCTCCTCCAACCAGATGTTATCCCGGTAGTGACCCCAGAGCAGGGCCATAAATTCTCACAGTATTGTGCCCACTACACGCCTGCGCCTCTGCAAATGTTCCAATTTGTATTTTTGCACAAATTGTTGTGGATCCAGCCGCCGTGGCATCTTCTGGTTTTCCTGGTTCGCTTGTTTGTTTTCGGCTGCATTTAATTTAATTTGGCCTGCCCAATTGGGTTGAACCGCAATTAGAGACAAATGTTTTCGGCTGCATTCCATTGGCTACTTAGCCCCATGTTCGTGGCAATTAGCATTAGCCTGTGGGATATATATAGTCTAGGATATCGGGTGGGGCGTGTGTTGTGTGCTTTCTGGGGCGGGGAAAGTTATCTTTCTCCCCAGCCCGGTTTCCCACACGTTTGTTTGCTTAATTAGGTGAAAACTGGCTAACAGGGACAGCTGTTGAGCCGTTCGCCATGCCGGGCAATTGCTAATGAGCAGGACAAGCTGAAGGAGTTGGCGAAATGAAAAGTAACAAGCCACCGTCCTCGCTTTCAGGCCTTTGCCACTTTGGAAGCGGAAAATGGAAAATGGTAAACGGGAAAACGTTTGCCACTCGACGCTTCAAGTGCTAAATTCCAACTTTTGTCAGTCTGTCTTGATGCACTAACATGAAGTTTGGGGATTTTGATTAGGAAACAAATTTGTTTATGAAAAAAAAACGGTTAATAGGAGAGCTTGAAAATAATCGACATTTTCGATATGTTTTCAATGTCGATTCGTTAGTAATAATCGTGGCTACCACAGAAATCACTATTCCTTCAAAATCACCTATAAAACGAAATATTTTAAATTTTACAGTATACTTTTAGACAAATTTTAAAGTGATTTTTTAAACCTAATTATTCCTATTAAAGCTTAAAAAAATATATCGACAGTAAAACACCAACCTCATCGAATCTTATTGTAAAAATATTGAAAATATCGATAATTTTCAAGTTCTTCCTATGTTATATATTTTAATATATATATAAATATTTTATAAATATTTGTATTTAGGAAGAGCATTTGGATAACTTAACTTGGCAAATAGCCTTTGCTCTCTGGTTCATCGCTGAGATTTCCTTTTCTTCCCCCGATTTCTTCTTCTTTTTCCCAACTCGTATTGGAGGCGAAATTTGGCGGTGCCCATTGCCATGGCAAGTGCATAATTTTTCAATCAAAGCGAGCAGCTGTAAAGCAAACAAAAGCAGAGGCAGAAGGCTAAGAGGCAGAAATCGTGAGCAGGCCAACATGGCTGGGACAGAATGGAGAAGAAAAGAAAACCCGAATGGGAAAAGGAAGTGCTGCAAACGAGATCTTCACCTCATCCAATCCGAATCCCAAAATCCCAATCCCAAAACCAAAGGCGAAGCCAAATGGCAATGGCATTTAAATGCAAATGACCACGAAGCGTGAGGGTGTTCAATGCGAGCTTTATGTATGGAAATTGGCAAAATGCGAGCAAATGCCAGCGTTTTCCTCAATGGTCAAAGTGTCAAAGTGGCAACGAGTGTAGGTGTCGCCACGCCATTGTCTCTGGAATTCCGGCCCATCCTGGCCAGCTTGTGGTCGCTCTGTCCCAATCCAGGCCAGGCCAAAGTCAAGCCGCTAATTAAAAGCCATTGCTAACAGTCAACGACTTAATGGCCAGGCATTTGCATAGCTGTCAACGCCAATAAGCCCACACTTGGCCACGTTCTCTGCAGTTGGCTGCTTGCTCGAAGGTGAGAAAAACCAAAGGCAAAAAGCTCACGCGGCGATGGTCCGGATCGACTGGGCAACGCCTATCCTATAGCAACTGCATCTCCAACTCCATCTGAAAACCCCATAGCCGTGTCCATGCCAAATACGCACCAGAACCGGCCATAAAAATTGTCAACGCGTGTCTTTGATGGTTTACCCTATGTAATTCATGAGGTACATTCACTGAGTCTTTAAAAAAATGTTTAAGAGATTTTGTTGTCTTATTTTTCCATTTTATAATATCATGGATAGGTGTTTATACTTCATTACAGCGTGAATACATATCGAAAGTTTTCTATTTCTCGATATTTAATGTGTGCTTTCCCTTCAAAACATCGTTATTATCGAATATATATTTTCAAAATATCGAAAATATCGATAATTTTCAATCTCTAATACTTATGCATATTGTTTTTTGTTCTTCCTAACCGTTTATATCTATAAGATCTTTTAATCCCTTTATTATCCCTACCTCAGGGTATTCCACATTCGGCTAGAAAGTTCTTTTTCAATTAACTGCCGCTTAATAGGGGCGTTTTATTCAACATGGGGCACGACGCACATGCGTATCTCACACCTTTGCAGAGACGGCGGAACGCGGAGGGATCCGTGTTATAAAGATGGAGACGAGACCCGATATGTGGAGACAGTGGAAGACGTCTTCATTCAGAAAGGCGGCACACGTCGCGAACGAAACTCGGCTTTTCGCACATTTCAATTTCATGGTGATCATGATTAATCGACGCCTTCAGTGGCTCAGAATTTTAGATGTGCCCCAAAGACTCCGAAGTTGCGGAATGGATCGAGAATGGTTATAATGGCGTGCGTAGCTGGAGCGTTAAAGAGATCGTAACACGCCTGGTTAAGCTCGTTGCCTTGCCGCCTCTTAATTTGATTAACACTTCTGTCGGACGGCCCCCGACTGAAAGATCTATCCACATGTGTGCCACATCTATTTGCCCTGCTCAAAACGCCGTGAAATTATCATAATTTCTACGGTTGTCTTTCGCTTTGACAAACATCAATTTGGCTAAGCGGTTCCCCAAGTTTCGTCGGTAGAATGTTAATGGGAAAAGGTCGGGTCTTTGGGGATTATTAATTCAAAGCGTTAATAAATTTCGACATGCCCACCTAGCCACCTTAATTAATCTATTAATTCAGTGGCTCCCTTGGCGTGTGCCTTCTTTCACACCCAAAAAAAAACTTGATATAAAACGATGATCGATTTTACGTTATGTAGCATCAATTTTGACTTAAAAGGCCAGAAATTTACTACGCGCGTATCGATTTGACTGCGACATGTTTTTTTTGCGTGCACCAAATAAAAAAGCGTACCAATCTATTTTTAGACATTTATTTATAAATATATTTCGTTAGGCGTAGAGTTTATTGCATTACTTAATCAGTACAATTCGTTTATCAAATCTTCGTTTATCAATTTTCTTCTCCTGTCTTCGCGAGAACAAAGTCTCTCGGAAGTTCCTAATAATTAGCACCGCCTTGCGTTTCGGCTAATAAATTAATAAATAATAAGAAGTACGGTTAGCAAATAAATAGTGGGGAATTGTTAAAATGGGGGATCTAGGGCTAGGGCCTCGGAAATTTGGAAATGCCGCCTTGCACAGAAAAGCCTGGCGCAAAACATTTTGATACAAAATTATTTGGCAAACTTTGTGGGTAAATTGTCAGCAGCTTAAATGTTATCAATAAATAGTATAATAGTCATATAAATGCAATTCGCTCGAGGACATGAAGCAGATTTCTCACTAAACATATAATTAGCCTAACTTTCGCTAGAGAGATTGCAAGTAGCTCTAAACTAATTAGAATTTAGCCGGGTTCAATTTTCCGTTCTTTACTTTTCTTTTCTTGGCAATGCGCCGATTTAAAATGCTGGAACCTCGATTTCCAAGGCATTTAAAAGCGCGCATTCTTGAGAGATATTCATAGGCGTATCATTTAAAAAAAAGGAGTCAAAACTCTAAGTGTAAACTAATCGTAGGCTTAGACTATACTGGATTAATCTAGGGTTTCCAATGATTTTCATGTGTCGCTGCTAGGCGAATATTTTCTATTCAAGTCTCATCGAATCTTTTGAAGCTTTCGAGGCATATTGCGTTTGTTCCCAGCTAAGTGTTCCCGGCAAACAGCGAGAGCCACCCAGATCTTCCCTAGAACTGCTGTCCGTAGCGCCCGTTGATGCCGCTGTCGTAGAGTTTGCTCAGCGTGTCCTTGGCACTGCCGCCGTAGGACGCTCCCGAGGCCGAGGATCCGGCGGAGGAGTTGGGCGGCGGTCCGTACAGCATGCTGGGCGCTCCGTAGGTGATGGTGGGCGTGGGCTCGTGCTGGTACAGGTAGCGCTCCTTGCTGCTGCGGCGCTGCACGGTCTTCCAGATCCCGAAGATGCTCAGCTGGGCCAGCAGGAAGAGGGCTCCGGCCATGATCAGTCCTGGAAAAAGTGGAGATTGGAAAAGGGAAAGGGTTTAGTTTGTAGTAGGGTTGGGTTTTTAACTATCGATACTATCGATGGTTTTAAAATTTGGGAAACATCGATGGTTTGGACCCACAATCGATACTATCGCTCAAATAATCATTTAATTTTACATATTTTAAGAAGAAGAAAAAGAATGTTAAGCAATATTAAGTACTTTATTCGCAGTTAAACTAAGATCGATTTTTTCGATAACTTTTTATAATCGATGGCCAAGAACCCTAGTTTATAGGGATAACCTCAGCTTATCCCAAAGCCCTTTACTTTCTACTTAAAACTCATTGAAATAATATCCACACGCATAAGAAAATAGGTCAAGCTCAAAATTGTTATTTTATTCAATCTTTAATCTTCTTTTAAGCCCAGCCTTTCGAGAACCCAACAACCTGAAGACCAGAATTCGCTCCAAATTGCGTACTCGAGCAATTTAAGAAGGGAAGTCGGCCTCTTATCGCCATAAATCAAGGGGATTATCTCGGGTAACTGATCTAGTTCAAAGAGGTTCGATGGAAACTGGTTGCGGACAGCCGGCAAACCGCTCGATAAGATCGCCTCAATGGGCGGAAAACAAGAGGAATAAAAGCCAGAAGTTCGGTTATCACAGAAAACAAAAGTGGGCGCCACTTGACCCAGTTCGCTGTGAACTGAAACCGAGCTGGAGGGGAATATATATGTAGCTCCGAGGCCCAGCAAAGTGACCAAGTGACCAAGTTTGACAGCAACAAGTTGAAGATAAACAAAAACAATGAGAAATAAAACAGCGACAATTTAATGCATGAGTTGCATATTTCGGCACGGACTTGGACTTGGACTGGAGTTCACTTTCTATACCCTAGACACATCGCATGTTTCCCCGTTGGCCTGAGTTCTTAAGAGTGCAACATGCCACATAAATAAGCCCGGACCTCGGCGGAGGAAATTCGAAATACCGAACTGAAGCCGGTAGAAATCGGGTGAAAGTGCCGCCAAAGTCAAAGTCACAGTCAAAGTCAAAGTAGAGCTGCAGTGCATGCGTTCGTTGGCTCGTTGTTTCTCTCGTGTCCAGTTCACGAAATCAGAATTTAGGAGCAACTGCGACGACGACATGCCAGATGACTATCAGAGATTACTTTGTAACAATGTTGTGGTTGTTCGTTCGTTCGTTCGCTGGTTCCTCAAATGACCATAAAAAGTAAGCCGAGAAACAAATCAACAAACAAACCGAGAGCCACAACATCCTCATCATCATAATCATCATGATGATGGCCATGACTTGAATGAGTTTCAATAACAAAGTGCACGCACTTGGGTCTTTTATTTATGTATTTGACTCTGGTTTTTCATCGCAGCAACGAGAAGAGCAGAGCGACCACAATAACAGTAACAAAAGGGGCAACAACGAAAATATACAAAATTATAACAATTACTATAAACGGTCCGCGGAGTTGTGGGAGTTTCAGGGGGCAATAAGTGAACCGAGGCGCCCACCAAATTGTAAACAATTTGAAGAAACCCCAGCCAGAACAAAGAGCCAAGAAAAGCGCTGAGAAAACCGGCAGAGTAACGAAAGTGAAGGCTCAAAGATTCCTCTTTGAAAGTAGAAACTATATAAATCGAAAGGATGGATTAATTTACAAGGCAAATGGATCTTCATTAGGTTCAATTGGGAATCAATGTCGTAAAGGGATCATTAAAATGATTAAAGAAACCGAGATATATTCGAAAATCGGACTAGAACATAAACTGCTCATCAGCATAAAGTAAAAGTCAAGTGCGGTTTTCACTGAAACCTAATCAAGCTTAAAATAGTTTGATGGCTTTTTTTAACGACTGTCTGGAGCAACTGGAAATCGAGATCACTAAAATTAAGTGTATCGTTCAACTAAGAAAATTGATTACCGCTTAGTAACGAATACAAATCAGCATTAGCAACGGTTATCTTACAATCAATAAACAAAGAAAATGCATTATTACAAACAATGATTTTTGAGATCCGCTTACGTAATAAAATTATACTATCAATGACTTCGTACAAGGAAAATGATACTTTAGGTAATGCAGCTTAACTGATTTTAAATGCTGTCCTATGATAGAGAAAAGATAATGCACTATTAGGCAAATATTAGAAATTATGTCGCGGTTCTTAGGCAAAACAGAGAATTTGATGAAAGCGAAACGATTGCTCTGCATTTAAGAGGAAAACTTCCTGGCGCAGCATTCGTGGTAATACCAGAAATTAAAGACCTGAACAACCGTAAAGTGGCCATTAAAATGATTGGAATAATGGGTGAGATTCATTTCTAAATAAATATCGGCGAGGAATGTAAAATGCTCATAAACTTTGACAAATTACAGGGTGTCGTTGATGCGGCGTTAAATTGCCGCTCTGCATGCCAAAGATGAAGGCCATCTTCTCCTGGGTGCACACGCATATCCAAGTGGGCAATGTGTGCGGCAAATGAGCTTAAGCACACAGGTAGAACCGTTGCTCTAATTGCCTCGGTTTGCTCGCCTCTGATCTGCCTTGAAATGCAGCGCGTAATTACCAAAGAAATGTACGCTTGATGTCTGGTGGTCCACTGGAGTTTCATCTGTCTAACGAGCTGTCAATTTAACGCTTCAACGCGGCCTGGAAATTGCTCCACAAAAGCAGCAGCAACAAAAGCTGCAGCGACACATGGGAGATGCAGAAGCGCGGTAGCTGGAAAAGCCAGCATGGACAACCAACTGTGCAGAAAGATTTTCGCGCCGCACGAAAACGAGGCGTGCAGAATCCTGGTGCACAGTTTCAGCCTCGGATGAACTAGTGACCTGGTCGTGAGTCGTCGAGCAGAGACACCAACGAAAAGATGCCAGGCCAACAGCCAACATCATAACACACAGAACACGTTCTGGACAACGGAAAGAACCTAATTTAAGGCCCCTTGCGCAAGTCGGCAATGATGAAAAATTGATTCATTATAAAAATTAGCGAGCCAAGAACAAGCTGAGCGCCTCACGACGCCAGGAGGACACGATGTCGTCCGGCTCCTGATCCTCCTGCTCTTCCAGCTGCTTGTCTATGCAAATCAAGCTGGCTTTGATTCGCGCTTGATTGGGCTTTTTCACAGAGCCCCCGGAAAGGAATAGCCAAACTTACCATAGCCATTAAGGCAAGTGAGCTTGTCCTGGGCCACGCCCGCATAGGCCTTCTCGTGGGGACCGCTGTCATTGGCATGGGTAGTGGTGGTGCCATCCTCTGGCTGGAAGCCGAACTTGTCTGTGATTTGTATGGACTGCATGAGCAGTATGTTATCATCCACAGGGCCCACATCACGGCGATTGCGTGTGCTGAGCAAGAACTCGGCTGGAAGGGAGGAAAGAAATTATATAGTAGGGAAATATATCGAAACGAAATCAAATTGAAAATAAACTGAAATTGTAAATATCGATTTTTTCTACAAAATATAAAATAGGATAAGATAAGTTTAAGGATTTTAAAATGTTACTATAGAAACTGAAAAAATTGAAAAATGTATCAATTTAAAAATGTCGAACATCCAAAGTGTATAAAGTTCTATAAAATATCGAATATATCGATATAAAAAGAGAGGTTAATTTAAGTTTAAGGATTTTAAAATGTTATTATGGGAACTAATATTTTTGAAAAATGTATAAGGTGTATTAAAATATATATCAATTATATAGTTTTTATACACCGATATTAATATCGAAATTCTGTAATATCGATACGATATTCCCAACCTGTAATATGTACTCACCTCCATCGGTTCCATTCAGCACCGAGCGCTTCTTGCGGCCATAGGAAACCAGAGACTTGAGCTCTCCACTGGCGCCATCTTCGCTGTCGCAAATCACGGGCTCACAGCGCGGAATGCAGGGCGTTACCAGGGCACGAAACTGGACCACTTCGCTGGACGGGAACTTGAAGGCGTCGAACTGCGAGAGCAGCACCTTGCGATTGTGCGCCAGCTTCTGGATGGTGCCCATGATGTATTGGTCGGTGGGGCAGCCATTAGCATCGATCAGCGTTATCTCGGCGTTGTCGGAGCCGTCCATGGCCACCAGTTCCCTCACGAAGATCTCGTACGGGCTGTTGGGCTCCACGATCTCGAAGCGCAGGGCCAGCGGATCGCCGACCTCGGCGATTCTCTTCATGTCGCTGCCATCGCGAGAGGTGATCTTCATAATCACATTGGGCGAATCAATGGTGATCTCCTCGCTCAGCGAGGACTCAATCTCCCCGGTTACTCCCAGGTCAACGTCATTCAGCACAGTCTTGTTGGTCAAATCGTATTGGCAGGATACAGCGAGTCCAAGATCGGAGGAGGTGACAATCATGTCGTGGTGCTGGATCACAATGTCGTTCATATACCTCCCGTAGGCACTCTGTCGCACATTGCACTCCAGATCGTTGTAGCCCATGCGGAAGTCGAACTCCAGGGAGTTGTTCACATTCACAGCGCAGGATTTGGGGGCTCCCTTGGCATAGACCTTGCCGTCGAACAGCTTGGACGTCCTGATCTTGGTGATCATCTCCCCGGAGCGGCATTCAATGGACACGTTATAGCAGGCTGAGAGTTCGTAGGTGGCTGCCTCCGGGACATCCAAGTAGGGATCCATCACATCGGTCAAGGTGGCGCGGCTGTGATGCGACAGTCGGCAGACCATGTCTCCGGTATCATTGTAGTCATACGAGTGGCACCTAACCCGGGATTATATGTCAGAGATAAGTCTAATATTCACCCTATAAAATACCTTACCTATAAGGAGAGTTCAGGCAGAGATCGCGGCACTCATCGATGGTATTGATGTCCTGGTAAACGGAGTCCACTGTCTTTAGGATTTTTCCCGAAATCCTCTTGAATTCGCACAGTTTGCTGGGTTCCTCGGCGCAGTTGTTCTCCAGATAGTCGGCTCCGTCGTAGGGCTCCACGCTTCCGCCGGCGGACAGGGTAATGCGGTCCATGTCGGACAGTTCGCAGAGACCCGAGTGGCGGTAGTAGTTGGCCGATCTGAGAGGAGTGAGCGGTAGAGGACGGAAGAGTGAAGGGCGGAAAGCGAGTGGCGAAGGTAGTGGAAGAGAGCAAGCGATACGAGAGGGCATTAGGAAAGAGTTTTCAAGTTTAAACGAGAGCGATGAGTTCAAGTTGAGCCGCTCGAAGTCATAGAGTATTAGCATTATTTGTCGATATCTTAATGACTAAATAAGTAGGGTACAATTTAAAAGAACTGTTCTACTCAGTAAAAGTATTATTCTTTAAATTAAAAAAAACAAATAATATTTTAAACAAATACTTCCACTATTATGTACATTTTTAAGGCAAATTTGTAAAATCCATTCTACAAATAGGAATGTCTGCCTTGGATCATAAAATAAATGTTTTATTTAAACTAGAACTTGAAAATTATCGATATTTTCCATATTTTCTCATTATCGATATGATTATATCGATGTTTTTAAGGGAAAATCTCCTTTAAATGTAGAGAAAAGCAAACTCTTATTCAATCATCTAGATTAATCATACGTATTTTTGAGAACGCACGTAAGATTACTCAACACTTACCGGCATGTGAACTCGGTCTCGCCCAAGCAGAGTTCCAAACAGTCGCGGCGCGACAGAACCGTCTGACTAGATTTGACGTGCTCCGGGAGGCGGTAACCTTGAACGCGATCGATGCACCAGGCCTTCGAGCAAGGACGCACGCCCAAACACGATTTCTGTGCGTAGATGGTGAAAACCGGAAACTGTGAGCGCGAAAGTGAACCTGAAAAAAGCGCAGAAAATGAGAAATGAAAAGTGGTAAAGCGGCGGCGTCATCGGGAAAATCGGGAAAGGCAACGCAACGCAACGGCGCTGTGCGTATTTTATGCGTTTTACGCACACGCCCCTTCACTGCAAAGTAACAGGCGTTGAGAAACTGGCAAAAGCAAAAGCTCCGGCCTTTTGCCACGACAACTGCATCGACATTCGAGATTCGACTAGGAAGGCTGAGGCTGCAGAAATTATGCGTTACTATGCCAAAAGCCAGTTTGCCTGCAGAATGGGCAGAAATCTAGTTTGCAGGCCGGGCCAAAAACCGCGTCGTGCGTAAAAAGCAAAAGGCGTGTGCTGCTGCAGGTTCGCTTTTTATTTATTTCTGTTTCTCAGCGCGGACACGCGGGTGATTTATGCCCCCGGGCCACGAATGAACAGCCTGGCAGCCAAGCAGCCTAACAGCCGACCTGCATGAACTAGAACTCAGTAATTGAGTAAATGAATGAATGAACGGCCAACCGGCTGACTAGCTGACTGGCTGAGTCGCCTGAATTATTGAGCTTTCTTTGGCACAAAAAAATAAGAAGGAAAACAGAAATATAAAACGGCGCAGCAGCCGTTCGGAATTCTCACACTTTCTAACTCACCTGGCAATTTATCGGCAGTCGTCTTGAACAGCACACACAATCCGGTTTCGTAGTTGACAGCGCTGCAGGACTCGTTATTTTGGCAGGCCTCCAGGCAGTCGGTGAGCATCAGAGTCCCGGGCAAAGTGTCCAGCATCTTCGAGGGTGCCGAGAGCACGTAGCTGCGAGGCGAGGAAAGATGATTTATAAATGAGATCGATATACCGCGATACCCCAAATGATTTATGGTTAAAAACTAATGGATGCCCGAAAAACGAATGAAAACGAAAGTGATTTGGAATTCTTGAGGTAGTAGGTCTTCATTATGGCCTCGCCAAACAAAAGACTCAGGCAACGAACTTGCGGCGGGCGATGACATCGGGGTAAAAATAGTCAAGGGATTAGTCACGTTTTAACCAAAGAGTGCACAGAAAAAAAATACGATATGAAATAGGGTTATATCTACCTTAATTCATATTAATAATGTCCAATTTATGATTCAAACATATCAACTTGATATTTTATCTTTTCATAACAGTTATAAAAATATTTGTTGAGCAAATATAAATATATTCATATCAAAATGATATGAATAACTGGATCTTTTGTCAATTTTTTTTTCTGGGTGTCACTCCTACGGAAACCACACATTTGCATATGCCAGTTAGCAGTGTTCCACTGTTGTGGTGATGGTGGTGGCGATGCTATTGGTGGCTCCCTTTCTGACTTCACCGTTATCTCGACTTCTCTTCTTATGGAAATGTTAATTGGCCCAGATGTCGAGGGGCATTTCATTAAAAATGTATATGAACCTGCGGCGGCCCATTGTTTTGTCGCTCAAAAAATTCAAATTTTTAGAAGAAAAGCAAAAGTGAAAATAACAAGTGGCCATAAAATGTAATCAAGTTTCTATAATGCCGGCGATGTTGCGTAAGTTTTGTTGGGTTGAGTGAAACTCTTTATTGTTTCTTGTGACAGTTTTGAAAAGGTGGCGGTAGTTTGAGGGGTATTTCTATCATTTGTTATGAAATATTCGCTGGGAAAGTCGGTTTATTTTGGGAAAATCTGTTTTTAATAAGCTGATTTAAGATGCAAATCAGTTTGCAAAATAGCCATACTCATTAAGATGCAAATAATATTGCAGAAAATATGTAATTCTCTACAGAAATAGCTTTTCTTAATCGTAAACCATATTTATTTGAATAAATATTAATAAACCCCACTCACCCGGTAATGATCTCGAAGCCAATCATATCTGGATCGCACTCCTCCTCCTGGATTCCGGGTGCTGGTGCCTTGTCCGTCTTCGCCTCCGGCGGGCTATCAAAGGGGCCAGGGGTGGCCAGGGGCTTGGGCAATTCTGGAGCCTGAGACCCGGCTGCCGATCCCACCGTGGAGCCCACTGCCTCCTGGTCGCCGCTTCCTTCCGTGGTGCTTGTAGTGCTGGTGCTGCTGGCTGGTGTGGAGCTGGAGCTGCCCGACGAGGAGGCGGCTGCCAGAGGCGAAGGCGTCACATTGGTGCGCGGATTGGTCTGCTTGACCGGCTTGACAGGACGTTTTGTTTTGCGTGCGGCGCTGGCGGCGTCACTCGCAATTAGGCAGATCAGCAGCAGAAAGGTGCAGCGGCGTAGAAACATTTTGTCTGCAATTGAAATGTGGTTGAATGCGTGGTTAGATGGTGTGAGTCCGGCGTTATACCCCCGGGGCGATGGCTAAATGTTAATTAGGCAACTAATTTCACATTACGCGCAATTTATGTAATTCCTGGTGTGCACTTTATTAGTTTGGCGTTAGTCTTAGGAGAGTCGGGCGTCTAGGGTTCCTCCACGGGGGCTTTGCTCGCCCAGGAATGAAAACGGAACGGAACTTTGTGTCTTCGATGTGGAATTCCATGGTATTCCGTGGTATTCCCCCGGTCTTTCTCCAAGCTCGAGCTTTAATTGCCTGACTTGTTCGCTGTGTGTTCGCAGCGTTTAATTAAAGCTACAGCTGCGCTTACAGCAATCTTGGCTCTTTTCATTGTGCATATCACAACAGTTGCATATACACAACAATCAGAACAAAAACATTGCTCCGGCGGCCCCTTAGTGGGGCGAAGTTTTATGTGTGAAAAACGCCGCCGCCTGGGAACTATTTGGGAGGAATAGGTACTCCGGATGGGCAGAGTCTGGATGCGATCGGGTGTAGGTGGCATCATGCTGCGAGATCCCAGATCCCAGAGCCCAGATCCGAAACCCAAGAGACCCAAGAAACCCCAGGGGCCTAGATTCCACCTAGTAAGTATAGGTGTGCAATGTTCCAGTTACACAGTACATAGAGGTGCTTTCGGTCAGGTGTGATAATTAATATTATTACCCATGAAATATGAGCCCTTACACTTTTACCACATAATAAATTAAGGCGAAACTTATTCATAATGGATAACGTATGCTTTGAATATTTAATGATCAGTAGGGTGTGATAATAAGTATTATTACGAATTTGTAATTGGATTTTCTACCTAATACTAGGGATTATATTTGGAACATTTCCCTTAGGGTCACGGATGCACAACGACAGGTGTTCTTCTCACAGAAAATAAAATATAAAATAGTTTCAGCTCTATGTCAAATTTATGATTCAAACATATCAATTTGATATTTTAGCATATCATATAAAATACCAAATTTAGTATCTGATCTTTAGAAAATGTAAAATTGTCCAGCACATATCAATCTGATCTTATGCAAATTTGTTTTCTGTATAGGTTTGTCAACCTACAACATACTTCTAGACAAGATGTCTATTAAATCCTAAGGTGAATCGCCTACAACTTTATTATTTAACCGGCTCTCTTTATTTGGAGTCTAACGTGTCACTTAAGAAGTCATTGGCATGTCGCTTAGCCAAATAAACTTATATCCGTCACAGTTCCTTGCCTCTGTCATAACAATTTGCTAATCCAATTATGCAATCTCACTTCAAACGCGCTAAACAATTAACACTTTACAGCTGGCGAATCTCAGATCTACAGTAGCGTTTTCTTCTTTATTTTTATTTTGCGAATAACTGACTATTTCCCCCATTTCGGCGTGAAAGTGAATCCAAGCTCAAGCTCTATGGCCCATTCATAAACAAAAGACAAACAAAAAAGACGTTTTCATGTTGTTAAATATTTTTATGCGTTTTGGCTGTCGATCGCCGACAAGAGCGTAAAAAGTAAGTTTCACTGGCAGTGTGGCAGTAAAAAAAAACGACTAAGCTGTTGGAAAACAGAGATTCGCACTGCTGAACCACCTGTGAGATAATCTAAAGTGTGGCTCATTATTTTGCCCGAGAGACAACGAAGAAGATTTAGCGGTTAATAAGCGGCTGCGTGAGAAAAGATTTTCGTTAGGATTTTCTTTAGGTTATTTTTTTGTTTTTTGCGAATTTTTGTGTTTAAGCTCTCTTGCTGGGCACTTGTTTAATGTTTCGTTAGTTACATAATTAATTATGGGCAGGGGTTAGCCGCCAGGTGGGTTGCATGCAAAACCAGGGACACGCCCACACCTCCAACGGCTCACACATAAATTATGAAAGCCAAACAAGAGTGGATGGTGGATGGGTGGGGAGAAAGAACCGTTAATGTTAATAACATGCTTTAAGATACTGCACTAAAAACAATATGTGGCTGGAACCTGGAACCTGCAACCTGGAACCCCTCGATCATCTGCGCGCCACAACCATTCTTCTGCTCGATTGAACGGCAAACCGAGAGAATAAGAAAGAATGGGGGAAGCGACCAGAGGCGAACTCATTACGGAACGCTCACTTCCACTTGCAATTAGTTGTATGAATGAATTTATGCTAATTATAGGCCTCGACAGGCAACGCAACGCGCTTTTAATAAGCCACCGCGGGCCGAAAACATTGACTTTGGTTTCAGACCCATTCTTATCTCCGCTTTTTTGGCCCTTTCCCCCAGTTTTTCTTTCGATTCGGTTCAGTTTCACCTGCTAACCCACAAATGTAATGAGCCATTGACCAAAGTGGACAGAAGGGCCATGAGAAGAATGGCCCAAAAGTCGAAACGGTAAATGTGCGTGTGTGTGGCATGCGGTTGCCTCGAAATTCTGGAAAGTAAAACGTTCTGTGGTTTTCCATCGCTACAGCACTTAGAATTTTCATGTGAGCGTAACCGAGAATCTCCGAAAAAAGGCAGCTACATTTTAATTAACCCGCTGCTGTAATTTGTGGCCAGCCAAACGTTCCTTTGTTTTTCTATTTTTCCGTTTTTCTGTTTTTCTTTTTCCACTTCTACTTCTACTGACTTTTTGATTCAACACACAGAACAAAACTTGATATGATTAATGTCAAATTTATGATTCAAACAAATCAACTTGATATTTTATCACTTCATTAAACTGTTTTACTGTTTTAAAATGCCAAATGCAGTATTTTTTGAACAATGGTTGTAAAATAAAATAAACATAATCTTTATTCATATCATTTTGATCTTCAAGAAATATTAACTTAACCTGCACATATCAATCTGATCTTTTGTGAATTTTTTTTTCCGTGCAGCCAGAACGGCTGATGATTTTCCCTTGACGAGCTTAGATATGTCTATCAATTTCACTAATTGAACGTTAACAAGCCGCCGCATCGTTGCTGCGAGCGGTTTTTCCATCTATCAATCATGTAAACTACTCGACGATTCCAATCGAACTCGGAGAGAGATACAATTTGGTTAGTTATTAGGTGAGACCCGGCCATTCGCAGCTGCTTCCTAGTCAGAAAGATAGATAGATAGACAGATTCTTCCTTGTTAATGCTTGGCCCATAAACAAAAGACTTGAGCAACGAACTAACCATATGTGTAAGGCGCTTTGATTGCGGCCTGCAGAGTTTCCATTACAATTTGCTAATGGCTTTTCGCCCCGTCCACCTAAGTAACTCTCCACAGCAAGTGAAAACAAAAGATGAACTCATTTGCCGATGAAAATCTAATTGAAAACGTTTACATTGGATTCGATTCGCTTTACTGACTGGCCGAAAGGTCACCGCTGAATATGATTATATTCAATGAAAATTTCTCTAGTTTCGTATGCGGGTTCCCACAGAAGGCATAATAATATTTTCGATCGTTCGATTTGAATTTATGCCAACTAAATGCCAAATGCTAATTGACTTTGCGGCCATAAAAAAAAAACACTTTCCCAGTGGAGAGACAGAGAAGCTAGGAGTAAAAGAAAAACCTGCTGACTGCAGGCTTACTTACTACAATTCCTGGCTGAGCATGCATAATAAATGTGGCCAGGCGGAGAAATGAGTGCTCGTCTGGCAGAAGGAAGCAGCATATTAGCACTGGAGTCGCCGAGGCGGCATTATCATAAACTAAATATAGCAGCAAATATCAATTTGATTGTGCTACGCTGTGCTGTGCTGCCCGAGAGCGCACAAATTGAGACCGGTGCACAATGGCGATTCGGATTCAGTCCAAAGACTGGCCAACTGCGAACCGAAGACCCGGCTAAAACAGGCATTGTGTTGGCCATGGCCAGCTCAAGTACCGTTGAGCTTTGCCGCATGTCCGGCTGCTGGCCAGTGATAAATTATCACTGTTGGCCGGGCCATTACTTTTCGGAAATGTACGAGGTGAGCTGTGACTGCAGTGGCTCAGCTACCTCCTCCACCTACTGCACCACCAATAAAAATGGGATTCAGAATGCTCGGGCGATGAGAATGCGCTTTTGGCCGATGGGCAGGCGGTAACCGGAGATAAACAGCCGGCTTTTGCCAAGGCGTTGGCGTTTATTATGCAAATATTTTAGCCTTAACTTAAGGCCGCAAATTAATATTGCTCAGCTCGGAGCTGCAGTTGCAGAACTGCAACAGAACAGCAGAACAATGTCGCATTCATTTAACGGCACTTGGCTGATTGTTATTTAAAGTTCAGTTCATAACAATTGTGGTGCAGAGTGGCTGAGAGTGGTGCAGAGTGGCTCAGAGTGCTGATGCTTTGTCCGCTTCGCAATTTACTACTTTTGCATAGTTAACAACTTGATTGGTAGCACTGGGCAAGCTGACATTGAAATGTAGGCCTTGCCATCATCGATGCCCGCCAATGATTGTTGCGCTGATGTTGTCGTGGCTGTCTTCTTTGTGTTGTCATGCTGCATAAGTGGAGAAGTGGAGATGTGGATTGTGGAGTGGAGAGGACTGGTTGCCTGCCTGTTGCATAACTAACAATGTTTAGAGCGCATAAATACATGGCCACGGTTGCGGAGAACACCATACTATGAAGCAAAAGCGAAGCGGACTCCATCTAACATCTAACATTCAGAGTAACGGAGTCCCGCACAAATGCTCATGACATGCAAAGGAATTTCAGTTATGTTTGCGGCCGCCCCATGCGGGGCGTGTTTCTCCCCGCTGGAAAAAGTCCCGGGATCCCCAGATATATCCACGGCCATTTAGCAATGCAAATTGCGTTGTTTAGTTTATAGATAATGTCATTCAGAATGCTCTCGCACAAGTATCGCAGAAATGCTTAAGGAACTCGGCGCGATACAGAACAAGTTCGTTGCCAAAGCCACTCGATAAATGCCCGTGATAAGGCTGAAGAACGACAGTTGGCATGGCGAGCAGAGGCAAATCTACGGGTAGCATTCTTCTGGCTGCAGGAAAAAGCTGAGATTTGATTGGTGAATTGCCCCTAGTTTGAGTTACGATCAGTGGTATGTTCTGGGGATCATTTGGATTGACAGCACTCGGCGAACCCTTCACTCGCATTCGGACTGACCATCTAAACTCATTAATGGTCCATATAACACTGCCACTTTGGGGCACTAGCTGCCCACGGGGCACCATAAACCAGGCACCACAAAACTACAATAAGGAAGAGGCTACAACTTAATCTGCATCGTCGACTCAAGCCAATTATCTCTTTTAATCCGGCTCGAAGGACCATAAAGAACGTTTTATTTCTTCAGATTTAAACCTTAAGTGGATATTGCTGCGAATGTTTCAAAAACAATGCCAAAACCCTTCGGAAAACGATCTGATATCCCAGGATGTTCATCCATTATCATTTATGGTTAAAATCTGATAGTTACATTCATCGTAAGCACTTGTAAAACCATAAAGAAAAGACACATCACCGGGTACAACTTAATCTTCATCAGAGCAGACGGCACTAGAGACACTTTATGGTCATAAGCCAGGCAATTAACACTTGACATTCTTTTCACTTTTTGTCGGCCGTTGATATGCTTTAGGCCCCATATAGCAGCGGCCACTAATCGCCTCATAAAAACACATTTTATTTGTGCTACGTGACAAACAGAACTTTATGGCCGGCAGTGCAAGCGAAGAATCCGGCGAAGGGACAGTAGAATCGGAGAATAGAGAGTTCTCTGGGACGTGTGGCCAAGTACGTTTCGCTTTCTAGCAGCCCACATTCCGAGGTTCTGGTACTCTGCTATTCTAGTATTCTGGCCTTCACCTGGCCAGGCCATTCTTCGGCTTCATTGTCCGATGGCATCAAATTCTACTTGAGCGCTAATTCGAGTCAATAAAAAAGCGTTTAAAAGCGAACAATAATGAATGCTAGTTGCCGGCTATTAGAAATTCTAGCAAACTGGCTCAAAGAAACACACACATAACGTACAGAATACAGCAAACAGAAGTGAAAGAAAGCCGGCCAGACGTAAATTAAATGGAAACTGCCAGGCGAAAAACAACACAGAAAAAGCATGCTTTTTCGAAATCGAATGCCCGGGCGGGCGGCACGTGTCGTCTTGCTGGCTTTTCTCTTTCGGGAAATTCTTGGGGCTGGGCTGGGGGAGATTCATAACCGAAAACCGCTGACAGCCAAACATAAATCCCGACAAAGCCCGAAAAAGGAAACGGCTGAGGCTGAGGCCGAGAGACAAGAGGAAAAGCCAGCCGTACAAAATCTAAACAAATTGAAAAGCGCACGCCAAAGTCGCATCATCATCATCATCGAGAGCTAGAAAACTGGACCTGGAAATCTGAAAAATCTGGAAACCAGGTCGGCTGGCGGTCGGGCCTCCCACAGTCGTATGATTTATGCCCAGTTAACTGTTCACCCACCGACCGACCATCCAACCAACCAGGCAACTCATGTGTGCGTTGCAAATTTACGACTCAATCAAATGCAAATTGCAAGAATTTTTGAACTGCACCTGCTGGGGGTCTTTTCCTGCTGCCGAGGTGGGTGACCCAGTTTCCCAAGGGGGAAAAACGGTTATAAATTGCGTGAAAATGCATTACGCAAGTACAAAAGGCTGTGAATGGTGGCAGCAACATCATCATCCACTATTCACTACTCACTACTCACTATCCACCATCCACATTCAACGGGGCAACAATGTGAATTGGCCGCTCCAGTTTTGCTGGCTAATTTATGCAACATTTGTTCGCTTGGCAGCAGGTGGAAGCTGTCGGCGCACGTAACTGTCAACATGGCGCAAACTAACTGTAAACTGCATATGCCAACAACCACCCACTGCAGAAACGGCTGCCACTGAACCACTGAGCCATTGAGCCACCTCACCTTACCACTTTTGCCACTGAACCGAGCCACCGACCGCGCAGCTAATTGTCGACGCTTTTTGCATTTAAGCCAATTTGCGTTCACATTGTTGCCCGTCTGGCTGCTGGAAAACGGCTGCCATCTAAATATCTAAACTTGAGGCCAGAATTCTGGCCAAGATCTCGACTTTCAGCCATATCTTCTGCTTGCGCCGATTAGAATGTGCTATTAACCCATTTGCGAGCGGCGGTTTGGCTATTTGGCGTTTTGGCGCAAAAGATGCTCATAGAATGTGCAATTTAAATGCACAGCGAGGCTGGCGACAAATTCAATTAACCCGGTAAAGATAACACAATTGATGAGTTAACGACACACGTTTAATTTCAGTTCCTAAATATTTAGATAGCCATTTAATTCGATTTATGCTTTTATGATAGGTTGTAAGCAAATGGGTATATAAAAGAGATTTGATCATTTAAAACAAACAACTTAATTTAGCAGGAAAATTCAATTTAATTTCTAAAGCTATAGCAGATATACTCCTTCCATTCCCCATTCCAAAAATCATATTTCTTTTGTCGCCATTGAAATACCTTTCCATCCAGTCATTTGTCAACAAGTTCTGTATGCACAACAGGTACAGGCGGACCAAAGGATGAATGGCAGGCACTTAAATATGTGGCACTCAAGGGGTTAAAAGCGGCTTACGGCAGCTAAGACAACAAACAAACAAACAAATAAACATTGCGGGGAAACAAACAAGTTTTGCGCTGCTCAAACTCAAACACACTGCTGGCCTAAGCAAACAGAAGCCAAACAATTTTAGTTTGGCGCTGGAATGGGAATAGGAATGGGATTTGTTTGTTTGCCAGATGGATAGATAGATTGACTGATTGATAGACTGACGGACCAGTGGCTTTTGCAGCCTTATGATTTCGCCTTGCCGACGCTGCGCTAATTTGTTGGCATCCATCGAGTGGAATTGGCCAAGACAGGAAGGCAGCAAAAAGCAAAAAGCAAAGAGCTGAGAGCCAAGAGCTGTGGAATCTGGCAGACAAACGCTGCCGCCGAACGCAGAAGACTGTCTGCAGAATTCCAGGTAATTCTCCGTTTGATTTATTAACCATCATTACACACATTCGATGGCCGCTGATCTTTCGCTGCTTTTGTTGCTCTTGCTGCCGGGCAATCAGAATCAATATCTCAGCATCGCAGTTGGACTTCCGGTTCAGGTGTTTGTATTTATCCCCACCGACTTGCCGATTTTCCCATTTGCCAGAGGAAGAGAAATCAAGTCCTTTTGGAAAGGAAGCGGATTGGACTACGACTTGTATGGAGCCATAAATAACCACCAAAAAGAGAGTCAGTAGCCCAATTGGCCACGTTTATATATAGAACGGATCGCATTATATAATTTGCACTGGCCAAGATTTATGGCCCGGGCACACAGTTGCCATTTGTGGCGATGCTTCCATTTCGAATGCGTCTTTAAAACGCAATAAATATTAAAGCCCCCGGTCCTCTGCGTGCAGTTTATTCGGCTTATTCGCGATACCCATACCCATGGCTGAATCCATGGAATTGTATCTACCTCTGCCGATAGGCAACGCGAAAATGCTGCCAAGAAAAGCATCTCAAAAGTGGAACAGGCCAACGGCATGCAACATTGGCTGGAAGAGAACAGAAGAAAAGAAGCCACGACGCTTCTCTCGGCTTGGTTCTTGGCTAACAATATTCATTGCACAATTATGCCTTGCCTGATTCTTATACCAGATCTTAATGCTTTATATAGACAGCTAATTTATGCAGTGTCTGCACGTCAGTCAGCTACAGAGGCACTTACATACATATATACCCCAGCCCACGCCAAATTATTTGCTATTTAGCCAAACATCAGCCTAGTTGGCCCGAAACTGGGTCGATGGTATGCACTGGAATGCACCTGAATTGGGATTAAACGAATTTCACTTTGTTTACCTTGTTTTACCTACTGTACAGACAAAAAAAAACGTCGCGGTCAAATCGATATGCGCATGGTAAATATCTGGCGATTTGCTTTAATAGTGCTTAAAGTTACGTTAGTGGGAGGGAGAAGTACATTTACATTTCAAGCATATCAAGTCAAAGTTGATACCACATAACATAAAATCGATCATCGTTTCATATCAAGTTTTTTTGTTGTGTGCACTGTACTGTAAAATAAACATTCGAGTACACCGAAATCTTGATTGTATTAACTACGGGATGCTTTTTATATACTCCACAAACGCACTAAATCCCACTTCCTTTCGAGCTCCCTGGACTTCTTTAATTTATTTAAAACCCATTACGGCCTACATTTAAAGATTGGATAAGAGCTCTTCCACGGAACGGCGTTGGTATAAAACTTTACGACCGACTGCAGTTTTCTCGATTGCATTTTCCACCTTGGGCGCCCATTAAAGCCAGTGGCTCGGGTTTTATGTTCGGGTTCTTCAGTTTCATCGTTCTCACTTCATTTTGATGAATATTTAAATATTTCCCGTTGTAAAAACTACAGCCAACTTCCGTTCCCCTCAAAAAATGGTTATTTTTTATGTAGAACGTTTGAGTTTCAGTGTTCTGGGAAGTTTTCCTATGAATAATAAGTGTATTGTGTCAACTGTATGGCCTACAAACTGGATACACAGGAATCCTGGCTGCCGCTTAAATAGAATTCTCATACCATTGTCGATTTTGGTTCTCTGACACTCTGAACTTGACATAACCCCTGAGCCTTATTTGATTTGGCACATACCTTAACTGTTTGCTCTCGTGTCTTCAATCCTCTCAAAACTCCAGATCGGTTCGGTCTCTGTATCTGTAAGGAAAACAAATGCAAATTAGTTAAATATTTGACTACAACAATGGGCCCGGCTTTGAGCCACAAACCCACTTAAGGCTAAAGTACAGACGATACAGATCTGGGCATCTGCATCTGCATCGCCAGGCAATTGAGTTTAGTGTGACAACGTTTAATGTGAAAACGAGAACTAAATAAATAATTTTTTACCTTACTTTACCACTGCAAACAAACAATGAGATGCAGCGATAATTTCATTAAAAGAGAGAAAACTTAGGGAGATCTCGGTGCAGTGTGGTATGGTATAGACTTCAGCTCCAGCGGATGGATGGTGTATCCGTCTTGACGTCGAGCGCTTATCTCGAGTTTGAATCGTCAGCAGGTGACATTGAAGTAATTTACTTGCTGTTGCCAGTTTCCACCGCTACCCACACAATTTATTTGCAACTATTTAAGCGGAGAAATACAGAGAATACAGAGAATACGGCGAAGGAAGCCAAGAAAGCCAGGCCAAAAAGCAAAAACCAAGGCAGAGATCTCGGTAGGTAGGTATTATTAGCCAGAGTCTCAGTCACTCACAGAACTTGGCTGCTTTTTCCCCGGAGCTGGAAGCTTGAATCTTGAAGCTGGAAGCCAGAGCCAGAGCTTCTTCTCCAGCTTCTTGCTTTATTATTGGCTGACAGTGGTGTCGTTGTTGTTTTGGCAGTGCTTGTCGTTGCTGCAGAGGCTGCTGTTGCATTTGCCGCTGTTGCTGCCGCTGCTGCATTTCGCATTCCATGCTAGCGAAAGTTGACCTAGTCGACGATCGCGGTTTTGTTTTTATTTTTGTTTTTGTCGTTGGAGGCGGCCGGGGTTGCGAAACGAGGCAGTGCAAATTTGCTTATAAATAACGAAATTAAATATGGCCAAAAGCCAAATAACTCAACTAGCAGCTAAGCACCAGCACATTTGGATTTTGCAGAACACGGCAAAAAAAATTAGTGATCAATTTGATGATATTACATATAATTTTAGGGAAGAAAAAAAAATATCTAAACGACTTTGTTGGTAATTATCGAAATATTTTAAATTTTAAACTTAGAACAAAATCGAAAAATATAAAAAAGTACCAAATAAGTATTAGAAAAGTACCAGAAATGTACTAGAAAAGCGGTAGATTTATCGAAACTTTTCTTTAAAATATCTATTATGTTTCTTCCTGTGCATCCATTTAACATGAAACTTCGCCAAAGTTTCTCCCGGTCAATCTTCACTGTATTCTACCGACTATCAACCAACTAGCAACTGAAAACTGAAGACCGAAAACATTTGCACAATTAACTATGCAATGCACGCGCCCGACTTCGATGCTCCCGATGCTCGTTTCTTTTTTTTGGCCACTTTCTTTTGGCAGTTTTAAAATGCAAATTGTCTTGATGATGGAGTGCCGGGCATTCTAATCAACTGGAGATTTCTGCAAGATCTTCAACTCTTACTTTCGATCTGTATCAAGTTGCCACAAGTCTTCGCCGGCTGACGTCAGCAGTTTAAGAGCTCAACAAGAGGTTTCCGCTGGCGGCAGAGAAACAAAAAGAACCACGGCAGGCGGAAGCTTCACCTTCAGCCTCGCAGACATTGAACTGTAACACTTTCTATTGAGGTCAGCCGAAAAAAAGGCAACCACCAACGAAATAATAATAAAAATGCCATTGAATGGGTGTAGAGGCTAGAGAAGCTAGAAAAACTCGTGGTTGGTTGGAGGCTCATAAAGGCGGACAGACATGCATGGCCAGCACAATGGAAATGCCCAAAATGCCAGGCACGTTCCCCACCGGTAAAGAAAAAAAAAGTACAGAAAAACAGAACCACTAACTCTGGAAATCCAACCTATTAATGTAATTCTTCTCTCAATCTCGAGACTCTTCTTTATATATATAGGTATATCCACACTCCCGAACTGAAACGCAGGCAATGTCAAAATGTTAACAGCACTCAATGGCATCCACCGGCTGTATTTTCTTCGCCTCCCTGGAAAAGGGGTCTTTCAGCAGAGGTCTGCGGGGTCTGGAGGTCTGCGGCGCTTTCTTTTGTGCACCCAGCCAAGATTTTTGTCACGATCCCGAGGCTTTAACGTTTATTGGATTATTGTCATTAAATTTGTTTGGCTTCGCGGAAAGTCTTGAAAGCGAAATCCAGACGGGTGAAACTCGATGAAGAGAGGGTTTTCGGGAGGGAAGTCCTCGGTTATGAGTCAGAGGTTAGAACTAAAGAGGCGCTACTCGTCTTGCTGTGACCTTGGGTAGAGGTCGCTTATTGGATGTTTAGAAGGGATCTTAGAGGTGCCATTTAATTTATGGTTATGAAGTTCTGGATTAGCAAGAGAAGTTTCATAGCCCATTTTAAGAGCTTTTAATAATTTAGTTGTAATATCATTGTGATATGATTAAAGATTATTTTTATCATATTTTACATTATTTGCTTTTAATTGATATGAATTAAGGTAGAATTGATCCTATTTCATGCCGAATTTATTTTTCGTGTAATTATTTGCTAATAATATTATGTTTCATCATTAGTGATCGCCTAATCGTTAATCTTTCTTTGGGTGCTATTATAGAGATAACCTTTCTTCATTAATGTCTTTATTTAATGTTTATTAATTTATTCTGCTGATTGATTTAATGATTCATTTATTTATTCTGCTCTTCAGGCTGAAGAATGCCGCCTGGCTTTTCAATTTTCCTCGGACCAACAGATGTCCCGTTCTCATGGCTCCGTGGATCCTTTGGCGTGCTTTTACTTTTCTTCCCAGCCAATTGGCGCTTTTCCTTTTCGGCATTATCATTCGGCGGCAGACAGACAAATATGTATGAGGCACTGCATCCACATATCCATCGGATGGCGATGGCTCGCCAGCTGGCAAATGTCAAAGTTTAAGCAAATACAAACGCCTTGGCATTGGCATTGCGATGGCGATTGGCATTGCCATTGCCATTTTGCCATTTTGCCATTTGGTCGTGCCAGATGGGCTTGAGTTTGAGCTTGAATTTGAGTTGCACCCAAAGCGTTTTCAGCCTCCTCTGCTTCGTTTTCGCGCATTTAATCGGCGACAATCACAAGGCTTTTCTTCTTTTTCTCCTCTTTTTTAAGGGGGGAAAGACGTTTTTATTTATGGCCAAGGAAGCCAGGCAAGCGAAAGTCAAATTCTTCAACGATTATTTCTTGCTGATTTTCGGCGGCCGCTTCTTCTGTCTGAAACCGTTTGCCCAAACTTTGGGTGTCATTTATCCCCACCTTGAGTTTTTGGTTTTCGATTTTGGATTTTGGATTGCCTTTGGGCAGCAGGAGGAGGAGGATGGATGGCTACTCCTGCCATTGTCTTTTGACTCCGACTTTTGGGTTCATTGAAATTCGAGTGTGCGAAAAGTGAAACTCTCAATTGTCAATGTCCGATGTCTCTGAACTTGGTTCAGATATCTTAGCCTCTGGCTGCCAATGCTGCATGCGAAAGCGCTTTGCTTTTCAATTAAATTTCAATTAAAATATTACGGCAGCAACAAAGAGACGGCAGCCAAAATACTTTCACACAATCGCAAATTACTTCGAGCAGCACTTCTGGACGAATTAGCCAAACTGCATGTCTTTAAATCGGACACGTTTCAATGAAAGCGAATCAAGTGCGAAACGAGCTCGTATTTTGATGGACAGGTTGTGCTGTGTGCCGTGTTATTAGCCTCTGGAGATATGGCGATCCAGAGACGATTGAACAGGGCGTATACTTAATAAGTGTAATTCACATGATCAAAACGGTTTCATAGCCTGAGATAACCGCGCAGAATCGTGGGATAAACTGTACTTGACTGTGCCAGCCAGATAATCTTCTTTTTCTATTTTCTAGAGGGGAAATCCGATGTGTAGAAAGCTGCTCTCATCACAGATGATATCATCAGCCAATTTCCTTCGATAATTTCTCAACCCAATTTCTTCTTCTGCATCTCTTGTGCATAAATTATCAGATCAAGCGACATTAGCCCCGAAAAAGGTGCCGAGAGCCCAAACAGTTATGTTACTTCCCATCCGTCGACCATTGTTGGATAAACCTCTGCTAATTGCCGGGCCAAATAGCCAAATAGCCGAACGGCCAGCTGACCCAAAAGTTGACAATCGCAAATAAACAAAAATGGAAATTTGGCACGCCGAAATAAGCAAACAGCAAAACTGTTAACCCAAATGAGGCTGGGCCTTCAGATGGCTAACTTCTACGGGGAGATTTCTTTCACAATTGACAATTCTAGCGGCGGTCCATCAATCAATTTTCCTCTGGTTAAACTGAAACGGAAGCGGTTTTTCTGCCTGACAATCACAATCGCAATGGCAATCTCCTCGCTACTTAGAATCCATTTCGCGATTTCTTCTCGTCTCGACGACAACTTGATTAGCCATTGATGACCACTGTCAGCCGCAAAAGTAAATTACAAAATGCAGGGGAATAGAAAAAGAAGCATAAAAGCATATTGCCTGCAAGCTAGAAATCAAATGCAAAAGCAAAAGCGCGGACTTGCGCCAAATGTCAAATTAAATCTATCAATTTCACAGCAGAATGAACGCCCAAATGCGGTGGGTCTGGGCTCTGCACAGGAAAAAAAATGTCAAAAGATCAGATTGATATGTGCAGGTTAATTTAATATTTTTTAAGATCAAATAGAGATTATGTTTATCTTATTTTAGAATACTTGATCATAAAATACTACATTTGGTATTTAAAAACAGTATTTTGATAACATTTATGAAATGATAAAATATAAATTTGATATGTTTGAATCATAAATTTGACATTAATCATATCGAAATGACCATACATTTTTTTTTTCTATGTGGGGTCTGAGCTCTGTGGGGTATAAAACCCATATAAAATCCGCCTGGCCAGACATTTGAAATTGCTTTGCTGACACCAAAGTGTGTGGGGAGGGGCCAGAATGCTAGGATGCTAGCTGCTGAATGCCTCAGATGGCTCTAAGGCACAGCTGCTGTGGCATTTGAGGCTGTGTTTGCCCGTAATTGCAATGGGAGAACTTTTTGCAGAGCCTAATCAACGCTAACTGCAACAAACAAGCTGGACAAACAAACGCAAATTGTTTTCCAAGGCACGGAAGCCCAGGGTCCAGGCGAATATTAAATGCACATGACAAATTGCCTGGCCAAAGGCGAAGGCTCTTGAAGATTCTCTTCGTTTTTGTTCCCTGTTTTTCTTGCCCATTTGGCGGCAATTAAAGCGCACGCTTCGTCTAATCAACGGCGACTGGCAGGCTGCGTAAATGAATAGCTGCCAGGCGAAAAAAGGCTGTGTTGTAACTGTCATGTCATCATGATGATGCCAACTCCCTAGCTAGATAGCTTCCAAGCTTCCACAGTCGAAGCCAAAGCCAAAGCCCAGTCATGGCCAGGGCAATTATTGCGGGCAAATTTAAATACCTTCTCCCCGAGGAACCAGCTGAAGAACCCTAGCAAACACGGTAGCTGACATTCAATGGATCACTTCAGCCGGTGGTCTTGGCTCTTTCCTTCTATTCTTGACTTTAACCCGGGCCTCTCCGGATCATCATCGCCTTTTATCAGAATCCTGTCTTCTATTATCTCTCCTCCCCACTCTTCGGTTGCGGGTTCTGTTCTGACACGTTGCATTGTGGATTTCACACCACATCTGGGGCTTAATTATTTTAATTGCCCGACTTGTGTTCGCTTTTAATTATGGGGACTCTAGATGATCTATAAAAGACAGCACAAGACAACGAAACTTAATGAATCTGTTGCCAATTAATGCAAATGTTATGGATGCCATCACAATTACAATCTGGATGCAATTTATTTGATTGCACAAAGGAATGGGAAAATTTGGCTTAAGTCTTTTTCTATTTTTATTCTTAGAAATGAAAAAAGAGTTGGAAAATGTGGAAAATTTAAAAAAAAAAAGAGATTTTGCAACAAAATTTCAAAATTAATTTATATGGGTAAATCTTTAGTTAATCCTATATTTTTACACTTTCAGTTCAAAATTCACCTTCATTCGAAGAATGACGTACTACAGATAAAAAATTCAAGAATAATATTTTGGAAGGCAAAAGGTAAGTGAACCGCTATTGAAAACACTTGAATTATTTATTTTGAACTCTATGAGGATCGGGAAATGCTGTAATCAATCGACTCAAGGTTGTTCTCAGAGCAGATTGTTCAAACAAGAAGGGGATTTGGGGATTTCTTGCCGATCACCGTTTCTGTTTCTGATTCTAGATCTCGGATTTCTCGCTTGTCATGGCACATAAACATAATACGTGTGTGTGGTAAAAGTTAATAAACACTCACTTGGCCAGAATAACTTGCAACTGCAACTGTAACTCGGGGTCGTGATAGTCAGAAGTGACCGAAAAGTATCCTTTCCTTTCGGATTGTCTTGTTCTCCTGCTGGCTGATGGCCTTTTATTTCGGCTATCGATGCTGAGTCACGCTTCACTTTCGAGATGAGTTTTATTCATGTATGTAAATGATCACTGTTTGCTGATTACACACATTGCACATTGCATGGGTTGGGGATTGAATGTTGCACTTGACTTGGTTGGTTGTTCCTTGGATAAAGGGTTCCTGGCAACGCGACTCGGTTGGTTTTGGGATTTATTTTTTTGGTTTGGCCAGTCGCGAGATCGCTGCGAACTTGACCGTCGAGAGTTGACCGAATAACTAAAGCAAACTCCGGGCTAATCAGTCGTTATATAAGTTGCTCTCGGAGGAGTTTTGAGTTCTTCTGCTGGTATTTTCGCTGCGCTGCTCGCGTGCGTTCGCCTTGACAATGGGCAACGTTTTAAACTGCTGCCGAGCACGGAGCTCAAAAGAAAGCCAGCGCGGCAAAGAAAGCCAAAGAAATGAGCCGCAAACACAGCAAATACAAATGGCTCAAAGCCAAACTCTCGTTTGGAGTTTGAGTGAGTTTCTCTCAAAAGCGAGTGGGGAAAAGCGAGTGTCTTCTGCTGTCTTTTGTTTGCATTTCACTCGGGAAGACTCGGAGCACTCGGAAGACGCTCTTCTGGGGCTCTCTTCGCTTCGGCGGCTCTCTTTGTGGCACATGTGGCATGTTTCATTGAGTCCCGTCGCGGTCCATTCATAATTTCGATTACCGAATCCCCCGGCTGGAAAATAGAGGAAAAAAACAGAACCCAGAGGGTTCAAAACGGGCACACACGACGTTCAATATCATTAATTAAATTGGAATCAGTTCACGAGCTGCGGAGGAGATCGAACTAGAGAACTAGAACCGGGGGAAAATCAATTTTGCCCATGAGATCGCACTTAGGCGAGTTATTGGTACATGAAAATTATGATATTACTTCTCGGCCAGCTCGGATTCTCATATTTCTCTCTGTTTTTCCAGTCTTTTGTGGTCAGCGGCAGGCAGTGTCGTGCGTTTTATGCTCCATAAAAGCTGTCCAGCACCGCAGTTTAAATGAATTAGGAGCCCAAAACGAAGTCAACTTGATTAGAAAGGCGGCGCAGAATCAAAACACAGCCATCAATTGATCACACAGCCCCTCTGATTTCAGAGATGCCGAAGAAAGTATCACATTTGTCGGATAACCAAATAGTTTGATAACATTTCTATTGAGTCATTAACATGTTGGGCTCATAAATTGAACGATTGGAACGAACGATCATCCAATGTAAACAACCGAAGATCACACAGAACAATCGACACAAAAGGCCACCGAAAAATGAATCAATTTGTGATCGGATTTGGGATTGTGGATTGTTTTGGAATCAAATGACGGCAGACGGCAAACGGCAGACCTTTCGCTTTCAACGAAGCTGGATGGCTCGGCACGATCTTCTGCATACTGATGAGACCTGATGGGACGATCATCACGATCTGGAGAAAGCCAAGTCAGGCCGAATCAAAGAAATCCACAACTGACGACAAAGCGACAATTGCTAAATGAAATGTCGCGCAAGGAAGCGCAAATTGTAACTCTTGCAAAGCGGCAATCAAATGTCGCCGGAAATGTTTACACAAAAAGCGCTCGAATATGGCCGAAAATGTTTTGGATTGCGGACTGTGGAATGGATATCGGAGATCGGGGAGGGTTTTCTTTTCGGGGGGTTAGAAAGGCAATTTGCATTTCACCGTGTGACAATGACAGCTGCTTAATGATGATTCACGTTGATTTGCCAAGATTTGGTGATCTGTATCTGGGGGATTTTATTTTATTTTTTGGTGAGACTCCAACAGGTGCATTTGAATAGAATCGAGGCTTCTTCTGCTTTCGTTTTTCGGGCGAAAATGAAAACTGCAATTTCCGAAAATAACACGGAAAGCAGCTGCAGATTCGCCAGCCATCCCATCAAGTTCGTTGCTTAAGTCTTTCGTTATTATTTATACCACAAACGCTGGATTTTAATTACAGCTCATTTTCAGAGTTTTCTCGCTAGCGAAATATTTTTTCTCACTGCCCGAAGCCATGGGATTTTTTTTTTGCTTATTGGGGAGATTTCAATCCCTGTATTCGCTGCCTTTCTTCCAGGCGCTTTTCTCCTTCTCCTTTTGGTGCAAATTCTAACAGCATCCGTTGCCTGCTGATTAAGTTGCTGAGCTGCATCTCAGCCAGCGGAAAATGTGCCGAAAACAAACAAAGCCTGACTGCAAATTTGCGTAAAATCCCAAGCCGAAACTGGAATGCACTTGTATATTTAAGAGGCATAAAGCTGAATTACGATAAACGATGGCTGCGTGAATTTACAACTTCATCAATGCTTGTTAATGGTTGTTTATGATTATTAATTAATTTTATTGCCATATGATATCCTTAGGTAACTGATTAATAATAACGGATCTGTTATAACCTTGAAAACATCATATTATTATTAATCATTATTTACTATTTATTAGAATAGTAAATCCAGCGTATCCTTTAGTTTTTTTATGCCAACTTTTTACAGTTCCCTAGCTCTTCATTAGTTTAGTATACCCCAGAGGCAAATTTGAGGCCCAAAACAGAACAAGAGCTAACGTTATCCCATTGTAACTGAACGGTTGTTAACAAGGGGCTGCCGAGTCGCAAAACCAAAACGAAAACCCAAGGAAACGATCCAAGTACAAGTACAGAGCCAAATTGGGCGTAATATTATGCCCAGGCTGGGTGAAATATGAGCTGAGAAAATTTTATTTCGGCTTTGTTTTGTGTGTCCCCGGGTTCGAATCCGAATTTTCGGCCCGCAACTGGTCCTGTTTTTTTCGCCTTGAGCCTCTGCGATTTGTTAGCGAGCGTATTAAAGCATTTATTGGCTTATTTAATGCGAGCCATGTTGGCCTGTGTTCGACATGGCATCGTAATGTTCCAAAACGCCGCCTCGGGTGGAGTTCATCAAAAGTAAACTGCGAAAAAATAACGAAAGGAGAGAGATACGCTCGTAAAATATGGAACAAATAGGTTCAATATTTGCCCATTCGACCGTTAATCAGGTCAGCATTTAATATTTATACTCTTTTCGGGGCGTGGCGTTATCTTGAGCAAGCAAAGCATAAAGCTATTCAATTTGCTGCTGCTCGGGGTTACTAACCCACTGCCAAGCCTTCGTAACTTGTGGGTGGAGAAATGTGGAGCCCAAAGTCCGGTTATCCCAGAAATTTAGCTACCTGTCCAAAAACACACGGGTCGTAAACATTTGCGGCTCACTTAAAATGGGTTTATCGCTGGGCATTTGACCAGATTTTTTGGCACAGCACAACATGGCAAAAAGCAAAGAGATCTATCTAAAGTGTTTATTTCCTGCAATTTTCGAAAATATTTTTCTTGACTTTTTGTGTGACACGTTTCTAATTCTTCGCCGCGTTTTTTCTTGGCTGTAAGATGGCTAAGAAAACAAAAAGCCAAGAATTCTTTTTCGGCGGCTCGGTTCAAAGATGCTTTGTGTTAAGTTAGGCAAACATCATGCGCACTGTTACCATTTTGTCTTGATTAACAATTGTCTGGCGGGGCAAATATTTAAAGCATGAAATCGTTTTGCCATACGTACATCGGACTATTTTCTTTACTCCAGATGGAAACAAATGCGAACCGGCCACAATGAGAACTCTTAGTTCGCACAAAGGGGCTGTGTGGTAGATTGAGATCGAGATCTCTTAGCCAAAAACATAAATTGGTTCCAGTGTGAGAATTTATTGATTAATTTTGGTACAACGCCTTTTGCCAACACAAAAGTTCAACGCCCCTTCGGAGGCCTAAAATGAAAAGCTAAACGAATTCGGATCTGAACACCTTTTCTTGGTCAGATAAAACGCGGCGTTAATTAAAGCCGATTACCGTAATTTGTTTGTGTCCGAAGGGCTTTTTGGTAAAAAAAAGCGGGCCCTTTATGAAAAATTCAGCCCTGCACTTTGGAGCTGCAAATTCGGCGAATGTCAAGTCCGTAATTTAATGTATCTACATTCGAACATCTGTGTTCGAGGAATGCTGACGGTGCGTTTGCCTTCGGGTTTCCTGGCCAAAAGCGCGTGTGACCCCAAAAAGAGAAATTCCATCCAGGTAAATGATGCAATTCTTGGTCTTTCGGTTTCGGGTTTCCATTTGGGCTGGGCCCTTTCCTAATTGACTAATTAACCTGAGGTTTAATAAAGTATTTGGGCCTAGGGAATCGAGTGATTTGTGTCGGTTTTCGTTTCATCTCACCTAAATCGAGTAGGCTTTCTTCGGAAAGAAAGCAATTTTTGCGACAACCGCGAGAACTGAAAGATGTCAGTATTCTAAGCTCGGTGAAAGTTGTTTTTGTCAATGGCTAAGAAGTTCTCCGCTGTTTTGTGTGCTCAATAGTGCGACAAATGGTCAACTGTCCGCGAGCAGCCTCGTCTCATTCCGACAGAGCATCTTCATCATCACAATCACCACGATCGCAGCGTCATCAGCTCACGTCGTTCTAAGTACAGATTGGCATGTGGCGTTGCTCTCGGCTTAGCACAGAAATACAGAAATCATAATGGTAATGGCAATCATAATAGGAACAATAAAAAGAAAATCCGAGAATGGTCATCAGAAAGTAAAAGACTTTAAATGCCATCGCTTTGGATTTGCTTGTAATGACATTGACAGACAGACTTGCACTTGTCCGCTTGTTTAATCTGGTTTCGTTGTTTCCATTTCGGTCTAGATAACTTCATAATTTCTGAGAAAAAAAATTGCTTTTCCTTTTTGGTATACTAAATAGTTTGATAACTATAAATAGCTTAGGAATGGAATTTCTGTTCTCAGCGTGGCGAACATTTTTAGTTAATTAAATTTCTTTGTTTGATGTCTTACTTGAGAGTGCTGACAAAAAAAACTTTTAATGAAACGATAATCAATTTGATATTATGTGGTTTAAATTTTGAATTGATATGCGGCACCTCCATTCGATATGCATGTAACTTCCTCTCTTTTTTGAAGTCAGATACCATATGCGTATAAACACCAGAACTATGCGCATATCGATTTGATATTTTTGTACCTAAAAATATTTTGTATTCAATGGTACAAACTTTTCTCTTGTAATTTCATCCTACTTTGTCTTTTCCTGGGCACATGAATGCAATTAAAATTCGCCCACCAAAAACAACCCGATTTTCGACTCGGGCTTGTGGCATTTGTCACGTTTATTCAGCATTTTGGCCACTGTAAAGTCTATTTAAATTTCGTTGGCAGTGGCTTTTGTTTTTGGGGCCTCCGCTCCGGCTCTTTAGTAACGCTCGAAATTAGCCCAAAAGGCTTCAAATGCCTCATTTTGTGGCTCTGTGTTGTCACGTTTCGAAAACGAGATTGGTACGGATTAGGCCGCCG